ATCAAAGGTTTTAAATTGTTTTGTTTCAGTGTTAGAAATAATATTATCCTTTATTTTATTGATATTTCTACATTTCCATTTTGGAAAAATAATCAAAGATCCATTATCTTTTATGTGTGAATTCTGCCATATTATTTGGTCTAATAGATTTTGTGAATTTTTATTAAAATTTATTTTACTCCATGACAGTAGTAATACTTTTAAGAAAGTATTTTCGATTTTAAATTTCTGTATATCATTTGTGTTTAAATAACTTATAAATATGTCGATTCCACCTATTTTTTGTAAATTTTTCTTTATTATCTCTTTCCACAATTCATGGGTATTTTCATCAAATATTCTTTTGGTCCAGCTTGATTTAATTGCGTTCATAAAAATTAGCAAGTCTATCATATTTAAGCCTCCATATTTAAAGTCTTGTATAATTACATCCCTTTTAACTTTGTCTCTTTTTGAGTGCCATATAAATTCAAAACAGTTTTTGTGTAATTGTTTTCATAATTTTTCTGGCGGATTCGGAAGAACAGATATTATTAAGGTTAGTTTTGAAATAATTAAGGATTCTAAAATTGATATATTGCCAATTGTTGTTAAACGTCTTGTCATCCATCTATTAATGTCTGCTTTAAATTGGTTTAATTTAGTCTCGTAATTTATTTTGGTTATTAAGTTACATTTTGAATAGAAAGTTATGCCTCATGTTTTTGCACATTCTGAGGTCCAAATTATATTTGAGTATTTTTTTTTCTACAATAGATTAAATCATGTTGATTTCTAAGTGAACTTATTCTGAGAACTGTACATTTTTTGTCATTAGGTTTCAGACCAGAAATTAAAGGAAAATTGTTCAAATATGTTCAAAGTTTCTTCAAAGCTGCTTGATTAACCATTTAATATTATAGTTGCAAACATGCTATTTTTAACTCTACATCAAAAATTTTAAAACCTTCAATATTCCTATTTTGTCTATAGCTATTGACAATAGTTCAATTGCTAGGATAAATATATAAGGAGACAATGGACATCCTTGTCGTACTCGTCTTTTTATAGGGAATGACTCAGACAAAAAAAAACATTGTAAAGTATGCAACTCGTGGGTCTTTTGTAAATAAGTTCAATTCATGTTTTTAAATTTGGTCCAAAGTTAAAAAGATCTAATGTTTCTTAATGATTTAGAAGATATATTTATTCAATTTTATTGATAGAGGTTTTGAAGGCATCGATGTTCACATTTTGAAAATGTTTTTAATCTTATCTGCAGATGATATTGTTATATTTGCAAATAGTTGTATTGAATTACAAAAAAGTTTAATGCATTATACGAATAGTGTTGCAAGTGGAAACTTGTTGTTAATTCAGAAAAAAAAACTAAAGTCAAGGTTTTCCGCAAAGGCGGCCGTTTACAAAGTAATATTTCGTTTCGTTATAATGGTAATCATGTTAAAATTGTACCTAAGTTCATTTACAACCGGTGGTTCTTTCTCTGAAGCTCAAAGTACACTTGCTGGACAGGCCACAAAGGCAATATTTAGAATGAATAAGTATTTATTTAAGTTTACAGATATATCTGTTAAACATAGGTTAGAACTTTTTGACAAACTTATTTCTCCTTTTCTTAATTAAAGTTCCGAGGTTTGGGGGTTTATACCTGGAAAACTATTGAAAGAATGCACATGCAGTTCTGTAAAATATGTTAGGGGTTAAGAAAACGACTCAAAACGATTTCATTTATGCTGAACTGGGTATGCTTTCTTTTCAAAATATAAGATATTTCAATATGATCAAATTCTGGTTAAAAATTGTGAATCTTAGTGATAATAAATATGTAAGAAAAGTGCACCTTATGTTAAAAGAAGATTTAGACGATAATCCTAATCACAAAAACTGGTGTTCTCTAGTAAGAAATTGACTTAGTAATCTTGGTTTTTATGATGCATGACTTTTCCAAACTGTTGGAAACACAAATGTATTTTTGAATCTAGTGCAGCAAAGAATTAAATATCAATTTTTACAGAATTGAAATAGTAGACTTCAATCTTCTAGTACAGCTACTTGTTATAGGTGCATTTCCAATTTTTAACTACAGCCATATTTAAGCTTAATTAACATTAGAAAGTATCGCATATGTATTTCAAAATTAAGGGTATCGTCTCATAGATTGAATATAGAAATGGGGAAGTGGACGAAACCTACATACACTCCTTCGAATGAAAGAATATGTAATATCTGCAATGTCATAGAAGATGAATATCATTTTGTTTTAGACTGTACAATGTATAATCTCATTCGAAATAAGTATATATCTGGTTATTATTGGAGACGTCCAAATATGTTAAAATATACAGAGCCATTTATTTCTATGAACTTGAAAATAATGAGAAATCTGAGTATTTTGGTCAATAAAGCTTACGAAATTAGAACAAACATACTTTTTAATTTTCAGAAATGAATTGTATCAATAATTCATAATTGTTATAATTTGAATCTCACATACAAAGGTTTATTAATTAACTATCAAACCGTTTTGTATTTAACGATCATCATATTTGCTATCAGAAGTATTGTGTTTCGTAAGATTTCATTTTCCTTCACATAAATCATTTTTAATTTTTTTTATATTCAGTATACCTTTATAATAGGATCTACGGATTTATTTTATAGAGACTCCTTAATTATTATATTTTGATAATCTCACATGGTAGTAGTTACCGAAAGTATACTTAGATATGACGATCACACATTTTGCTATGCTACTATTCTATTTGTGCTAGTGAATATATACAATTATCACATGTTATTGTATTAAGTAAATTTATAATAATGTGCATTGATTTTATATAGAAATAGAATATTTGTATGCTAACATTTACTTCGGATGAATTGTAGGAGATAATAATGTTAAATATCTATCATGTACTTAACTGCAGATTTCTTTATACATGTATTCATTTTATTTTAATATGTTGATTACTTGTAAATATATTGTCCTCATGGGTCTATGACTTTCTGGAATTTACTTGAATAAAATCTAAATCTAAAAAATCTAAATTTAAGAGAATACCGAATGGCAGGGAAGTTTTGTCAGCTATGTTTACAATACAGTGGTTTATAGTAGGTCTAAGCCAGTTAAGATGTATTGCTTCAACTTTAAAATAAGGTCTTGTTTCATGAACATAATGACAGCATTTTAGTAAATGTTGAAAATTCATATGGGTGCAACAACAAGCTCATTATATTGCAAATGTTTATTTATAAATTTATTCACTTATAGTTTCTATTATCTTTGACTTGTTCTCTACTGTACATATATACTTCACACTATAACATATTATAAATATCAAAATGTTCAATTTTTATGGTTTCATTTGGTGCTTTAAATACTGGATTATTTAATGACAGAAACTTTTTCAACTCAGTTCCAATTCAGATAAACAATACTGAAATGCAATAATAAAATGTTTAGTTCATAAGTTCATAGAAATCTTGTATTGATCTTCATATAAATTCCTATTAATTAAATCGGCAATTCATTGAATGTTACATTAAACCGTGTCTTTCCTGCACAGCAAGCTTTTGAAAAGAAATCACTGTTTGCTTGAAGAGAAAGAGAGAGTGTCTATCCAATAGTGGAACTTTTAAATGCAAGAATTCACAAAAGTACACCATCAAGTGACTGAGAAGCTAAAGTAACAAAAAACAACAACATAATAATCATATAAAACTTAAAATGATGTTTAATTACTAGTCTACATAGTCTGTATGAACTTAAGATAATTACACAACAAAAACATTATAGGTTTTTGTTTTGGATTTTTTTTGGTTTAACATGTTTGAAAGATAAGTCAAAGTGACGTGTCACTTCCACTGTGGCTTTTTTATCTTACAAAATATTTGTATGAAAGAAGTAAAGTTATAACAAAAAGAAGGCATTCATTTTTATCAATAAAATGAAGGATTTAATTACCGTAGAACTACCGTAGAATTACCGTAAGTAACTGCACAGGTGAAAACACATATTCCATTCCACCAGAATTTATTACCTTGATTCCTGATCGGGAAAGAGTACATCTACTTACAATACTAAAACTAAACCTCTGGCAATCGTGTTTGGGATTTAGATTTGGTGGATCCGGTGTCTGTTTTTAATTGTGTACTAGAGAACCTTTCCCTGAAGCATTTGAAGTTTTGATTTACGAAATAGAAGTATTTTAGTCATATTGAGCTCATGTAGAACATTCGCTCGTAAACGTACATTAAAACAGCATATCTAAGTGTATAGAAAACAAAACTTTCAGGAGACGAGTTATTTGTTAAATGCATTTAATGTCTTATTAATGTAAACGAATCAAAGGTATATGGAATTAGCGAGAAGTAGCATGAAGTTATATATCTCCAACTGAAAATTAAAAATTTAAAGTTTACAATATAGAAGTATAGCGGAAATATTTTGTTTTTGAGCCTACACTCAATCATGGCTGAAAGGAGTAGCCTCACTTCAAATACTACCCTTATATGTTTTCGGTAAAAAAATATTATGTAAACGTACAAAATTCATGCGTGTGAAGTAACAGCGACATTCTGTGTTACAATTCCTTCAAGAATCGACAGTAAAATTATGGAAACAATATTACTCTACCGTTGATAAACTTATAGAAATATTTCATTAGATATAGCTTCATATGACAAAATGACAATTATTTTACAATTATCAGAACTTATGAAGTAACTGGACTGCAAAGTCTCTGATTTCGAAACAAACTTGATTGTATACATGTATAATGGAATCATTTACAAGTACTGTTCCTAAATGCATAAAGTATGATAATGAAAACACAACAATTATCAATAAAACAAAAATATATAACACAGTAAAATATCATAATTAGTCGGCACATTTACATGAACTTATAATTAAAACAAATTTTAAAACAGGACAAGGGAGTCTCTTTGTAAACGATATAAAATAATTCGAGTACTACTACTAATAATAATCCTGGGTGTAGGTGGTGGGGAATATCCTCTTTGAAGTCATTTTGCGAAAAACTCTATAGAATAACAAGATTCATGTGTAAACATTTCATTCTTCTAGAAAAATCACACCTCCATGATAAAAACGATAGTCTGACCATTAGGGTCCATTATCTGTTATTTTTTACTTTACACTTTTATTGTTAATCTTTCTTTTCTTTTTAATTGTTTATTGTTTCTCTTTAATTGTTTACTTTTTCTCTTTAATTACTCAGTGTTTCTCTTTAATTGTTTACTTTTTTCCAGGGAGACTGTCGTTAATAACGGCATATGTGTTATCAAACAATGTAAAATCTTTTTCTGTATATACTGGTAAACCTGCTTCGTAAGGCGGAGGGCTTTGACAATCTATTCTTATGTTCTCGGGTGTTAAATACATGCTATTAGCAGACGCCACTCTGACATGTGGTGGCCCAGGCGTCCGACAGCTGTCACTACCTCTCTGATAGTCGTTTGGATCGAATTCTGACATTGTTGTAACCGTACGAGATGGTGGAGCGGGCATACCGCGGCCACTTCTTATGAACCTTGTTCGACCTGTTTCGACTCTTAGATTTTCGGTTGAGCAATCAATTGTATTTGGTCTGCCAAGAAAATAAATGAAAAAAAAATAATAAAGAGAATAACAGAAAGATGTTATTATTTGAGTCTCACTTTCTTTATTACTTCTCTTAATTATACCAATTTCTATAATCAGAAACCTTTCTAAAGCATTATTTGACAGAGAAAAAAGCTCCCTGGTTATTAAAACAACAAGTGGTTTTCGTTTTCATAAAATTAAGTGAGTGTCTTCCTTTTTCAGTACATGTTCACGGCTTCAAAATGACGCTCAAATACAAATTTATTGGGGGATAGAGGCGGGGTTAATATATTAGGTCTCATAAATATGTTTTTATATACCTGAATTTCTTGTACCAAACCATCACTATCGCAAATAATGCAATAACTAGTGCTGTCACAGAAATTGCGATCGCTATCGTCACGGTATTGTTATTATCATCATCTGAAATAAAGATTACAATTAATTTATAATTAAGAAAAAAAAAATGTTATTATTATCATTTTACTGCCTTCAAAACGGGAGTAATTCTTGTTAAAGTTTTCTATATTTTCGTTTCAATTTAAATTGTGTTGATTCGAAGCATTTTAGATTTACCAGTTCAAAAATCATGTTTTTTTTCCATATGAAATTGCCTATGCGAATGTAAAAAACCGAATGTGGTTTGTTTTAGAACAGATCAGATTAAACAGCATTGTGCTAAACTGAAACAAATGTAAGATTTTTGGCGGATATAGCAACATTTCAATTAGTTCTTTGATTCTTTGAACTATTGTATTATCTTTAATATTCTGAACGGAATAAAGTGACACAGAAGTAAAGTGGCACGTTCTTGAAAAACGAAACAAACCGCAAAGAAGTAAATTATGAGCAAACGTCTGCTCTTCAAAACTTTAAACAAGGATGGGTGTAACGGTCTTCAAATTTATAGGACATTCTGGGCAAATAACATCCTTTAAAAAAATATGAGGTGGCATATGTCCGCAACAGCAGAAAACGGGGATAAATGTTTGATAAGGGCTAATGTCCAAGGAGCAAGTTTAAAACTAATATAAACTGCATAAATATATCTGGTTTTATGAATGTGACACACATTTTTTACAGCTCACATCTATACAGAATTTGGGTACAGTACTCACCGTCACGAGGGCGTTTTCCCGGAGGCGACATCTTTGTACTTTGTTCCGTTGTCGGGGAGTTTGTCATTGATGTTGATTCTATATTTATCAAGTAAACATAATAAGTTCAATTCAAATCACTCAAAATGATAAAAAGAATTTTCAAGCTCGCTCGACAATTGTTAAATATACCATTTTGTACAAACTTATTACATGTACAAGAATGTGTAATGAAGCCAAGGACATGCCCTCATTTAAAAAAAAATATTTTTTTAAATAAATAAGCTGAGTTTGCGGTTTGTTCACTACCATATTTGACAAAACAAATAATTTCTGAAGCAATTCTCTAAAATTTTGTTTCTAACTAAGTTTCATATGTGTAAACACTTCGTAAAAATGTTCTTTTCTGTTAAAAAAGCTTCAATTATTAATAAGACCTAGCACAAAGTTATCGGAGAAAATTAATGTTGTTTTGCTCCTTTTAAGAATATAGATTTTATTGTAAGATACACTACCTATTATACATTGTGAGCTATCTTTTGAGCCTATAGCATTTGTCGTCTGCCCATCTGGACATGATTCACATGTCGTCTGTCCAGCGTTCGACTGATATTTTCCCTTCTCACAAAATGCACACACGTCATCAATAGAGTGTGTGCCTGCCGGACATGCAACTACAACATCATATAAATGTTATTGTAATGTCCAAAGTGATTTAAATACGCAAATGAATACATATTTTTGAATCGAAATGTTATAAAAGGTTTTAAATATTATTTAAAATGTTTCTTTCAATGTTTTGAATAAAAGGGAAATAGAAAATATAATTATGAAATTTGTAATAAAACAAATGCAGTTCGCCGTGTATATTTTAAATTTTACACTCCCAGAAAAGTTTGATATTGAATGAATATTTACCACAAATGCCGTCATAATCAACAAATCCGCTATCGCACGTGACTCCAGCATCAATTGTTACACTGTCGTCTACAACAGTGTACGTCACGCCGTCAGTGGTGACGTCAAACAACTCATTCGTATTGTTTTGAATGTATTCGGCAGTTTGTTCCAAAAGATTGATTGCGTCTATAACCTCTTGTAGAGCACCATTTGCTATTTAAAATATAAAAATAATTGAAAGTTTTAAATAAAAAAATCCATACAAAAGCATGTTATGTAAATACAGTGTTCATTTAAGATTATCTCGTTTCAATGTAAATGCATGTTTAATATTTCTATATAATGTGAAAAAATCTTGAAAAGATTTTCATAAATATGAAAGACTGCCTATCTGTTTAAAGTATTTTAAATGCCTTGCCCCATTATGTTATAAGAATATTTTAAACTCTTAATATCGTAATGATTTTAGTGATGTTTTCCTATATTTAGGAATGGCATAATTGCTTTAGAGAATGCAACATGTTATTCGATAAATTTTGTACTATTTCACGTCATCAGGAAACTTCCGTAATATTTCACGTCATCCGGCAACTTTCGTATTATTTCAAGTTATTCGGCCACTTCCGTAAAATTTTCATCAATATTTAAATACTATTCAACTCAGTTACCGCCGAGTTCCCTTTCGAAATATGTAACGCCGTGAAAACAATAACAACGTAGACACATTATTTGATATACCAGTTCAAATTCTTGTCCAAAAAATAAGCCCTGGTCCGGGAATAGACATAAAACATACCCAAATATAAAACTTACGTATTCCACTCGATATGTAGTCGCTATAATCAAGGTCTGGTCCCTGGGATGTAGGAATATTAAACACAATCGTCAAGGTAGACTGATCTATTTCTATATTCGTCTGACAGTTAGCAGAATCAAAGCACTGCAGGCCTGATGTTTGGTTTTTTATCAAGTCAATAAAGTCTGACGCAATACTGGCGGGAATCTCTGTGGCATACTCTACAGATATGGTTATGCTAACATTCCCTGGACCGACAGGGTCTAGAAATAAAAGAAAATATAAATGGTAATAAGGAGGCATGCATGCGGTGCGGTGGCTGAACTGTGCTCTGGTAAACTCAATGTAGCTTACTGCCGTGATCCGAAGTGAAAACTACCAGCACTACCACCAATAAGCAGACATTTCATTGTAATTTTGCATTCATTTTTGTTATTGTTTACGATGCAAAAATTTATTATGTCAACGAAAAGACAAATTTGTAATATCGCCAAATAATTGAAAGAGTCAACGCAAATATTTCAAACGCTTGTCATATGTTTCTTAAATTGATTTGCTTTTGCTCTTTATACAATGTAACATTACTATAATATATTTTTTGCAAACGATCTACATGTATACATGTATTTTACTATGTTGAAGTACTAAATACAAATATTTGCAGCTATAAATATGTGCCTTTACTGTTATACATGAAGTATTTTGTAATCGATCATAGGCAATTTATATATCTTATTATAATGTTTCACGGTATGTTAATTTTTTAAATAGTCGCAACTAACCAACACAGCTGGGCGTATTTTCCAAATAATCCCATTCGTAGTTGGTGCTTGGACCACACGTGTATGACTGTCCATCATCTAAACCGGGTGGAAGTACTTTACCATCCTCGCAATATACTGTACATGTCTCATCACCGAATGTTCCGTTTGTAGAACAATTGAACAAGGTCCCGGATGCGCTCGTGAGTTGTTCACAAACTGTGGTTTAGAAACAGCAATTGAAACATAAAAAGTGACAAGATTTTTTGTATTTAAAATTCCATGGTATCTGTGTCGTAGTTTACCTATTTGACTTTGTTCTAAAAACCTCTAAAAGTAATATAATCATACATGTAGTAATAAATAAATCATAAAACGATGATGAAGGGCGTCCATAGTCGAGTGGCTAAGGTTTCTGAAGTCAAACAAAACTGAAACCTCCACCAGATTGGCTTTTACAGTGTTTCCATCAACACAATAAAAAGGAGAAAATGTGGTTTCGTACATACAGGGTTGTTTCTTGTTTTCTAATATTTTTCAACGAGTTCAGGAGTGTTATAGGGTATGTCTGTGGCAAGCTTTAATACAAAATAGATATATAAATCTAAATGAAAAAAAAAATGTAAGATTCTTTTTATAACTTTTTATAACTTTATGTATAAAGTCAGCGATACCGTGTGATATTACTAAAGATTGTAAGCTTTTTTATCAACCATTTGTATACAAATAACGTATCGCAGGTCATCAAATGGGCTAGCACTCACCCTTAAACTTCAAAAAAAAAAAGAAAAAAGAAAAAAAGACATAAATTTTTCTGTTCACAAAAACAAAATCTTTATATTTAGACATGCAAAAGTTCAGATAGAAATCTCACCAGGGCAAGCATCTGTATTACAAGCTATTGTTTCTGTAGCGTCACCAACGCAATCAGCACCGTGTGTATCTGGGACTGGGCTGTTACATTGTCGTGTTCTAGTCAAACTACCAGTTCCACAACTCATTGAACATGCTGAATCGGTCCAGTCTGACCAACCGCCATCCACTGTAGAAAACGAGGGGAAAATGTCTATATCAGAGCAACTTTTTTCTGTATAACTATGCATACCCTTTTAAGATACAGTAAGTATCAGAAATTGTTATCTTTATTCCTGTCAAACATGTGTTTTATAATGCAATAACAAGACTTAGCTATAGAACACACGAGATGCTTATCTCACCAAAATAGCAGTGAACATGACGCGGATTGTGACAAAAGTAGTATAATGTAAACAAAGTGGCATCTTGATTTCAAAACAAAATAATCAGTCACCGTCTAAATAGCTTAGTGTACTAGAATAAAAAACAAGCAAAAATGACCTAGTTATACGGCAAATGAGTGAAATTTTTGGAAAGTGTAGCAATTCATCTAAGAGTAAAATTGATATTTTTGTGCGGATAAATCGGGCCTTAAACAATGCAATAAACGTTGAATTACTGTATCAGATTGAGATTTTATCTATTCATTTATTATCACAATAAAACAATTAACATATAAATTAACTTTTATTTCATAAAAACTTACATGGTGAAACTTCACAAAACGGACCACTGTATCCAGTAGCACAACTACACGTGTAATTTTTAGTTCCACTTATACACGTTGCACCATTTTCACATGCGTTGCCATTACAATTATCCGGTGGTGTCGTACAATTAGTCCCAGACCAACCGCCATCACAAGTACAGATATAATTGTCTTGGACACTGGTACAGTAATGTCCGTTACATGGTGAAGACACGCACTCCTCAAATACTAGAGGGGGGAAAGGAAACGATTTTTGACATAATGAAGGTGAGAAATCAAAGAAATCCTTATAAGATAATACATCTATGGAAAGCCCCAGTACTGTGCCTTTCCATAACTACGGCTTTCCACAATTTGCTGATACCATTGTGTAATTCTAAACAAGTGTATCTTAAATGCATCGCATGTGGTATATTATGTAGTATGTGCTATATTTATTATATAGTATTAGTATATAGACTATGAAATATCTGGTATATTGACTTTGTAGTACATTGTATGTTGACTGTCTAATATCTTCCATAATGATTACATTGTATATAGTATCTAGTATATTGACTATATAGTATTTAATATATCAACTATATAGAATTTGTCTTAAAGTTTGCCGAGGACAGGAGATCATGTAAAGTATAGGCATAAAAACAGACTCAAATGGTATGATAGAGAGAAAAAATATCAATAGCTGAAATTCTTACTTTTGCAATCATCAGCAGAGCTACTGTTTGTTGATGCAGTTATTGTACCGGAAGGACATTGTTTACACGTCGTCTGTCCATACTCATCTTGATAGTAACCAAGGGGACACGTGTTACATATCTCAACAGTACTTGCAGAATATGTTCCTGGACTACATAATTCTGAAAGAAAATATAATCATATTGTTATTAAAAAACGAAATTAACTTTTTGTAACAGCTAACGTAACAATTATTATATTGCATTTTTTTAAAGTATCATTCATTTAACAAATAAACATGACCTTGAGGGCAATATGCAAGTTTACGGACTGATTGGTCAGACTGAGGAAGGTATATGGCCCGAAGCGCAGCTGAGGGACATATACTTTCCGAGGTCTGACCAACAAGTCCGTTTAGTTGTCATTTTAACAATAATTTGCTTTCAAATAATAATTTATTTGTTCAGTGTGTGAACTATCTCAAACCTTAGTCAGATATTTTATTATTATTTTCAAGCGATACAGCAAAAAAAAATCATGCTCTCAAAATATTGAAAAATATTTATTTTACTTAAATTCAAATTAAGTTCATGGGGAGAAAGACGGCAATTATACAAAAATGAGTTAAATATAAGAGGTGCACTTTAATACTGGTAACCATGGTCACAACCACTTCCGATATGATACCGAGTACCTACGAAGACAGTCGGAAAGGGCCAAAAAGTTGCGTTTATTATGGTACTATCATTAAATGAGTTATGTATTGACAAAACACTAAATGTAAAGCATAATTATTTAAAACTTAAAGTATTATAGATAAAGTAATATATTTTATATACTTACTGACACAATCAGATTCGGACTTGGACCCAGATACCGGTGTTGTGTACCCGTTAGGACATGATGAACACGTGCTTGCACTTTCGACGTCCTTATACAGGCCGGCAGGGCACTGATCACATAGGTTGCTTGTTTGGTTAAGAAAGTAGCCAACCGGACATGGCTCTGAAAAATATTTTGCTTATGTTTGAAAATTCGATTTTATAAAAAAGAACAAATAGAATTCGACAATATAAAAATGGAAGCTAATGCTAAAATCTACAACTCTGTACAGTGCATAAGAGTAACAAATTAAAACCAAATGTACTTTTGACAACCGACAGGGAATTGATAATGTCGCTTTAAATTATCATAGCTTTCTTATTTTTTACATTTTTTTAAATTTCTTCTGACCAGGTAATTAAGACACTCTATACGTTGATTTTAAACATCCGAGTGATTAAGCTCTTTGAGAAGTCAGTCATAAGCTGTGTTTTATAATTTTCAGTTTCATAAAAAGAATAAGAATTTAAAAAAAGCCCAAAAAGAGGGACGTAGGACTCTTTTCTTATTTGCATCTAACTTAATCGTTGACCAACTTTCGAAGCGTTTATTACAATATTACGTCTTAAATAAACGCTACTGAGAACATGTTAAAGCAGCCTTCAGCTTTTATTTTTTGTTTGGAAAAAACTTTAAGTGTTGTTTCAAACTAAGTATTTCAATAATTTTATCTCGGAAAAGCACATCATATCATTGTAAAGCCTTCTTCAAATCAGCGATCGGAGAGCTATTTATAACGCGCCAGTAACGTTCGTTTCTAAAATTAGAAGATCTTATGAGTCTTCCCTTTACTAATTTACGTATAGAGAGCTCACCGGCAGATTAGAGTTACCTTGGGGTTTTCAGTTTGTTTATGTACATTATCGACGGCAAATTTCATTTTCCACCATAATTATTTTGATCTGACAATTATATGAAACGAATTATCTAAAAATATCATATTTAACCTTTAGAAAAAATAAAGGCCGCTTTAATTGAAAGCGAATTAGACTGTCATTAGGCATTCTTATTGGCCAGAAAAGTAGGACAAAAACTAAACAATGTATCTTACTGCATGTTGATTGGTCCAGCATGTAACCATCATCGCATATTATGTCGCCGTAACTTGGCGTCGCAAATGAATCGGATTTCAGCACGAAATTTGCGATGTCAAAAGTACCGTTGTTGATCAGATCTTGAACTGCCGGTTTCAGTGTGTTGAGCTGTATATCGTCGTAATAAGTTAATGCATCTAAAAATGTTGTGTTGGTTAAGTTCAAAGGATTAACGATATAAAATTCCAAAATTACAAAGGGGTCTCTGGCTTCTTTTTCGATTTCTGTTCCTTATTTGGGCACGAAATTAAAATTTAAAATTTAAAATGGTACAAATTTTTAAAATTAAAAAAGAATTTTGAAAAGTTGAATTCCATTAAGGGATGAATTCATAAAAGTAAAATCTAATAAGATGCAGTCCTTCCTTATGTTTAGATCAGAATTAGAAAATCATCACTTTGGAATGTACAAAAAAAATTTAAAAACACGGCCCCGATATTTAAACTTTTTAATTTCACGAAACGCGCCTTTTTTTAACCCTTTAAAATTTAAAAGTTTTTAAAATTTGTCCTTTTCCCAAAATGACAAAAAGGGGAAAGCCAGGGGAAGGGGAAATGGAAGATTTTTTCTTGTACCAAATGCAACTGAATTTTGACATTTCTCAAAACAAAATAAAAATTTTAATAAAAATGTCTAAACATGGGGAAGTATTTTTCTTTTTTTTCAAATCTATAAAAAATAATTACATGCGTTGACACGGTTTTCCCTTTCGATCGAAAAAAGTAATTTTAAAGGGGCGAGTTTTTTGGGAAATAGTCCACATTTAAACAATATTTTTTAAAGCAAGAAGGTTCCCCAGAGGGGCCAAACTTTTGTGAAAATGGGCTAACGTTTGTTATCAACTATATTTTGGAAAATTCCGCCTTAATGTCTGCCATAGTCGCCTCATCGCCCGATCCAATTGCCCCATTAGGTAAAATCTCTCAGCCGGTAGCTTCACATATCGAGGATTCCTTTGGTACTAATAAAGGGTGAAAGGTATAAAATTTAAAAATGATTCAACCGTAAAATATTAATGTCCTAGTTAAATATTTTTTTTTTTTTTTTAACGCTTGTTTTTAACTCCATTAATGATAAGATTTTTAAGATGAAGACAAACTTTTTACAGAAAAAGTTTTCACGGTTATACTTTTTTTAATGTATCTGTTGTTTTTTTTATGTTTGACCTTATTTATAAAAACGTTTTACCTCTCGAATTGATTTTAAAGGTTGTCCTTACTGTTAAATTTTAAAATAAAACCGCAAAAGGCTGTTATAATTTTTTTCAAATTCAATACTATCAGAGATATAAAAGTCCATTATATTTGAATATTTTTGGGACTTTTTTTATTTTGTAACTCGTTTTAATTCTAATTCAAAAGCCAAAAATTAAGAAGCCCCACGTTTTTATACATTTCAATGGAGGTAGCCTAAAGCCTGAAAGCGTTAAGTGACTATTAAACGAACTTTCTTTTCAAATTGTGTGATATACGGACAGATGCCTTGCCCTGCCGACCTATAAATGTTTTAATCTCATTGATATCAACCTTTAATTTGACTTATCAGGTTGGGAAACCTTAGTATCTTTATATACTTTACCTATACAGTCTGGCACTGTATCAAATGGAGTCCAATTTCCATCGTCTTTACATAAAAACTGTCCATTAAAGTTTGTGCCCATATTAGGTATATCGAATAGGTTATTACACGACATAATACGTAACGGTCTTGTCAATACTGTGTCATGGGATTAGAGCTCCATTAATTGGTGCTTCTAATTCCGGACAAGCGATTTCTGCAAACAAAAAAGTTTTTTGGTTTTTTTTTAAAAATTTTTACTTTCAAAAATATTTTTCCCGAAGCTTTTATTTTCAAGACGTTTCACCAAGCAAATTTTGCCAAAAAAATTGATCGGGCATGGCCCGGAACAATGACATTGAATTTTGGCCTAACTTGTCTATTATGAAATGCTTTAAAACTACCTTTTTAAAAAGGGGGTTTTCAATGTTTGCTTCAAAACCTACCTCTCAAAAAGGGTTTTGTCACCCAGATCCCCACCCTCCAAACCCCTTCTGTTTGGGTCATTTGCCTCCCGTGATAGATCAGTGCCCTCTACGGCAGGTACGCGCAAACATACGCCGAATGATGACCGAAAACTTTCCAGAGTTGGGTGTTGAACAGAAAACCCATGTATCTCAGTAAAATTATCTAAGGGTGACCACAAAATTTTTTCTAAAAAAGCGAACAAAAGGGGAAAAATAACAGTTATTATTTTAGGCTAACATTATTTTTATGAATGATATAAACCGTCACATTACCAACCCCACAATGCATTTAATTGTTCTAATTTGTAGCTACAAAAGATATATTCGAAAAATGTAACTCAAAAATTCGAATTTGGATTTTGTTGTTCATTGTTAACTTATGTTGTGTATTGTACACGTTTTTAGTATAATAATAGAAAAAAAAGTGTATGCATAAATCTTGGCATCTTTAAATATTGATCCAAAGTATCATTATTTAAAAAATTGGGTTGCTTAAAAATGCATTGCCTACCTTCAACCTGAAGTTGTATAAAACATTCTTGAGATTCGCTTCCATCTTCATCAACTGCCTTATACTTTACTATTTCTGTTCCCACTTCAAGAACTGCTCCCATTGTTGGGCCAAAAGTTTGTACAATGGTAGGATTGTCGTCTGTGGCGTCAGACGCTGTAGGAAGTTGCCAGGTAACTGAAGTTGTCGTCACACTTCTGTCGGCGTAAAAAATCTGCGGAGTTACGCACGAAATAGTCGGCGGCGAATCATCTAAGTTAAATCGTAAACAACATATTTATGAATTAAAAAAATGTAAAAATGAATTAAATGACTGATTTCAATCAAAGCATTAGCAAGTTCTGCATTACAGAAGTTTATTTAACAATGCATAGTAAGTTAATTACACTCATATAAACATAAAAAGCAAATTTTCAGTGAGATTGTATCCTACTTTACAGACTACACCTTACCAACGCATGATGTAGCTCCAACGTTTGACCATGTACGGTCTGCCTGGCATTGCATAAAGTAAGCTCCTTTCAGGGTGTACCCTACGTCACATTTCATTGAACATACCGACAAGTAGCCGTAGTCTGGATCTGAACACTGTGCCGTTGTATGCACAGGGAAATTCGGCTCACTACAGGTGATTTCTATAACAAGATGAATATAATATTAAAGGCCCATTATTCTCGAGAATTTTTTTTTAATTCTTTTTTATTTCTCAAACGCTTCTAAACTTTGGTGTCCTATTTATATTTTTCATGAGTGAGATTACCTGAACCATCGTTAGCGTCCGTTGCTTTTTGGCAATGGGTACAGTTATAAAGAATTAGTATTTTGCATGGAAGTCGGAATACTATTTTTTCCAGTTTGCTACATTTACGACAAATTCTTCACATTTTTATCAACCTTCTTAAGGTGATGAGCATCTAACATGCTCGGAGACCATTTTTGAATGAGAAGGAAAAAAGTACTCGTTTCTAAGGCATAATGTGCTTTTAAATACTTTACACAGTGTCTGCGTTTTATTCTACGTGATAATTCATCTGATAAAAAGAGTGCTTTTACTAAAATTCCATAGAGCTATTTCCGGTCCGCTATATAGAGGTATATTTTGTTTATGATATCTATTTTAACACTCCGTCAGGACTACCGGTTCCTCAAAGAATTCTTTTCTTTACTTTCAACATATTTTTTACTACTTTGAAAATATTAAGCAAGAATCAAACTTACTTTCACAAGTTGGAACAGCTGACCATGATGGCGATGCCGCATTTTGACACGTGACTGTACTACTTCCGGTCAGCTGGTACCCAGTATTGCATGTATAGTGACATGAACTTCCGAGAATATTCTTGTTGTCACACGTTCGTGCGCCATTTGGAGGCCACGACGGAGAATTACAAGTTAATTCTTGCAGAAAAAGGAATGAGTATAATTAATGACTAATTGATTTTACATTTTATTATACAGCTGTGATCTATTCTTTCTGTCATGATTATAACATTTATCATTCATTAATGTACAGTGTACGCAACCGAACTTCACACATGATAATCCTGCATTATGGTTATATATAATCATGCGTCATATTTCCACAAAAGTATCATTCAGAATTTTATTAATAGATATGTGTCCTTTTAAAGTGAATTGGTCTATAATGGAAGGTATGTAATACAATAAAGTATAACGTTGTTAGACAAAACATGTAAAGAGTTATACTTTGATGTTGTTGGCAAGTGTGAGATGATCAGATATTACATATATTTTATAGCAGATAATTAAATGTTACTTAGAACTTTGTCAACATTATCTTTTTCAAGTTATATTTTATAAGATATCCAAATGATACATTTCTATTGTTTTTATCGTTTTTTTGAAATCTTCAAAAACAAAAATAGGGGTATGGTAAAAACCAACCCAAACTTTAAAAAATTTAAAAAATTCCCGATAGCAATAAAACATTGACAGAAAAACCCAAAAAAGCAAAACAAAAAATGGCCGGAAAAAAAAGTTAAACAATAATAACATGAATTATCAAAAAAAAAAAATTTTATTGGGCTTAAAAAAAAACTATAAGTAAAGAGAAGGTCGAAAACTCCAGATTCGAGTCTACGAGCAAGGGGTTCATTTCCAGGGACATTGTGAAAACATTGTCCAGATAATTAAAAAAATAAGCTTACAAACATGCATATGTCTATATTTACGTACCGATTTGTTGTGCCACTTTTTTGTCTACCTAGGAGTTTTAGCACGAGTTCGCTCGTTTGTTGATATATATTTCATGAACGGGAAAGGCTAGAAACTTGGTTACGGTCTCATTTGGAAGCATAATACAAACGTAAAATAATGATAAAAGTTTTTTTTAAATTATCTTGACAACTGTTTTCACAACGTCCCGGGAAATGAACCCATTGCTCGTAGACTCGAATCTGGAGTTTCCGGCCTTCTCTACTTATAGTATATTTTTAAGGGGGCAAATTTTTTTAATTTTTTTTTTTTCAATTTTTTTTTGGTTTTTGACATATTTAAGATGAACACAGAGGTTTTTCATCAATGTGGTCATATTTCCTTCCCAGGTCCGATACTCTTGCCTTAGCATTAAGTAACCATAACAGATTTGAAATTATTACAATGTTTTATATAAAAATGCTTGAAGGTGCATAAATACAAGAATGTCATTTTGCCATGAGTATTCGCGACTGTCGACTAAGCATACCAAAAAGACAACAATCCAATAAAGAATAGAAAAAAGAACAACAATGGTCTTCCATAGAACACATTACCTACCAGTGATAGTGAAGGAAAAATAACAATGTCCAGTAAGGCCATCGGAGTCGGTAGCTTTATAAGTAATATAGTGCGTCTTTCCATAGGTAGCTCCATCGAATCGACCTCCATTTCTACCACCACCAACTTGTGTAACACTGTTATTGACATATTTTACAAACAAGTTATTTCAGATGTTCAACTTCATTATGAATACGTTGTATTAAAGTTTGGAGATAGTTCTATTGAAAATTTGTTAAATGAATTACATCGTATACGAATAATTGCACAGTGCGGTAACTGTAGTGCAGTTATAAATTACCCGCACCGCACTGTTTGTCGAGGATAAACATAAAGTATGCTCGTTGATTGGCTAGTAGCCTACATTTTTTCTGAAGTTTATTTATTGTGATGATAATGACAGAAAATTCATAGTCAGATGCTTGTTTATTGCTTACATTTTTCTGGGGGTACATAGTGTGACGACAGGGGAAGTGTTGTTTTTTTTGCCTATGATACAAAACAGAAAGAACATCAAAACACTCGGCAATCTGATTAATACTATCGTTCTACTTAATCTTATTTCTTTGTTTTAATTGGTCAATTACAATTATTTTTGGTCCAAAATTTAGCTTCAACATTTAAAAGGAATCAGATAATGAGATCCTAACCAAAGGATAATACCTTGGTGTGCCTCCATTTCTATCCGAGGCTCTTGGCACGGTCCAGCTAACAACAACGCTGTCCTCTCCGGAACCAATGTTGTAATTACTTTGGATATCGTTTGGTGTACATGGTACTGGGAATGTAGGCGGATACTTGGTAATTGTCCTCACACCTCCCCCTCGTCTCCTTCTACCTATTTTGTGACAAAGAATAGGACAAAAATGGAATAGAAAATAGAAGTGCCCACATGACGGCACGAGCCAATTACAATGTTTTGTACTCCATGAGTAACTTGAGGAAATGATTAAAATTATCTCAACAAGTTTCAACACTGTCACTTTATTTATTCAAAAAAATCTATAAAAAGGAAAATATAAAGTAGAATGATTTGTAACTGTTATTCTATATCAATAACCCACTAAAATATTTAACTTTTTTATACAATAACCCTGTATTGAACGCGATAGCTTGGTAGCAATCACCAAAGTCTGGGTAATTTTTATAGTAACACAAACTTTTATTTCATACATTATGACAAAGAAACATTTTCACGTGCCAATTATGGTTTTGAAAAAAAAGTGAATTATTTTTGCTTTAAAAAAGTGAATATTTTTGCATTATTTATATCCTCATAAGGGAATTTAAAAAAAAGACCCCGTTCTGATAAATTCTTTTTTAGGGCTAACAAACCTATAAGCAATTTACCGGACATTTTTAATATGAATAGTTTTATTGCTTTAAAAAATTAATTAAAAGTACATAAAAATGATATAACAATGTGGTATATAATCAAGGTCATAATTAAATGAAATAAATATCTATAAAAGAATTATTTTCTTACGAATTTTTACTTACAGAAAAACCCGCAAATCACCACCGGGATAATAAGCCAAAAGAACCGCTTTCTTCTGTTTAATGTTGCTGTGGAAATATATGAAAAAAAGTAGATTAATACTTTTTTAAGATTCAAACAAATTTAAATCTGAAAATCAAAGATATTTGAAGAAAAGATTACTGTTATTAAATTGTCAATAGTCATTCCATTATGTAAATATATGTTATTATTGGGTTTCTGTTAATAAATAAAACAGAAAAATCAGTGTTTAGCAAAGGGTTGGCATTATACATGAGACTGTGCAGGAAAAGATATTGCTGTTACTAAATTCTCGGTATCTTTTTTATCATTCACAAAAACTTTGATATCTTAACTCTCCTGATGTTACTTACACGTTTAACAAGGTGATAAAAGAAACAATTTTTTATGTTTTTAAGATGCTTTATCCTTATATTCAATAAGATTGTGTAAGATTTTTAATTTAATTCATACCGACAGAGCTATCGGTTCCCGACCATTGACCGTGTTCGCAAGTATACACTTTTCCATCTTTCGCAGTGCATACTCCCTGATGTTTAACCGTGTTATCAACTTCATCTTCTTCCGAACAGAAATCTATGCTTACAAAATTATCAATTTCGGCGATGTAACATTTCTCTGCATCAGAGTCCTGCAGATTAATAAAACGTATTTTCACACCTTTCTTTTATTTAACAATCTAAGATACATACGGACACCCAACAACTTTTTACATCTTACTTATATGAACTTCTTTGTTCAAATTGGATGTATTAAAGTTTTCAAAGTAGTTATCAAAGTTCTTAGTTCTTATTTTCTTGCAAGAGATTTTTTCCAAACTTCATAACTTAATTAGAATTTGGTTTGTAAAAAACATTTTTTTACTAATCTCAAACTTTTCTCTAAAGGCAAATTAACATTTATTAGCTAAGAGAACCATCAACAAACAAACATCAAATCAATCCAAGGACTGTAAATCTGTTATATCTAAATTACAGATAATCAATAAATTGTATAACTTCTGTAACACTAAAACGTCTCACTAAAACAAAAACACAGGTGTTAAACTGGCGTTTAAGCGAACGCAGAAACAAAATGGCAAGTTACTGTGGATGGTTTATTTTCTCAACCCAGTTAAGATGGGTTCGAGCACTAATATAGCGACAAAATGTCTCTGTAATTACATAAGCACTTGTAAAACCCAAGAAACGGTCTCGCGAATAGTTTGCCACAAGCTTTAAGGTTTCGTCCCAATCGAATGAAAACGAATATGTTTAAACTTATGCGGAATATATAATTATGTTATTGAAATAGTACAATTAGACTTTCGAACAGGAAAATAAAGGGAATACCGAACAAATCTCCTTTTTTTTGTAATTTTAAACTTTTTGTTTAAAGCTACCAAAACAAATTGAAAGAAAGAAAGAATTTTATAACTTACATACATAATTCATCGACCTGACACGTGATGCTGTTACATATAGATATATAGGTATATGGTAAAATGAGGCCTATTAAGCCCAATAATGGTCAGGCCATGTGACCCAAAAACTTACTCATTGATCATATAGGAATGACGGGAATGGAAATAGTATTTCGAGAATAAGGTTCCATTTGATGAAGATCTACACCAAAAATATTCCAAATCATTCGCTAAATCTTTTTTTTTTCCCTTTGGTTTTTTTTTCGAATTATTAAAAAGACTCGAAATTGAAAAAAAAATCTTTTCACTCAGATTGGGCTAAAATAGCACACACACACACAAAAAACAATTGTAACTTTATTATTTCAGCATAATATGTCTTATTTCTTACTAAATTTTGCATATCGTTCTGTTTTTAGTGTCCCAACTGATCTATGTAAGAAATATTTTTTTTTAGACTTTTGGATTTCACTGGAGTTCCATTAAGTCCACGAATTTAGTCACTGATTTAGTATTGTGTATGGAAATCAAATGCTACAGTAATTTTACTTGCATACTTTTATAACAAATTATTTCACATTCAATTCTTTTCGGGTGACATTGTTTCCAAACCAAAATTAAACGAGTATAAAACACATTTTTCCTCTCTGAAGATATAAAAAAAGATTTACCCATTTTAGAGGATTCGTGTGCCTTTAAAAGAAACAAAAGCGCATCTTTAAATATTGTAAGTTTAAATATATCCTTACCATTAAATTTCTATTTGCTAGTGATATTAAGACACCAACTAATAAATTGGTAATTAATATAAAAAGAAAAGACTTACGGTGTTTTGTGTTGAGAGGCCAACACCAAATCCCAGGAGAATAAAAATTAAGAAGATATTCGCCATATTTTTTCAACGCGACATTACTTCACAAAGTACTATTTTGCTATAACAGTCGCGCAGTTAGGTTTATTTTACTTCCAGGTTGAGTCAGTTAGTATTATAAATATTGTACGCCAAATCAACTGCTTTAACTATGTAAGACGAGAACGTTGATTATATTTGATTAAGAGACGTCTAATTATGCAAATAAGTGTCGCTGGTTTGGTGTATGACAAATAAAAACTCATCCCAGCAAATTATTCATTATTTATTTATAGCGCTTACGACTTTTTTATGTCATTTTAAAAAAAAATTATTTATCTATTTTTAATTTTGGGTTTTGGTTTCTAATCTGATACCAGGAATCATATTTTGCAATTAATATTCAAATTTCTTCTTCTTTCTTTTTAACTTCTTTTTACTTATGAATTTATTTTCAGGGATTATTTTTTTTCTGACGCAAGGAATTTAAATTTGTGCAAATAATAATAATTACTATTCATAGCAGGAGACTTGTAAACGTCGCCAAATTATTTGACATTTGTTCTTTTAGACGTTTAAGAATTGCATGTGTATCATAGAGTTAAAATGGTCCTCTTCCTAGTCTGTGTCATGGTTATCTTGAATCGTAAAGATTTAAAAAATAATCTACTGATTTTTTTATAAAGGACGAGTAAGTCATAAGTCATATCATTATTTAAATCAGCCAAATCTTTTCAGTGGATTTGGGGTATATAAAATGAAATGTATACAGATTATCAACAGTAACCAATCAAAATTAATCATGTACCTTTATGTCAATACATTATCGAAGTAATGTCGAATAGTAAATGAAGAACATTTTAATGGATTTTTGTCAAATTGAAATGATTCTGCCTTTTTTTCATCCATTCCAATTATTTAGAAAATATTTGACATAATGACCGAGTTCTGTGCTAAAATCACGTGTCATCCTCGTGCACAGCTAACACAACATAAAAGAATATTAAACTTATAAATTTGTTCAATCCTTTTATGCAGCGGACAAAGTCCTACTTTTGAACTGAAATGTGACTTGCGAGTATTTCTTTTTGCGGCTTTTAATCATTGCTTACACTACATGCCACAATAAAACGATGAAGTATAGAGCCTTGGATTTTAGCAAGAAACATCTAAAAGTCTTCCAGTGACTTCTCATAGCAGCCAGTGTCTTTCGATAGTAACCATTGACCTTCATAGCAACCAATAACTTTCCATAGAATTCATAAAATACCATAGCAACCAGTGACTTTACATAGCAACTACTGTCTTCAATAGCAACCAGTGACTATCCATAATATCCATTGACTTCCAAAGCAACCAGTGATTTCCCATAGCAACCATTGACTTCCATAGCAACCACTAACTTTCTTTGGCAATTTTTGCCTTCTATAACAATCAGTGACTTTCCATAGCAACTAGTGTCTTTCTCCAGCAAGCATTGACTTTCAATAGCAACCATATACTTCCATAGCAACCAGTGACTTTCTACAGCAACCATTGTCTTCTAAAGCAAACAGTGACTTCCCATAGTAATGAGTGACTTTCAATGCAACCTTTGACTTTCAATAGCAACCGATGACTACCAAAGCAAACAATTGCTTTCTATAACAAACATTGACCTCCATAGCAAACCGTGGCTTAATAGCAGCCATTGACTTTTATAGCAAACAGTAAATTTCCATAGCAACCAGTGACTTCTATAAAAGCAAACATTAACTTTCTATAGCAACGAATGAATCTACCATTGAAGTTCATATCAGGCACTGACTTCCAAGGAAACCATTGAGTTTTTATAGCAACCAGTGACTTCTTTACTATCTATTGTTTTCCCTTAGCAATATCAACCAGTTTCGCTAAAGTTTACAATATAACTTGTTCCTTTTCATTTAGAGTATTCATATTTATGTTAGCGATATTAGGACCACCATGTCCCTTTTGTGTATTTCTTAAATATGTATCGATTATAGAGCTTTTACCTCACTCGATTATTTTTTTCTTTCTTTTCTTTGTAAAAACATTACGCCACTGCAGTGAACGACTTTTAATTAGAAAGAGCAATATACCGCTATATTATATAGCTTACGCGTGAACTGAATAATTTGATTGGAGCACCATATGCAGTTTAAACCGAATATAGCTTACGCGTGAACTGAATAATTTGATTGCAACACCATATGCAGTTTAAACCGAATATAGCTTATAGTTACTACGACTTTAATGACTACAAGTCTTCGATCACGATCTACGACTTTAATGACTACAAGTACAAACTTCGACGATGGCTGCCACAACTACAACTTCTTTGAATACGAATACGACTACACTGGCGACCACGGCCACTACTACGATATGGAATAATACGAATACGAATACAACCATGAACATAACAACGTGTTTAACCACAAATGTTAATTTTACTTACACATTTAAGACCTCTACATTAACTGCTACTTCTACAACAGAGAATCAGGCTGAGGCTACAAAGATAATCACGACTACGTCTTCAAAGACTATGACGGTAACAACGGCCACGAATTTGATCACAACTACGATTAAGACATCTTTAATGACTACAAGTCGTTATCTAAAATAATGAGGAGCTCGGCCACGCATACAACTTTAAAGACTTTGTGCACAACTACGGTACCATGACTACACATTTTAAGACTGTGCCGACAAGATAGCTCATGACTTCGACCATGACTACAACTATTATGGCAGGTCGTTATTTCGTTATTTTCGACAACGCCTACGGCGACCATAAGTATTTTAGACGTCTAAGATTACTAATACACATTACAGGTCGACTACTTGTTTTCAAAGACCTTATGCTGTAGACCACTCGAGAAGATACAAGCCATATTGAAAAGTAATAATCTTAGTATTTAATTGTTCGTTTTCCTGGTTTTGTCGCCGATTTTAACACATGTTTTACAAAACAGTCATACCCTGGCAGTCGCGTCTACCTTTTTTCTGGATAACTTACCAGTAATTATCTGCTGAATGACAGACTACTAACCTCACATGAATTCTGAATAATTGGTGAGAGTAGAAATTAATATTAGACTTATTGTTCAAAAATAAGAATTTTATTCTCACAGAGAAATCACGCCTCGTCTAAGGATCGAACTTCCAATTTTCTCTCTATAGAGCCAAGGGAACGCGCAGTTGTTAACTAAATCCTCATCTTAACCAAGCCCAAATTCAATATTTAAAAAAAAAAGCTAAAGCGATTTTATCTTGTTTCGTTTACTCATAACTATTCGATTTTATCTTGTTTCGTTTACTCATAACTATTCGATTTTATCTTGTTTCGTTTACTCATAACTATTAAGCAAAAAATGATATCTATTTCACTAACTATATAGATACAACTTAAAATATTTGAAAAATGGTCTTTCATTAATGTAAAATAAAAAGTTAAATTAAGTATTCACTCAACCAACAGCAAACACATTATTAAACACGTATTGCTGGTCAATTCGTTTCAAGACTAGCTTTTTTGTGATCTACAATTCATGTATAAATCTTTTAACAGTAAAAAATTGTAATAATTTAAATTAATTTGTTTCTATAACTTCCTTTTTCATTTTCCAATTAACTTTACAGACTTCTTACAGGTCATGGTGAAATAATTTTATACATAACTGGGTAATGACATATGTATAAATTGATGGACTATTTTGATTGAGGCATTGATTAATGAACTCTTTACAAAATAGAAATACTTGGCCTTAAGTTCCCCAGCCTTTGGAATTCAGGTGATCTTTCAGTCATCTAGTTGTTTTCATCAGATTTTAGTACAGCAAGCTACATGCTATTTGACTATCATTATTGATTTTTTTTTTAATTTACAGTTTAAAAATAAAAAAAAAACGAACAGAACACGCAATCTTAAGGTATCGTTTTTCACTTTTTTTGTTCTTTATTCATTACTTTTTACTAGTTATTTGTTACAAGTGAGACACTACATTATCAATGTACGCGCCAAAACAAAAACAAACACAAAGGACTATATATATATTTTTAAAGGATGGAAAAATGCATTTAAAGCCTAATATCTTGCATGTACTTTCATATTTTTAAATCATCATCATAAACATCAGGCCTGCTGTTTTTATTTTATTTCTTCATCTTTTTTGTTTGTTTCCTTTATGTTTCCTATTTATTTATCGACTGACTGACTAGCTAGCTGGACTGCTGACTGAGAAGCGGGCGGACCGACCGACCGACACTAAAACACTATGTTGTCACTTTGAATTAAGTTAACCTAAAATTTGAATCAGTTAGTTTTCTGAGTGAGGGGATAGTTTCAAAACACAGCCATTAATTTGTTTGTTATGTAAACAAAAAAGTTTATGCAACAACTTAAGTCGATGAATTCGCATGATTTATTATTGCTGGTGTTTTGTATTCGCATTCAATTTATGCTTTATTAGCGAAAAATGCACGAAATTGTGCACTAAACGAACATGATCGTTTTACGGTATAAGAGCACAAAATATAGTTTTTATGTTAGTTTTAATTTTACATAGTATATGTTTAAACAAATGTAATATAGATCATTGAAACTATCAGAATGATAGGGCAGGACACTTAATCCTTGAAATAACCTTAATTTTGGACTGGATAATTAAACCTGAATCAGCAAATTTGGCAACCGGTTGACAAAAGAAGTTTTTTAATCGTTATTCTTTTATTATAATAAGGAAGTAGGCTGCAAAACCAATTTGTTATTTCGTATAAGGAAGTGAAATATGATATATTCTGAAAGAAACTATTGAATGGTTTATTGAAAAATGATCAATACAACTATACAAGAGTTTATAAAGAAAACTTTACTTTATATGGCTCCGTTTTTATTTACCAAAAAAATGTCCTGCAGATTTCAGAGAACCCTACAAAAGACTGATAGATATTTAGGCCGTGGTTTGATGACTTATTATATGTAGGGTGGTTTCACATTGTGGTACATATTTATCAGATATGTAATACAAAAGAAATTGTCTTTCAACATCTTATGAAAGAGGTTATATTTAATAATATACAACAGTTCATGTTTAAATGTCGGAGATTTATGTCACTAGACTAGTAGGGCACACGTTATTGAAATACTGTTTAAATAATTAGTAGTTGAACGTTTTTAAAAGGCATTATTAAAGTGCAGTTATGATTCCACGATTCTACATTACTATATTTATTATTTTATTTTACTATTTTCCTAAGTTCTAATAAGGATATTCTAGTCATAAGTTTAAGGCCTTCTGTCGTAATATAGAAATTTCATTTATAAATTATTCACGCGAAATAAAATATTTAATTGACGTTTATATATTTCGAAGCCGACCATTAACGCCCGTTAAAAACAGAACAGAACAGAACTTTTATTTTTGATTTGTACATAGTACATTTCAGTGCAATCAATATAAAAAAATCAATAATATAGATAATATAAAGAAATCAATGATTGTAATGTAACTTAAGTAACTACAGTTTGATTTAACATTATACATAATTTAATATTAAAGTTATAATAGTCATAGCATTTATTTATATTTTTTGTAATATACTGCTAATTTACATGGCTACCTTCTATTATTACTTTGCAGCAACGCAATAAATTTGTACATACTTGGATCTTTTAATAGAACGGATGACAAAATACACTTAAACCAGCGGTGTGGGCGAAGGGATACAAATCATCAGTAAGCCTCTATATGTTTATACTTTTGTTGATAGTGGCGACGATTAACGATTTGTTGGAACAGGTTGTACGATCAAAGGTCGATGATATCATTGACAAACATTTCAAAGAGCTTTAAACATTTTACAAATGCATACAAAACAAAAATTGGCACTTAAACTTTTATAACAAAACCTCGTCAATAAGTAATAAAAGACGATGACGGCAAGAATAAAGGGGGATTTTAGACTGGTTTTATTTCTGTTACAAATATAGACTTTATGAGCTGGTCTTCCGGGTAGATCACAAAAGAACATGTCATTGTGATATGTTTTGTAATTAGTGTAGCATGCAACTAATGCCTAAAAATTGCTAAAAATTATAGAGGAATGTAGTTATACAAAATCTGCCAAACATACTTTTGTTCAATCCGAAACTTGTAAAAGTTACCTGTACAAGGACAAATATTCAGGTTAAACCTATCGTCTTTGTCCATAAAATAAGAACATTTTTTTTTGTAAAAAAGTGCATTTTATTCTACAATAACAAATTCTTATTCAAATAACAACCTGCAAAACATGTTTTATTTATTTTGTTAATTATGTATATTACACCAAACATTGGAATACGACCAACTTTGGTAAAATGACGAAAAACAAAAAATATGTATATAAATAAAACACGTATCGTATACTTTTAAACCGTTTAACCTGAGGGGGAGGGGTTGTAATTATTCTTTTATTATTCTATTGATAGTAAAAAGAAAAGAAATGTTTACGCATTGCTTTTCTTAGGGCAGTTTCAACATTATTTAGTATGACTGTGTATAGAGTTATAAATGATGAAATATTTTAAATATAAAAGTTTAAAAGTAAATTTTGATGTTTTCATGACCTTTTAGTCGTTTGTTTTTTTTGACATGAATGCCTGTAAAACGTAAACAGAACTAATAATATATGTCATATGTTTCGTTTTTGATCGGAATATATGTCCCGAGGGGACCCGCCGATTGGGCGGTAACATGGCTTGCCAAGCTACCGTCAAGGGGCTGGTTCCCGAGGGATGAATATTCCGCCCATGGGCGGGTTCCCGAGGCATTGATATTCCGCCCATTGGCGGGTTCCCGACGGATGGATATTCCGTTCTGAACCGCAAACATATGTCAGATATTTTTTCTTGCATATTCTAACGTTACCAAACAACTTTTATTACATACATATAGCATACAACAATTGTTACATAAATATAACATACAGCCGTTATTACATACATGAAGCAAATAGCCATTATTACATACATATAGCATACAACAGTTATTACATAAAAATGACATACAGCCGTTATTAAATACACATAACATACACAATTATTACATAAAAATAGCATGCAGCCGTTATTACATACATATAACATACAGCCGCTATCACATACATGATACATACAGCCGTTATTACATACATATAACATACAGCTGTTATTACATACATATAACATACAGCCGTTATTACATACATGTAGCAAACAACCGTTATAACATACATATAACATACATATTACGTACATATATAATACAGCCATTATTACAAACATATAGCAAACAGCCGTTATTACATACATATAACATACAGCTGTTATTACATACATATAACATACAGCCGTTATTACATACATATAACATACAGCTGTTATTACATACATATAACATACAGCCGTTATTACAAACATATAGCAAACAGCCGTTATTACATACATATAACATACAGCCGTTATTACAAACATATAACAAACAGCCGTTATTACAAACATATAACAGACAGCCGTTATTACAAACATACAGCAAACAGCCCTAATCAATGATAAAGGTAAAGTGTAAGACATGTTTTTCAAGCAATTGTCCATGATACAGTACACAATGTTTTCAGAAAAGTTATTAGCAATATATCTTCATGTAGATATAACAATAAACTATAAGAAACTGTATTATCAATTGTTCATTATACAAATAAACAAAACGTTTGCAGAGAAGTTATTAACAATTTATCTTCATGTAGATGATAACATGCATGTTTCAGTCTCATTTGCCACATAATTTATGTATTTTTCATTCTAGATATTCTGTTATCATTAAACTCACAAAATAAGCAAAATTTTACAATTCACAGATGGCAAAATTTATATACATGTAAAGCCTTATGCACTTAGAGTCTTTCTTATTCTCTTTAAATATATTACACAATGTTAGTTGGGGTTTTAATTTGGCATTATTAATGTGAAGATATTACGTAAGAATGACCAGTATGTCGTTTCATCCAGTTATATATGAAAAAGTTAAAACATAAATAAGATGTAATTATATATATATATTTTTCATGATTACTATCAATTTACATAAATATGTCATTGTATTAAGTACTAAAAAGGCACGTGATGTACATATATTCATATATGAATATTGACTTACATGTTAACATGTAAATATTTTTTTTATACATGTATGTATCGATAGATACAAAGAAACAAACGAAAAGTTTAACATTACTGTGTGAGGTGGGACGTGGGGACTCCGGGGATACACCCTATATGGCATCTAAATAAATTTTACATGTGCATACAGATAATTGGCATCTAGTAAATGCAATAAAATGAAAAAATAACCATTAAAACTGTCCATACACATTCTTATAAAGATAATTGTGTGTTATTAACACTTTAGTACTACAATGAAAAGTAAGTTTATCTCCACCCATTAAACATTACAGCCCTGCCAGCTTAGTTCAAGTTGTCGAAGGTTTAACGGAGTAGGCCCTACTTTTTATAAACATGAAGCTGTGGACATAGGCCTTAACTTTTTGTATAAATGAAGCTATGAAAGAACTCCTCACCATTTAGTATATATTGAGCTATATTTTACGTGGTAAACGTACCAGTTGACAAAGATATATTATATACTTTATAATCTATAAATAATCTATAAATAATCTATAAATAAAATCAAATCTACAGTAATCTAACATTGAAAAATTTAGAAAAAGGTGGGGGTCTTAAATAGTCAAATGAAAAATACATAAATTTTGTAAAAACGCAGGTTCGGGTTTATTGAGTGTAAGTTGTAAAAGCTCTTAAAGACCCTCTAAGACCGGCTTTGGTCGAATTCAATTTTCAATATGAATATATCTTAACATATTGTCCGTATGAACCAAAAAAAAATATATACTAACATTAAATGCAATTAAGATTGAACGGATTTCAAATGAAACCACAATAATTTATGTTTTTTTTATCAGTAACACCTGACATCGACATTTTCTTTTACACATTCAGATGAATATGCAGAACAAAACGAAGAAAATCCGTCTGTGTTCTGTAAAATGTTTAAATAAAGGTTCTGCAGGGAGTCTCTTGTGGCGTCATTATTGCAAGATGACGTGTAGACATAACTAGCATATTCTGGATGATAAGCTTCCGCGTCATCGTACGTGTAAATAGGTACTGTAAATAAATGTTAATTAGCATAAATAAGTTATTTCTATTGAAAATAGAAAAAGGGCTATTCAATATATAATTCATATGTTACAAACAGCATTATGCTAGCCAGAAGATAAAGATATTTGTCGACTAACTCTTAACCCAAATGACGCCATAAATAAATAGAACGGTATCCCATCCTCGAGGCAAGTTTATTTAAAAGTAACATTATTTCATACGTAGACATTAGATCTAATTCTATATTTCTGAAAGGAAATTTGAAAACGTATCACATAATATTATGTATTATAAGAAAATGAACTTACCATCACAGTCTGGAACCGGATTTGAAGCTATCCATGTACCGGAAGCACCACAAACGTACATTGTTTCGTAACTTTCAGACGGACCAATCGTGTAGTTTTCTTGGCATGTGATCATGCAAAACTGACCATAATCTGTCTGCCAGTTGTTACACAATATAGCACCGTTTACGGGGACGTTTAGCTCTGGACATGGAGTCGCTAAAATATATGATTTTTTTATGATTGAAGGTAAAGGCCGTTTATCATAAGTCTTATAAGATCAGTGCGTTTGTAAATTTTTAGATTTTTTTGGTTTTCTAATTTGATTTTTATGAACACATTTACAATGTCACCTCTTTGTTTTTCAGCTAAGATAAAACGAATCCACATGTGTATATCTTTTTCATGGAACATGTTAGCTAGCTGACAAGCCTTTTAACCCATTACTTCATATACACGCCTTTTAACGCCTTTTTCACCCCCCCTTTTTGTTGTCTCAAATGGTGAAAAAATGCATTATCTAGGCCCTTAACACTTGTTTTTGTTTGAGAAATGTTGTTTAAAAAAAGTGACCACTTTTTCGGCGCGGCCCCCCAACCAAAAGATACATCAGGGGGTTGCCAGAAGGGGGACGTGCCCCCTTCTGTTTGGGGGGTTTGAAGGGGGGCAGAGTCCCCCCTCATCGCCAAGAAAATTTTGGACTTGTGAGAGGCTATAAATGACCCCAGATTGATCATAAGGTAACGTGTAACCAACGCTGAAAAGCATTTGACTCTATCTCAATCCATTGAGAAGTTGCAGCACTTTGAAATCAATTATGATGGAAAAAATCAACGCAAAATAGTGATTTTTGGCAATTTTGAGATGTCCCCTCGTTGCCATGGTAACAGAAAGTTTAAGCCTGAGCATGTTGTTTCAAGGGCAATGGTCCAGTCAACATTTGTGCCAAGTTTGATTAGTGTTGAAGCAGTTTTTATAGTATTATAACAATTTGAACTTGTAACGGGAGACTTTTCAATGAAAACAGCCATTTTTCACAAAATGCTCATGAAGTAATGGGTTAATGAAAAAAATAAAAAAATCTACAAAACAACAATTTTTCTTCAAATTTATATAACAGGCCATGTTTAAACATGGAAAAACGCAATTTAGAGTAATTTCAAGTATTTTCATCATTTTCTGTTAACCCATTACTTCATATACACGCCTTTTAACGCCTTTTTCACCCCCCCCTTTTTTGTTGTCTCAAATGGTGAAAAAATGCATTATTTAGGCCCTTAACACTTGTTTTTGTTTGAGAAATGTTGTTAAAAAAAGTGACCACTTTTTCGGCGCGGCCCCCCAACCAAAAGATACATCAGGGGGTTGCCAGAAGGGGGATGTGCCCCCCTTCTGTTTGGGGGGTTTGAAGGGGGCGGAGTCCCCCTCATCGCCAAGAAAATTTTGGACTTGTGAGAGGCTATAAATGACCCCAGATTGATCATAAGGTAACGTGTAACCAACGCTGAAAAGCATTTGACTCTATCTTAATCCATTGAGAAGTTGCAGCACTTTGAAATCAATTATGATGGAAAAAATCAACGCAAAATAGTGATTGTTGGCAATTTTGAGATGTCCCCTCGTTGCCATGGTAACAGAAAATTTAAGCCTGAGCATGTTGTTGCAAGGGCAATGGTCCAGTCAACATTTGTGCCAAGGTTGATTAGTGTTGAAGCAGTTTTTATAGTATTATAACAATTTGAACTTGTAACGGGAGACTTTTCAATGAAAACAGCCATTTTTCACAAAATGCTCATGAAGTAATGGGTTAAGTAAGATATATTGAAAAGTTTGAATCTGTATATGGAGTTGTCACATTGGTTTTTGAAACATATTGAAGATATTTTCATAAACATAAGATACCAATAAGATATTGTAAGGTTGGACTTACGTCGAACTTTGATTTGGAAGCTGCACTCAGTGCTAAGACCGTTTGATACTTTAGTTGCCACATATTGCACAGTGTGATCACCCCAAGGAAATGTAAACTCTGGATTGGGATAGTTTGATACAATGTCAAGGTCACTTCCCATTGGGTCAGTAAACGAGGGCGCGGTCCAGTTATAACCAACTGTCTTCTCAGTGGCATTTACGTAAACATCATAACCGCATCCTGTCATCACGGGTGGTTGAATGTCTGCAATAAGAAATAAGATTACATGTGCTCTGTCACAAAACGCATAATCTTTTAATAAAAAATTAGATCATTATTTAAGTTTTGATAATATAATTTTACCTAGTTATGTAGTTTCTTCATATTTATATGTAAACAGTGTCTTTAACATTGGTAGACGTCTGGTCAATCAAGTTCTGTAGAAAACAGATCAAGCAGAATTCGAATGACATCGAGACAAAGTAGGGATTCATGTTTGCAGGAAATATATCAATTTAAGCTAAAAGTAAACAATTATAACGCGAAAAATAGTAAAATATACTTTATTATATGTTTTATGATAATTATTACCATTTTCACATAGTTGCCCACTCCACCCTGATAGACAGTTACACCGGAAGTCGCCAAGAAGATTCACACAGGTAGCGCCGTTTTGACACGGTGAACTGCTACAGTGGTTTGCATCTGAAAGATTAATGAAATTGTATATTTTTCGTGAAAAATAGCTTAATCTAATAGCAAAAAAACAAAAAAATGAATACTACTGTTATATGATTAATCAATTACTTATCTGCAGCATTGAATTATTCATTTAAGTTGCTAATTTTTACATTTATCACTTTTACTTCTATGAAAAATTATCATAAGACGTTATCTCACATATACAACTTGGTAAAGTTCCACTCCATGTTGTGTCATGCTGACATATTCTTACGCCGTCACCACCGGTCATGTTATAGAAGGTATTACACGTGTACGTCGCTCTGCCGCCATAGTTTGTTGACGTCACAGATAACGACCCGTCAGATATAGAACTAGGGGTACCACAGTTCACAACTGTAAAACAATAAACCATCATGTTTTTTTATCAATATTGTTTTAGATAATTATACAACATATATATTCACATCAGTTTGTTCCCTGAAAGTCAAATATTTTTGCTTTTTTCTCCGTATATGTCTCCTACATGTATTTGCGACACTTAAGAAAGATGCACTTAATGCAAATGAGCTATTTATGTATGGCAAGGAAAGTAAACCTCGGTCCATTTGTTAAAAAGCTTGTCATTTTAAGTACTAAAAAACTGTAACTGAATTTATTGCCAAAACGTTTAAGAAGCAAACTATGCCCCAGGTTTCTGGCAGATGATTATACTTGTCTTGAAACTATATCAGTACACCAACAATTAAGCTTTTGGGAAAAAAAATAATTATAGCATTTTCAGGTTAAATGTGCCTTAAATTAACTCATCAATTAACTGGTCTATAACGAAATATATAACATAAAATAATATATTTGTTCTTAGAGAATATTTACAGTATTATATTATACATGTAATGTATGTTATGTTATGTTATGGAATGTGAAAAGCATAATGAAAACAAATAATAAGACAAATTCCTTACTATCAGTACAACATTTGCTCGTGTATCCGGCCTGACACGTGCACGGTGACCAGAGGGATCCTGAGGCCACACCTCCATTATAGCAAACATTGTTACAGTCCTGCCAGTTAGAACCTTCGTCATTTGACGCACAATCTGTGAACTCATCACATCCGGGATTCTCTGTCAGCCAGACGGAACGAGTACGAACCCTTTGTTAATAAAAGGTTTTTGTTGGTGTTTTCAAATTATTTATTTATTATTTATTGTCATTTCTATACAACCTTTTATTTTTCGTAATTATTCGTATTAGATGTTTGGAAGTCAAACACAGTTTATTCAACATTGAACTCTACAATACAGGTATTTCAAAACCATTATTCTTCTCAACTAAAATACTTTTACTATTTGAGACAATAGTAATGGTTCAACATGTTCTGTTACGTATGATTGTAATTTGTTTGTATTTTGCTAATTGGTACTTTATCATTTATCGTTTGTATGAGTGTAAATTTTTATTTGTATAAGCGTAACTATGTTTTGTATTAGTGTGACTTTTAAGTCGTATAAGTGTAACGTTTTATTTTTATTAGTGTAATTATATTGTATTTGTAAGTGAAATTTTTAATTTGTATACCAATTTAAATATATGTTAGAATATCAAAGAAATGATGTCTGACATGTGTTTAAAAACATTATTATGATTTCATGTGTAAATATAAACTTATTTCATAATTTATAATTTTTAAGTATATTGTTACCTCTGTCCAAAACAATCATTGTTGCACTCACTCCAGGCTTCCCAGTCTGCCCAGTAGCATTCGCAGTAAGTCCATGTGTCTGCAAGAACCGCCTCTGTGCTCCTTCCATAAAACAATAAAAGGGGCAGCGAGGTCAAGGTCAGTGCTATATAGCCAAACATTGGAAACGTTTGATTGAACCTGAAAAAAAGACACATGAATATTTATAAAGATAAATATGGCTATAAAATTGACGGTCAAATATGAACGAAAAATTAAAAGGAATGAAAAGACGTATTTTGAATTCTAATGTTTATAGGAACACAGCCTAACTGACACATTTTATATCAATGTTTTGTAAAAGCGTACATAAAAATATAATATTTTTTTCTGATTTAGTACCTATTTATGATACAAAAAGACACTTAGTTTAAACATACATGTATCTATTTCAGCTTGATTGTGAAAAAACGTTCTTGCATGTTATATGAAACAGTTTCGAAACTAACCAGTACTGGTGGCATATTGGTAAATACGTTCCTGACCTGAATAGGTCTCGAACCCACGATCCCTAGTTTAAGTCAGACACCTTACATTAAGGTAACTTTCCCCATTAAAACTATGAATGATACCCCGGGACAGTACAAATGCTATTTTGTACAGCTACGTGAAATAAACTTCTCTTTTATCTATCATAAACCACACTTTTACTATACAATTGTTAACTTCATCATGTAGCCGCAAAAATGGTCATCATCTCATAAAAAACCAGAGCTAAGTATATCTCTACATGCAACGAAAATTATCTTTTATTTTCATTGAATGGCTGGCTAAATCACGTTGGTTTGAATCATGTCAGGGGCGTCAACTTATTTATGAAATGAACCGGATAAGATTGCTTTACTGAGTTATTTGCTCGAGTAAGAAAAGTGCATATATAAACAGAAACTCGCCTATTAATGTTAAGCATTCTCAGAGAAAAGAAACAGACGGCACAAGGCTTTCGTCTGTTTTTTTATCAGTGGTCATTAAAAGCCTATTTTTGCAATTTAAATATCTTAATTTTGTACGGAATTCGTCAAAAGCATTCGGCATGACTTTCGATTTCTCTATGTGACTTGTCGAGATGAAATGTTGTGTAAGCAAACCAGATCAGCACAACATTCAAACTTCAATGAACGTTGAGCTGAGAGGTAAAGTTTGCACGATATTTTGCTCAAAATTTAACACAACATAGAAACTGTTTACTATGTGTCGAACTGGCACAACATCCAGCAAAATATGTTAAATTGAATGTCGAGCCAACATGCAAAGCTTGACGACATTCAGCATAAAATCCGGCTCAACTGTTTCAAAATACACTCGTATAAAGAATTATCGTATGTTATAACTAATCTCTCCCGTATGTTATTACTAATCTTTATCGTATGTTATTACATGTACTTATCTCTACCGTATGTTATTACTTATCCATACCGTATGTTATAAATATTCTTACCTATGTTATTACTAATATCAACCTATGTTATTACTTATCTCTACCTATGTTATAACTAATCTTTACAGTATGTTATTACTAATTTCTACCGTATGTTGTTATTAATATATACTGTATGTTATAACTAATCTCTACCGTATGTTGTTTATAGCTCTACCGTATGTTGTTACTAACCTCTACCGTATGTTATTACTAATATCTACCATATGGTATTACTAATTTCTACCGACTTCACTGTGTGTCGTTAAATTGAAGTGTGCATAACAAGTGTCAAAAGAATACTAAAACATTTCAAGTAAATATATTATCTCCCGCATTTTCAATATCTATTTTCTTTTCGATACAAAATTTGGATCGAAAACTCGAAATTATTCTGAAAATTATCGTGTGAAAAAAGTCAAGTTTTGCGATTTTTTGTAACTAAAAACACGTGCATAATTTCCAGTTTTGTATAAATCTTAAGTAAGAAAGTCGATGGCGAAAACAAGATTCCGTATTACAAAAACCAGTCAGATATGCAGGAAACATAAAAATTAAATTTGTAAAAAGATATCATGAGTGATAACATAGGGTAGAGTTCCATGTAATCAACGGCAAGTTTAGAATTGCAAGCTGTTTTGTTATCAATAAATTTGGCATCATATTTGCAGTAATGACATTATCTTGATACAATTTGAACTTTGTGCTAGAGGTAGACCGTGAATGTATTGCAGTTTTCAGCTTCACATCTCAGGTCGACATTCATTAAGTTATGAATAACGTTCTACATGTTGTGTTAACTTTCGTACAAGCTTCAAAAGTCAGTTCCACACTCTTTACATTAAGCATTTTTTCCCAAATGTTGTGCCAGATGTTGTGTCAGCTTCATATTAATTTATTTTCTTATGTTATGTTGGGTGTTGTGCTGAATGTCGTTCCGTCGACACATCTCAGCTCAACATTCCTTATAAGTTTAAACTATTTGCTAACACAACATTTCAGCTCGACATTGAGAAAACGAAAGTAGTACAGAATGTCTAATGTCGACTTCTTTGCCAAATTCACACACTTTTCTTGTAATATTGTAAATTGTAACATACTTGCTTATCAGCCATCGCGTTACAGCTATTTCTTCATGTATAACAATATTTGCCTTAGTTTTTATGTAACAATATAGAATAACGCCAGATACAAGTAACATGTGTGTTGTTGGAGTTAAACAAATGTGTTCCTGAATATTTGATTATTTTATTTTCGTTGGTTGAGACATTACAGCAACAACTGAGATGTGACTGAATTTGAAATAAAAAAAATAATGAAAAACAACTACTTAAGTTTTGAAACATGAAAATTATATGAACAACAAAAAGATAAGAATTAAGATAAAGAAGGGTAATTTAATTCAAACATATCAAAAGAAAAAAACATGACTTACCAAATAAGACGGTGATTAAAATTTACAAGCCTTCCAAATGAAAAAGACTACCGCATTAAGGTTTTAAAATTTATTCAATGTAACCCAAACTTCATAATGGCTGTATATTTTTATCGGTGAATACGCGCGGGAAGGCGGAAGTAGATATACGCCAGAGCGGATTTGAATAATCTACTTCTTAACAACTGACTTTTTTTGTTATGGACGGATCGTGTATAATGTAAGCATTATTTTTATTTTATTCTATTATATTATTATTATCATAATATTATAACAATTTATGATTAATTCATGTTTTTCTCGCTTGTTCCTTCTTGTGCCGTTCTTCTTTTTTTTCGATAAAAATAATTTAATAAACGATATCAAAACTAAATAAATCGATCATTAATCTTATGGGCAATGTTAATAACAATGTGCAGTAAAATACTAAAAGTTTTGTGGAATTGAAGCACTCACTTATGTCAAATAACAAAGTAAATATTTAAATCTTTGATAATATCCCTTCATATTGGCAATATTAACAAAAAAAAAAAAAAAAAAAAAAAAAAAAAAAAAAAAAAAAAAATGATGCGTGAATAAATGAAAATGTTTGTTACGATAATGCTACCAATTATAATACAGTTTATTTGCTTTAAACATTACAACAACGCAAAATGAACTGTACTGTAATTAAAATAGATTATTGAAAAATACAATGAAAACTGTAACATTGATAATAATGTGGATAAAGATAATGAAAAAATAAATGATAACTGGTATGTATTTGGATTTTGCAACGAAATAGTAAATGATGATCATGATGTAGTTGTAAATGTTGTCGTTGTTGTTGTGGTTTAATTGTTGCTGTTGTTGTTGATGATGATGATGATGATGTTGTTGTTGTTTATGTCGTTGTTGTTGTTGTGGTTTTATTGTTGCTGTTGATGATGATAATGATGATAATCAACATCATCATCATCATCATCATGGAAATAACATGATATGAGCATGATAACCTTGATTATCATCATCGACATAAATATAGTTGAGATATATTATAGAAACGATAATAGAAATAACATAAAATTATCATCATTAAATAACATAATGATGATAATGATGATTATGCTGATAATGATAACAGGAGCATACATAAATATGTAAAAAGATAATAATCATTATGATGGTATTATCATTTTTGATAATTAAAGAAATGATAATAATAGAAAAAAAATGCTCATTATTATTTTTATCAATGACAATGATAACCATTCCAATGATAAAAATCAGATTTGAAAGAAATGCATATTATTATCATGCCTAAATAAATGTGTAAATATTGATAATTATGGTAACTAAGGTGATGATGAGAGAAATAACAATGAGTTTGTCATCAAAATGATAATTATCAATAATAACCATGAATATGATTTGCCAATAATATTAACATAAATTATAATTACGATTTTATCGAAGTATTTCAAACAGTATTTTAGCACTTATAAACTGTCAAATTATATGTTATGGTAACAAATAAATATAACAACATGTGTATATCTTAATGTTTGAACGTCTGCAGATGTGAGTGACATATTAAAATAATGGAGAAAAACGTTAATATGTCAATTTTGTAGGTTAGCATGAAACAAAATTTAATATAGTACCTGGGTTATCATGGCCTTAACGTTTGTTTGCTTACACCTCATTACTGTGGGCTCGTTTCCCTGCTGCTACTTTCATGCAAGGTTCGGCGGTTTTATTCGTACAAACAATCTTGCCTGAAATAATGAAATGACGAACAAAGAAGGTCACAAGCAAGCAGTAATGTTGGAAAGTCGACATATATATTTCTGTAACAGTGTCGGTGTTACTTAAAGCAGACTTAAACTTTTTTTAAGGTTGATTATGTTATCTTTAGAAAAATCATTTCATATAATTGTTAAATCAAAAGGTAGAAAAAGAAAATTGCTGAGGAAACCCATCGATACCTCTAATCTACCGATCGACTCTCTATATTCAAAAAAGTAAAGCAGACGATTTTCTTTCCGAACGTCTCTTTCGCGTTAAAAATAGCTTTAGGGACGACGGATTATCGGGCTTAACAGTGATATGATGAACTTTTCCAAATTAATTAATAGATAAAATTAATGAAACACTTAGTTTGAAACAACACAGAATAGTTTACCCAAACAGAAAATAAAGCATGAAGGCCGCTTTAAAACTTCAACAATTACAACAACAGAAAAAACTCGTATTCAGGATGTTACTGGATAAAAAACAGTTAAACTTGAAACTATTGCTGCTTGTCAACGTTTTTTTTGCATGTTTATGTTAAGTAGGTAAACACTATCATGTACATTTGGTTTAGGTTTACATAATAAAACCAGCAAAATTTGTAATAGCACGCATTGTGTTACAAGATACTGCACAAGATTATGTTTTGTATTCTCTTAAAAATGACAAGATATGCAACATAATATATCAATGGATTGTCATAAGAAATTGTTATCTTCACGGATGTGGTTACTGTTATCTTATGCATTTTAAAGAGAATCCACTGACGGGACTGCAATTTATTTTTTTGATATTTATTTATTCAATTTGATGTATTATATAGCACATAACTTGTGCGCTAAATTTCAGATTATTCACTCACCCAGTTTTTTACAAAACATTTTATTTTATTTTGTATAATGACATAAAAATGAATAGCTTTTAAATGCTTTTTAACTCAAATCGGGCTCATAAAGACAATACATGTACTGAGCATATTTCTTTTTATTCTGTTCAAGTGCCCCATTTATTTACCTTTTTCAGTCGGATTAGTTATAATATTTTTACCTGCGTTTAAAACTAAACATGTGTTCTTTATTTAATCAAAATATCAAAAAAAAAAAAAAAAAAAATAAAACAAAAACAAAAAAACCGTATGACTATGATTATATGTACACATTTCAAGTAAATATGAGTATAAATGGATATGTTTTCTTGAAGTAGCTGATATATGCCGAATGCATACATTGTAATAATAAAATCACCACTATATCCTGTTTTTGATAAATGTATTTCCAACCGGAACTCCTCGACTAGTATTCATAAAAACCTCGGATTGAAAGTAAGCCATCGGTTAATCCAATAGGACTGTGAAACCTCTGCTCTATCATGTACAAAAGTTATTAGTTCCATGCAAAAGTGAAGGCAACTAGTACTGGTAACCGGCTTGACAGCTTACCAAGGAACGATGCAGTGGCTGAACTTTGCTCTGGTAAATTTATTGTGGCTACCAAAAAAACCACCACCACCCAATTAAAAGAAGTTTTGCCACTTGGTTTAAAATGTAAACTTAAACAAAGGGTGTAATATTTGATAATATATAACGAATTTATACATTTCACATCCAAAGGACGATATCTGTAATAATATGGTTAAAAATATGTCTAACAATCATAATTAATTTAAAAATGCACAATGATATACAATCTTAATTAATGTTATAAGGCAGACACTTTGTACTTCCGGTTTCCTAAACTAAACCATAATTATATGTATATTAATAATGTACTGTTGTTTTCTTTTCTGTCTGAAAATTTAATTAATTTAGTGGGATTTTACCTTATGTATTGGAACAAATGAGGTCAACAATTCTCAGTAATAAATTACAATTCGTTTTAGCATAGTGGTGTAAGACCGAAATACTGTATCCGTTCCGTGAATTCTTACTATCGTATCCGAAATTGTTGACGGAAAGGGCAAAGAATATGGGATTGATTCTGGGTTGGGTTTCATTTTATATACTCATAAGAATAAGATAACCTGCATTTATACATCATTTTATTATCACAAACAGAAAGTGCACGTGTTCAAATATTAAATAGAACAAGTCGACTACAAATAAATGTACATGTACACATCTATCTTTCATTGCAAAATAAAGAGAGAAAAATCTGTTTGTATGCACAATGATAAAATTAAAATAGAATACTTCACGGTGCATATCCATATCGGTACCCTCTTTGCGAAATCTGCTGAAACTGTACCCTCTTTGCACATGCACAGGCCACTCTCTGCTAAAAACAAACCTGCGATGGATAACCATACAGTAAAATTTCAATATAATAAGGAAAGAAGGTATGACACGTAGAAAAGATGTATACCACGGAACACTAGCATGTTTTATCTATGTGCTGATTTGTCATGTGCCCGTTTTTCATGTACTACAAATTCACTATAAGCTACAAAAAATCGACATGTCTTGCTTCGCCCATCACCTCGACATATTTTTTGGGCTGAAATGAACATGTGGCTTGATTATATATGCATCATACATATTCAATATGTTCATTTACATATCATCTTCGGACAAATGGCAGTACATTGTCAAAAATAAATGTAAAATTCATACAAACACCCTACTTTCGGTTTTGCAGCGGCACGGGCTACCTCTCTTCATTTGAATTTTTATATCACAGGTACCCTCTCATATTTAAACACACATAGGTACCCTCAAGGCACGACATATGCTTTTATTTCCGTTAATCGTTAAGTATGTAATATTTCTTACTTTTATGTAAATATAACATACTTAACGATTAACGCAAATAAAAGCATATGTCGTGCATTGAGTGTACCTATGTGTGTTTTAAAATGAGAGGGTACCTGTGATATAAAAATTCAAATGAAGAGAGGTAGCCCGTGCCGCTGCAAAAATCGAAAGTAGGGTGTTTTATGAATTTTACATTTATTTTGGACAATGTACTGCCATTTGTCACAAGATGATATGTATATGAACATATTAAATATGTATGATGCATATATAATCAAGCCACATGTTCATTTCAGCCCGAAAAGTATGTCGAGGTGATGGGCGAGGTAAGACATGTCGATTTTTTGTAGCTTATTGTGAAGTTGCAGTACATAAAAAACGGGCACATGACAAATCAGCACATAGATAAAACATTCTAGTGTTCCGTGGTATACATCTTTTCCACGTGTCATACCTCCTTTCCTTATTACAATGAATTTTTACTGGCTTGTTATTCATCGCTGGTTTGTTTTGAGCAGAGAGTGGCCTGTGCATGTACAAAGAGGGTGTCGTTTCAGCAGATTTCGCAAAGAGGGTACCGATATGGATATGCACCGTGTACTTGCAATGCGTTCATAAAAAGGAGTCTCTGAAGCGCTTCCATGTTATGAAACAAATTTTGCTACTGTGAATAATAATGATTTCTAAACGCCCAAAGATACACAAAAATATTCGCCATCTAAGTGTTTAAGAGTGTTCCAAATGGTTCCGAATAATATAAAAATAGATATACTATTTGATAACATAAATTTCTAAACAAAAACCACCGTGATCGCCATTATTCTCTCATTATTTGAAAGGTACAAAATGCCTCAGAAAGTCATTATTTTTCTTCTTCTAAAGGGAAAAACATGAGGCTGAATAATATATTAACTTTTAAGATCATTTTTGATGCTTATTTTCGGAAGAAAATAGCACTGAAAGGGAAATTATTTGTCATAAAAGTAGCAAAATGTAAACAATTAATAGTATTTTGACTTCCGTACAAAATACTAATTGAAATCAATGTACAATACTAATTACCAACAACAGTTCAATAATAGGCCAACGAGTATCTTTTGGAATAAAACTCAAAGCATTTCTTGGCGTATAGTTGGCCTTAAATAATCATACACGAAGCATTTTATGAGATAAAGTGTATAAAAGTCAATTTTATGTGATATATTTTACCGGATTTAGCCCTTGGATTTAGGTATACAGCATCGCATCCACCTCCACCCCTGTACTGGACGTTTTCAAGGTAGGCAGATTTTGTCAGAAAATGTATTTAAGTTATTGTTTGATTGAACATGCTTTAATAGTGTTATGAATGATATGGATAAATATTGTATTTAGACAAGTAAGGTAGGCAGTATTTCTGTTAAGAACCGAAATCCACAAAACTTTGTAAAATAAAGGCCAACGTTTTGTTGTTAACTCCCCTGATAAAATATCGATTAAAGTAACTGTATTAAAGAAGTGGCTATACATTTCTTGTACTATTTTAGGGTATTTTCGCTATTACATGAACTGGGTTTCCAGCAAAGTATTAAGTTTCAATGTGTAATGCAATACAGTCTCGCAAAATACCATAAATATTACCTGTTCTTTAGCAAAGAAATATTGAAAAGAAAATATGATGTGGTTAACCATTTGCTTAAAAATAACACATATTTTTGCAAAACGAAAAAAAAGAAAATAGAAATATATTTTATTTTGTTTTGAAATTTGATAAGACTGAGTGATATACATGCTTTTGATATGGTTTTATAACTTGTTTTTTAAATGTAGGCGGAACGGTCGTTAAGGGTGGCCCGAGTCTTAATTTGTTAATAATAGAAGTCGGGGCTTAAATGCGATATTTAGTCTACCGACATCGCATCGTCTTGGCCTGAGCCCGAATAGCCCAATCGGTTAAAGCGCGTGACTTATAATCTCGACATTATGGGTTCGATTCTAGGGCTAGCAAACTAAATTTACTAATCAGTCTTTCGGATCGAGGTCCCGTGTATGAGTGCTTAAACACTCGGCACACTAAAGAACCAGGAGAAGCTTCTGGAAATGGGGCATCTTTCTGTATCTGTGTCTTGCACTATCCTCCAAAATCTAAAATGACTAAAACTCTTCTGGAAGTTTCGCCCATATGGGTAACCGGTGGCGAGTATAAATAAACTTAAATACAAGTCTTGACCCTTTCTGTCAAAACTTTCGATTATAGCCAAGGTGTTCCGATTAAGTCTACCGTTCAGCGAGTGTTCATCGGCACAAGTCATGTTTTTTCCCAATCTAGCCTTAAAAGAAAAAATGAGACTTTTGTATCATAACCTGGCATAAACTCAAGTTTTACGTACTTTTTAAAAGTTTGAATAGGATCAATTTTTAATAAAAAAAAAAGAAATCTTGCTTGTCATATAGGAATATTGGACTACAATCTAAAGAATGATGGGTATTTAAGAAATATCTGAGTTATTAAATTACTATTAAAAGATCAAGAATAAGAAGACAATTTGAATAGCCAAGTGTGCTTACATTACATGAAGATTAAAAAAAAACAAGCTTGGTCTTGCAATTACTTAAACATGTAAAAAATGTCATAAAGTGGTGTTTATAAAAATCTCATTGTCATCGACATGTAATGTTCCTACATAATACATTTGTATGTTAATAATGTATTGAAGCGTAAATTGGAAATTATCTCTGTTTATTGAATGTCTAGATAAAACACACAAAATAAATGATAAATTCATATTGTTTTTAAGCTGATAGAAGATGAGTTACAACCTTGTTGCTATACTATTGTTATGGTTGGTATGTAACTCCGTGGTTTTGGGTTGCGGCAGAGGAGGAAGTGGCCGTAGTTGCCCACCGAGGGATACGACCAGACCAACTATAAAATGTCCGCCAAATATAGAAGCAGTTGCAGATCCTTTCCAGATAAACACAAAAGTATGGTGGGACGAAAGAACTATCTCAGCCAACGACGATCGAGATGGCCCAATTACGTAAGATATAATCTTCGCAAATATATATTAAATGGTAAGCAAGAGCTCCGTTGCAATACGTATAAAAAAACTGGAAAAAGACTGATCTCTCAGAAGCATGAATATCCACAAAATTACATAAAAATTGCAGATTAGGTTTCATTGAGTCTGTACATGTTAATTATTTATTGTTGTTGTTGCTTATTTCTTCTTTTTTCACTCTTTGATTTTCATTGTAAACAATATCTATTTAAATCAAATATCATTGTTCACCTGTTTCAGACCCGTACGATCTGGAAAAGCACCTGGAAAACTGTTTTCGAGGACTACGAAAATAACATATACTGCAAAGGACAAGGCAGGCAACTACGCTTCGTGCTCATTCTATGTCATTGTAAAAAGTATGTTTATGTTTTGTTTGTTTGGGGGGTTTTCTGTAAAATTTTAGAGCAATTTAGTCAAGTTAGTCACATAACATTACACTTAAGTTAATTGTTCCTCCGAAGCATTCGGGTTCGGCAATATCTGACATCCATGATGTTTAAGAATAAAAAAGTAACGTATCGAAAAGCTGGATATCGACAGTTACAATAACTATAAAAAATGTATGTTAGTTACTTTTATGGTTCGGTATATATCTTGAAAGAAAACTATTTTCGCGGCTTTTGACAAGAACCCATACACATCACAACTCTCTTGTAATGTGTTAATTAATTGTAAAAACTGTCCATGAACCAGCATCTACATTCACATTAAATCATGAAATAAAATCTAGATAACAAATGTATAAAGAAAATATGTATTTTCTACCATAGTTTTGGTATGTCCCACATGGGGTGAAATTCAAGATGGCTGGAAGATTTGTCATGTGAGTTCCCAAATGCGACGTGGAAGTGTGTGTAGGTTTGGTTGCTATGGCGGTCACGAGCTAGTTGGTCCATCAAAAACTACATGTTTGGACTCGGAACAATGGGACACGGCAACTCAACCTTACTGTCGAAGTATGTACAAAAATTTACTGTTACTTCCTTGATATGTATATACCGTATATACATGTAAGTACAAACGTTTAGGTTACTGGCTCAAAGACACTCTAAGTCGGCCATATTGGCAGGACAAGAGAGACAACTCCTACTACCGCCAGGTTACTTCCCTTGAACATGTACGAGAAGGGATTTTTTTTCGATTTTATTGATATTTGTTCGATCTTTTTATTCTAAAAATATAGCGATTTTCCCATAACGTTTATGTATTTTCCTTGCTATTTATATATATGTTTCTATGGTAGTAATATGCATTTTGGCTGTAAACAAGCGGTTTTTAAAACGGAAGTAAACATTCGTCTGTCAGATAAACAGCGACAGATAGGCAGTTCGATCTAGAATCATCAATGTCCGCCCAGATCTACACTGTCTACGCCAATGCATTGTTTAGCACATGTACATTTCATCCATTACTCAAGCTAAACAAAATAAATTCCAATGACTAAGTGATTGCAAAGCCTGCCAAAATATGCAACAATTGTAGTTTATACTTACACTGTTGAAATCATGCCAAAGAATATTACCTGTGTTCTGTCGGTTTGTACTATTTACTATTTTACTTATAACGTATTTATTAACTGAATAAATTGAGAAAGCAGTCAAACATTACCTTTATGTTTTATTTCATCAAGAACTTCAATGCAGCGAGCTTCTCCCTTCTACCGGCCAATATGGCGTCGTTGATATTTCCTGCACCGATAATAACTATTACCGAAGCAAGTGTTCATATAACTGCAAAGATGGTTACAGCATACTTCCCGGGCACAGCAAGGTTCGAGTCTGCAACGAGTATGGCAATTGGAGGGGCAGGATGCCTATATGTGAAGGTGTGTATATGTGTTGATGGATTTGCATTTACTTGTGTGAAGAATAACAGTTAGCTTGTGTGAAGAATAACAGTTAGCTGTGCTTTGCGATTGTGTAGTTGACTGTAAAATGACCGTAAGTCAGCGAATGGGTTTCATCTAATATAAAAAATAATACGAAAAAAAAAATCTACATACAGCTGTATATATTTTAAATATATAAATAGAACTTTTGTTTACCGCACATACAAAAAAGTTACATCAACAATTTTTGTTAAATCTTAACACTTTAAGGTGTCATGCTAATAATGCACTTCTTTGAAAAAAAATGTTCCGGAAAACGCCGCCTTGTGGATTCCTTACTTAACTTCTTTAAGGCCCATCTTTCAAGGCCCATATATGCTGTCATTTCTTTTTCTAAAGCACTCAAATGATCACTTAAAATGCACATTAGCCATATGCCTTAGCCATTTTTCGCTTCTTTTGCGCTTTTTGACGTTATTTTATCAGTTGATAAGAATCTTGCATGTTCTAAATCCAATTATTGCATTACAGCATTATAAAACACTTGTTTGCCCAGAAGGAAAATATGTTCAATTTTGAGGCTTAATGTGCCTTTAAATGAGTTCATCAATTAATAAATTATGTAAAGATTCGACGATCTAACAAGTACCTGTTTATAAAAGTAAGTCTAGCTTAGACATACATACAAAACAAGGAGATGTATTCAATGCAATCTCTCTTTCTCACACAATCCACATCAGTTAAAAGCAACAAAACTTTGTTTCTGGTACGTATTTATTTTTTTTTCGCTAATGAAAAAAAAAATTAAACACTAAGCTTATGTTTTCACCAGATACATCGCCGCCAGTGTTTCAAAATTGCCCGTATGTAAAGGTTGGGTACGCCGAGCGATCGAAAACTTCCGGAAAAGCCTGGTGGAACGAACCTCTTGGTAAGTGGAAAAAATACTTTTCAAAACATAACAACTATTTAGCGATATATGTTTCCTTTTGGTCGGAGGCCATCTAAAATCAGATGCACTTCCTGTAACACTTACAGAAAAAAAACTGAATAGAAGAAGTTTCATTGGTCATTTTAGATTACTGCAAATTATTGCTGCAGATTTTATAAACAAACTTTTCTTTTGTTCAAAATTTGAAGAAAAAAAAACAAAACAAATATGGACCGATCTCAAAATGAAATAGCAACCATAAAGCTGTGCGATGAACTTTAAGGCTAATGCTTAAAGCTGGCTCTTCGTGATTACAACTGTTGTACAATTTTCAAATAATGTATCCATATAATTATGTCTGTCGGTTACAGGAACGATATAGCGGAATTTTCACCCTCCTACCCATCTAACAGATGAAAATCTTTTATTTCCATTTTCGCTATTTTTCCGTAAGAGTATTGAGAGGTTCACAGAAACTATTTTTGGAGCATAGACAGGAACTATTTTTGGTGCATAGAGAGGCATGTGCTCTGTATAGATAGTACATCATTGCTTAATCAACCATTTATTTAACGTTAATGGTTAATTAATCATAGATAATTTATGATGAAACACTAATAAAATCAAGTTAAATGCTCACACATTAATCTTTGAAAAATAAAAACAAAATAATATTATTTTGAAATGAAATTTTAAAAAAAGGATAAACAAAGTCTTATATTTAGATACTCGATGTTGTTCTGGATTATCCTCCACTGACACGACGTCATAACGATGACTTTTTACTCGTTCTAATAACATATACTAATATAATAACTATTATAATTACAGCCACGGACAACAGTGAAATCGTTAATACGATTCGAATATCAGGTCCTGAATCTGGAACTGTGTTTGACGTTGGCGAGCATACCGTCACATACATGGCTTCTGATGCTGCAAATAACACTGCCATCTGCAAATTCAATGTTGTCGTAAAACGTAAGATTTGTCGTTACATATACCGTAAAATATGTCGTAAAAAAGATGATGTCTACTGAAATGGTCAAAGGGAGGTAACCCACGCAGTAATATGCAACTGATATAATAACTGTTAATTCAACAAATATATTATATATAGTGAGATCTTAGCAAATTAGCAAACTAAATGCATTCATGTATAAATACAAATGTATACAATCATGTATAAATACATATGTATTATACGAAATTTATTCAAACATGTATGTAAGCAAAACGCAAATTATACTTTGATCAGTTGATGAACCTTTGCAGTGTTTACAGTTTTATGCAAATTGGCTGACTGTTTCAATTGCGTCGTTTATCATAGCAATGAGTTCGAAAGGTAGAGCTAAATTTTGCACTACTTAAAACAGGAAAATCTACAAAAGTACACAGGCTAATTGATTTTTTTTCAGAGATAAAGTGTCATATGATTTACCCTCTACCTTACACTGGCGTCGTTTGCCCGACAGGAAGAATATTTGGATCGTCTTGTGAGTTCATTTGTGACAATGGTACTGCGTTGAATGGCCCTGCGCATGCGCAGTGTGAGAAAACGGGCGAAATTGTTCCGTACGGTAGATGGACATTCATGAACAACCAGCCATACTGTGAAAGTACGCAGTTTTTAGACATAAGAAATAATAAAGTTTTTAAAAGCCTAAGATGATTACAAAAATGTTCAAGTAATCGTCCTATTTTGAAGAATCATTTTGAAGCATGGGTAATACTTCCTAATGTGAAATCGAGGTATTGGGTATTTTGTACCAAAATTGGCTTATTATACAATTTTGTATTTTGCAACAAACATGTATTGTGTTCTATAAAAATGAATGGTTTATCTAATATTAAAGAAGAATGTTTACAGCTTATTTTAACCATTCAAAAATCCTTTCCCTGAAACTAACTAGGACCGGTATCTATACATCAGTGTTACCCTTTTGCAGACTGGAACCTACTACACAAAGGTCGAGATGCAGACAACTTAACCCATAGGCCACCGCTTCTATTACTTTATAACAGTCCCAAATTAATAAAAAAACGCAAACAAAATATCCTCTGTGTTCAAGATTCATGCATGAGGAAATTTTTATGCGCAGATCAACTTTTAATATTGTATCACATTTTTCGTAGATATTAACAAGTGTCCAGCACTTCGCCCACCAGATAATGGCGCGTTGGCTTGTGACACGTGGCTGCAAGGAAAGTTCTGTCAAATTTTATGTGAGGATGGGTACGTGGTTACTAACGATCAAAATACACAGAGGGATGACAGAGGTCTGCAAAAGAACCTACTTGTGTGCGGAGATTCTGGTAATTGGTACCTATCTGCAACGATTCCAAATTGTCAAGGTATGTTAGTCAAGGTATTAAAATGGTGACAAATAACGTTTACGGTATAAAGTTTGTTTTTTATGTTAATGGTAACAAATAGCATATGACAGAGACGGTATGTTATTATTGTAAATGATGAGGGAAAACGCACGAGGGGTAAGGTAGGTTTTTGAAGTGATAGTAAGGAACAATATGTGATAGGAAGATTTGTTCTCTAGGTGAATGTCGAGGGGAAAAGTACGAATAAGCTGTTGTTTAGGTGAAGTGAAAACGATGAGGACAAATGTGTGAGAGATAGGTGTGTTTGAAGTAAATGGTGAAGGGGGAAATGTGACGGATCATGTATGTGTTTTGAGGTGAATGGTAATAAAAAAGTATAACGGATAAGAAATATTTGAGGTGAATGACGAGAAAAAATGTTTGACGGATCACGGATTTATATTACATGTAATTTAAATCCGTGGACGGATGAAGCATCTTTTTGAATCTTGAATGCATGTTAAGGGGAATGGTGAGGAAAAACGTGTGACAAATAAGGGATTCACGATAAAAAAAACACGTTCCCTGCCGTGACAATGCTAAACCCTATAAAAAAGTAACCACTGTACGTACGTGTACCTCAATATGACTTTGTTGTTGTTGTTTTTTTGTAATTTTTTGCCTATAATACAAAAGAGAAAGAACATCAAAGCACTCGTACAAATCAGATAGCCTCGTATTTCGATGCTCTTATTGTTACATAGAAAAAGATTTCGTCAAGACCGAGTTAGAGTTTAATTGTATGATTATGATAAACGTATATTTAGTCAGTAAGAACTCCTTTTTTAAGATACTGAAGTAATGCGGTCATGACAACTTATTTACGGAAAAGAAAACATGCATGAACCGAAAGATTCTCGTGGCGCGTCACGCGCCGTAATTGCACCGTTATTGATTTTCTTGATCCATTGCGCGATGTTGTAACAGCTTCGATGCAATGACGGCCAATTCAGTTCATTTTTTAAACATACCTGTCAAATGGCATCGCACTAGCACGTGGAGCACAAACAGTGCTTTCTAGATACAGTGCTTTCGCCAGAAGGACATTTTTATTTACAAGAACAGTTTAAATGCACATTATTTTTTTGAATAAATATCCGCAAAAGCATCAGAACGCATTTAAAGGCTTTAGATGCGTTCTCATGCTTCTGAATGTGTTTATACACAAAAATGTTGCATTAACCACAATAACAATCAATAAATTTTGATATTGTTGTATAAATTAGCTAAAACCTTTGAGTACCCTGTAGACTTTTCTGATATGCTGAAAAAGCATGGCTGAGTATTCAAAATCATGACATTGTACATTTCTTGAGATGATACACTTTGATGAAGCCGTATAACATAACAAAAATAGTCTCATTATAAACAAATTTTTGTATTTATTTAAACAGAGGTTGATAATGAAAGATTATTGACTATCTTAAAACTCGAGTTTGAGTACTATTACTATGATGGACCTTGTGACGAGGCTAGAGAAGATATAAAAAATAAGTTCATTGAAGCGTTCAATAAAGGCACTGGACAAGACTGTAAACCAAAATGCTCTGTCAGTAAAGTTAAAGTAAGTTTTATTTTATTTATTTATTTATTTATATATTTATTTATTTATTTTCTTTCTTTATTTATTTATTTATTTATTTATCTATTTATTAACTTAAGTTTTATTTTATTTTTTTTATTTATTTATTTAAGTTTTATTTTATTTTTTATATATTTATCTATTTATTCATTTTTATTAATTTATTTATTAAAGTTTTATTTATTTTTTTATCTAATTATTAATTTTAGCTTTACTTTTATTTATTTATTTATTTATTTTAAGTTTTATTTTATTTATTTATTTATTTATTTATTTATATATTTATTAATTTATTTATTTATTCCACCACAAAGAAAGGTGTGAAAAAATGGGGCGCACTTCTCCTGTGACAGCTTTTGTTAAATCCTTGACTTAATCATTTCCAATTTTCAAACAAGTTAAGAAAAATGCATAAATTTAACGTAAAATGTCAATTACGTTAACATAATCATTATTAAATTAATGAAATTATCAATGACAGATCATTTGCGGAAACAGAATTGGGGATTCAAGCAGAAAACGAAAAAGCACTGACCCGACAATTACGTTCACAGTGACAGTAGAACTCTCAAACGACTTGTCAGCGACGGAAAAGGCAATTACTAGAAATTCTATTAAGAATTCCGTTTCTAAGGCTACCGAGAACGGTGACTACAATTTGGAAATTGATGGCTTCTCGGCCGAGTCCCCGACAACCAGCGTTTCTCATATCGAGGGCGAATGTTCAACCGGAAGTGCTTATGACAGAGCAACAATGCAGTGTGGTAAATGACCTTTCGTCTTTTTAACTTTCGTGTTATGTTACAATTTAGCAAAACATATGTACTAATTGGCCATGTAGCCCAATTCAATTTAGATTCTTTTGTGTATTGGAAATCAGAGCAGTAATATAGACTAAATATTTTGTATGGAAGTCAAAATATCAATTTGTTTGCATTCTGTTATGTTTATAATAATTGATTGACATTAGGTGCTATATCAGCTCCGAACATGTCCTAAATACTAGCACACAAATAAACATATGTTTTCTCTTGATACGAACATAAACATAATTATTTCCGAGACTTAGTGTGCCTGTAATGAAAGATACTCATTATTTCGCCAAAAGACTTCATAGGTATTCTTATTCTATAATTTGTCATTTTGTAAATACGGCCAAAAAGTGTTTTTTTATTGTTTACCAGTAATTGATGCTGTGCATTTTTTCAGTTAAGTGTAGCGTCGGATATTTCCACGACATAGATGGTAACACCTGCAGCGCATGCGCACGTGGTTTCTATCAAGATGAGCCTAAACAAAGCACGTGCAAGCAATGTCCTACCGGCAAAACCACCAAAACTACGGGAGCTAACTCTGCAGCTCAGTGTGAAGGTAGTGTATTTGCTGACTATGTCAGAATTTTACCTTCAAGTAATGATTTGTTTCTAAAAGGACTTTTAAATTGAAGAAAAAGGCAACTCTGATTCATAAGATTATAATTATAATGAATTTAGAGCATGTTATATGCTTATCATGTGAACGAAGCGAAGGCGAAATGATAAATATTTCATAATAAAAGTAGCAAAACGTAAGCAAAGTAAGACAAACCAAACAAAATATTAAATGATAATGGTTCAGCTAAACGGTCAATGAATATTGTTACTAACACTGTTACAGAACAACGAAAATATAAAGCTTTTAAGAAATAAAATATCGTTTTGGGGGATAAAACTTAAGGTTTAACTCGGGAATATGTAAGAACATATTTTTTTATTTACCTGAATGTTTTCAGCTATATTATTCGCGAACAAGTATTCAAAACTGTACATACATGTACTTTTGTATCTTCTGTATCTAACACTGGTAGAATAAGGAGCTGAAATGTCAACACATTTGTCAAAATATCAATTTGTATGAGGAACTACTTTCACAATTTTTGCATATATATAATATATCTTTTGTAAATACATCATCAGAAAACGTGACTAAAATGCTACCACTTTTTCAGACGCTTGTGAACCTGGCTTCTACTCTGCAACTGGTACCCCGCCCTGCTCAGCTTGCGACCTTGGATCCTACAATGAAAACTATGGAAGCGTAGGATGTACAGAGTGCCAGGGATCACAAATTACACTTAAATCTGGGTCAATATCCGGGTCTCAATGCAAAGGTATGAAGTGACTTCCGGGTAACTTTAAGAATAAAGGATGAATTTTTTTTAAATGATGTCAGCTGCTGTAATAGAATTAAAGTTCTATAAATGATGTTTCTTAAAATCAATCCGCTAGGGCTGTTGGAACTTGTTTCACTTCTTTACGATAAAAGATTCAACTAGCCTAAAACATCTGGAGAAACACGTGATTTATGTGCTTCTATAATGTTGTTTTATATCCTCAGAATATATAAAGAAAACTTGTATTTCTTAGTACCAAAGCAACGAAAAAGATTAAAAGAAATAAAATTTAGGCTTTCATTACGAAACAAACAAGGGGAAATGGTAAAATTTCTTCCCATTTAACATTATTATATTGTATTTCAGAGTTCGATATTACGTACACTCAACTGAACGAGTCTGAAGAACTAGCGCCGGGTTCCCTCGAAACACAAGTTGATAGTCTTAGTAAATTCACCTTGACATTCTTTGTAAAGTGTACTCAATGTGACACTTTGATAACCCTAGCAGACACTGATAGTACAGACCTTTCTATCAGCCACTCCGACATGATAGTTGTCGGTTATAATGGGTGAGTTATTTATTTTTATATCGGTTTTAACATAGTCAGAGGAGGCAAAAAGTGATGTTTTATAACATTTGATTCGATCCTTTTCTGAACGTAAAATACAATTGATTTGGTATACAACCTGCGAAATTTATAGTAAAAAAGATTCAAACAATGCAAATTCACATGGTTTTCAAAGCATTGTGCTTCACATACTTGGAGAAAATTTTAACAAGTTTTTTATATAAGGTAACAAAATTAAGTGTTCCCTAGCAAAGTAAAGCTGCTGTCTCAGTAGGATAAGTATATTATTTCACTCATTTGCCGGCAATTCATGTTAAACAACAGTCTGACTTAAAGGAACTCCACAGAGGTCAAAAAGCCAAAAGAGCAAGAACCAAAAAAATATTTTTTTTTAATTGCAATGGGAAAAAACTGCAAAACACCATAAAGAAATATACTCAAATTAAATTTAGATTGATAGTACATTTTTTTCTCTGACTGTAATGATAAGCGTTGCAACGCTTTTCATTTTGGGATCTTTTTCACAATAAAAATGATTATTCTGGACAACCTGGGCGAGCTCTGGAAATTTGCACACAATTTATTGGTTCAGACCATAATCAAACGGTTTACAAATCGCGCAAAAATATAAAGGATTTAGAGAAATTAAAATGAACACATAATGGGTCTTTAACGTTTCGTTAAATATTTCATTACCCTTTAATAGGACTTTAAATATACTTTCATATTCTGGAAATAAAGACAGCAGTTCACGACTGGAGAGAGTATAGTCGGGTCAATGATGTGGAAGCAGATTACAGTCATGTATTCTGGCACTGAGATAATTACATACCTGGACAGTACAGAAGTTCTCAGAGAGCAAGTGTCTCCTCAAAGAAGAAAAAGGTCCACAGAAACACCTGTGAATATCACTGTGACAATAGGAGGTAAGGATAGTGCACAAACAAGTATGTACACATGTGTGAAAATAAGTAGAGGATACTGAAGTTTCTTCTATAAATACAGGATTTATTTTTATCGTGTGGTATGAAAATAAATAGTTCACGAGTGGCAGTAGCCATAAGATGAAAATAAATCCTGTATTAACAGAAAACAACTTGAATATTCTATTTACGTTTTCTCTTTTTTCATCTCATGAAAAGGAGGAATACCCTTTTAATTTTATGTATTGGCTGAATTTAGAAGAAAGTAGTCCGGCAAGGCACAAGTGAAAATACGGAAAATAATGTTTCACTGCAGTGAAAAATACTTTTTTTACAGTGAATATCAAAATACGGATGATGAAAAAGGCATTTTATTTCATCAATATTTTTCAATATTTCATTTATAAGTATATTATAAAAATGTTTACCTCCACCATACTAAATACCGTATATCAGGTATTTTCGCTGGTATCAATCTTCGCTATATTCGCGTGCAATGAATATCACGAAAAATAGATTCGCTAAATTTTTCTGCAATGTAATAAGGGAATTTTGCGAGTTCCTGCAACTTTTGAATTGTACTTTAGATTTGTGTAACCCAGGTTAGGCGTAGACTTAAATTGACTTGCCGGACAATATCATTCATCCTGTTAGGGAAATTTTCAAAATGTTTAATGAAAATATATATATTGGAAGAATATTGAACAGTGCAGACCATGATCAGATATCACGGGTTATCTTAGTCTGCACTGGTCGTACGGATAGATTCAATTGCTGTTAGTAGGTAAAAGGGTTACCCGACGGTTAGTTCCAAGCTGTTACCATATAACTGAAAAATTGTTCAACTTGATGTCACAAAACAACTACAAAATTTTTCAATGAAAACTATGAAAACTTAATATGTTTGTTTTGTTGTTTTTTTTTGTCATGACGAATTTTAACTTAATAAAATTATATATATATATATATATAGAGATATTTTTTTTCCAGGTGAAGGGTTTATCGGTTCATTTTCACAGTTGAACATATGGTCAGATGTCACATCATTTACACCAGTTGTAACAGATACGTGTTTTAACACAGGTCAGGGTGATTTGATAAGTTGGAAACAGTTCTCTGATACTGAAGGATCCTTTATCATAACAAAAAGCAAATGTGATGGTAAGGTTACAATCGATATCCTTTTTGTTTATGTCATCATAGCATATCCGAGTATAATGAGAAGTACTGTAAAACCTATGTAAATCGGATCATATGAAAACCGAAATTCTTTGAAAATCGGACGATAGTTTAGAAGTCCCATATTTTCCTTAATACATTCATCGGAAAAAAACATCCTTTAAATACCGGAACCACTACGGCTGTATTTGCTTAGCATGTATTAAATATTCTCTGAAAACAGGATTGTGGACGAACCCGAAAAGGGTCCGGTTTTCACATTTTCTACTGTATTTTTTTCTGTACTGCATGTCTTGAAGCCAATAGTTAGATTAATCGGTCTATGAACGGAGTCAAATTCTTTGACATTAGAATTTTCGTTATTATTATTTTTTCTCATAACCATACTGACATTTTTTGTATCTTACGTCACATTACGTACGTAACGATTTTTATTTCCTGCTTTTTAAAAAACTAAACACCAATAACATATTTAGCTTTGAACATAGCATCCATGATTTAGCTCTATGTTCTTCTTTAAGTCGACAACAACTGTGATAATACATCATGCCATAACGGAGGTTCCTGCAGTGATTCTATTGGAGGCTTTTCATGCGCATGCGCAAGAGGTTTTACCGGAAGTTTCTGTGAGATCAATATCGATGACTGCCTTGACAACGCGTGTGATAACAACGCTACATGCATTGATGGACAGGATAAATATAGTTGTGTTTGTCCGGCTGGCTTTAAGGGTGACTTATGTGAAACCCACTTTGGTTAGTATTCAGCTTTCTCTTGTGTTTGTAATGAGTTAGAAAAGATAGGACATCGAATATCTATTTGCTTTACTTAGATATAAAAAAGAAATGTGAATATGTTAATTGTATAAAAAGTAACATTCCTTTGAATAGTTTGTTTACCGATCTATCAAAGATTGCACTTGTTCAATTGTTATGCATATATAAATGGTTGTTAGTCAACATTAATAAAATAAATCCAGAAACCAGTGTTAAAGACCACTTCCAAATAAATACCACCATAAATAAGACCATTTGTCTAAAAAGACATTGTTCGGCCTCTCTTTTCGGTGGTCTTTTTTCAAGGTTTGACTGTCTCTGAGGTGGTGTGTCCGCTCAGCAATGAAATAAATGCTGACTTCACAAACACCAATCTATTTAGAGGTTTAAATTTATTTTTACTCTTTACATAGTGCGAGTATGGTACGCTGATTTATTTTATTAACAAATATTCAAAATACATGGTCCAGTTGACTGAAATATAGCAGACGACACGTGTTTGTCAGTCTTTTACATTTTTATGCTTTAGTAACTGTTTTCAGTTGACGGTGGTTGGACAGATTATGAGATAAGTGGTGAATGTTCCGTCACATGTGGATCTGGAACGCAGCAGATGTCACGTGTCTGTGAAAACCCCATCCCAATAAATGGCGGGAAACAGTGTGAAGGCGATAGTACAAAAACAGTCCCCTGCGAAACCAACGTTGTTTGCATAAATGGTAATACAATTTGAATTGTTTCATTCGGAGTTAACTTCCTTTTTTCTCGTTCATTCGTTTGTCCGTCTGTGCGTTTGCTCGATCGTTCGTTTGTTCGTTCGTTATACAACATAATTTAAGGTTCTATAAAATAATTGTAAAGTGGAACATACAATCAACAATGGATACAATGAATTAGACATCGATGTTTTGATTACTAGTATATAATCTAGGATCATATAAAGAAGGCAAACATAACGAGTTATCTCGGCCTCACTACCAGTACCGACTTCACCACATCAATCTGTGGTAGTAGAAATTCTGTCAATGAAATTGACACAGAAAATCACGTGTCCTGACAAGGGTCATGTGCTCAACCTATGAAACCTACAGAATTTATCAGGCGGACTAAAAAACATATTTAAGTTGTGTGGATATGTAATACTATATTTTATTGAATATATTAATTTTAATATTTTCTGTCGTGGGTAAGATGTTGGAAAACAATTATTTTAGATTTTGTTTATATTATCTAACAAATTAAAGAAATAAATGCCCTTAAAAATTTATATTTTAAGAATGTGGAAAGGACCCAACGACACTAGATAATGGAAACATGAACTGTGTATCAGAAAATGACGAGAAACGTGTTTGCAGGCCCACGTGCAACGATGGTTACGAATTTGACAGCGACCTCTATATTAACTCTTCCGGTATCGTCTGCGGGCCAGACACCGGATATGTTTGGAATATAAATAACGAGGATAATCCCAAATCACAGATTCCTTCTTGTCAACGTTTACTAATATATTTTCGGACGAAGTCCATCTGTTATCAGTTTGACTTCGAGTAAAATTAACAGGGAAGGACTGAATATGAGAAGGATTTCCATTGGTCATTTTAAAATTACAAATTGAAGTCGGTGAATCACATTGGTTATCCTAAAATAAAATGTAAAGGATAGTTCTTACCATTCTAAGATAAAATGTGAGGGATAGTTTTGCCACTATAAAATTGAAATGTAAAGGATAGTTCTAAAATAAAATGTACAGGAATGAGTATAGTTCTTTAACTTTTAGGTTAATTTGTAAATGATTACAAAATTTATTAAGTCAAACGTAAAACAAGTAAAAGGGACACCTTAAATAGAAGTTGTCCTACTTTGAAAAATCATCAATATCAATATGCTATAATTTCATTTCAATGTTTACAAAATGGTTATTTGTGTGCTACAAGAAATGATTATTATGTCATTATTATGCAAGCATTTCTTTATGTATTGAACACTTATAAATAACATAATTTTGCATGTAAACCAGCTTTACTTCCGTTTAAAGATACTTCTTGTTATTTATAATTTCGGTTGCATTAACGTTATAACATTATATATCATACGCCTTATCCTTTGAAGACAGTTCTTTCTCTCATATTTTTCAACAACGCACATATTAATTGTTTATGGTTTCTTGTTATGTCTAATACTAAAAATTATCAGCGTAATTATCTAATGTATAAAAGACGATCCATTATAGACCAATTCACTTATTAATATTATTATTATATAATAAGTTCGAAACTTAAGAAAACTTGGACAGTAATCAATTCTATACTGTTGACTTAGTTCCAAACATATGTTTGCATCTATTTAAAATATAGAAATTTGATAACAATAAATAAATAAATAAATAAATAAATAAATAAATAAATAAATAAATAAATAAATTAATTAATTAATGAGTATGCACAGACATAATTGATATTATAAAATTCAAAATGTATGAACTATGCTAAGCAGGGTTCCTATGAAGTCCAAAGTCTAAAGACATAGGTCTGAAAATTGGAAATATTGCATAACTTAAGATATGGAACAGTTAAAGAAAAAAAACAGAAATAAACTAGTGCGTGTCTTAAACGGTTACTATTTATAGGTCATTTTGCACAATAAAAAAGGTTAATCCTTGAAATCAACGAAACGAATTGGCACACAAAGTAATATTGGTATAGAAATTCATAGATTCTTTTCTTTTCTTTTTCCTTCCCTTTTTCAAAAAAAAAAATAATACAAAAACAAACAAACGATATACTCATTCCCTTCTTGTCGAAGTAACAATTGCTTTTGGAAATTCATTATAAAGACAAATAGGGGCAATATACATAATTTTATACTTGTAGCAAAGCACCTGGCTCCAAAACTGTCGGTAAATCAAACAGGTGTGTACAATACGTTGAGTACTGAAACTTCTGATGTTGAAAACACCATAAAGTCGACTGTAAGGCGACAAACTGAAAACAGCTGGTTGTGTTGCCAACGGAACATGCGAATTAAAGGGCGTTCACATTTCGTCTTCAACTGACCAATCAGAAGAGAGGAAACGAAGGGAGACAAGCTTTGTATCATTTACTATAGAGCTAACATGTGACAATACTATAGGTGATATTTGTTCAATTTTAAATTTATTTATTTTTTAAATTTGTTATTGGCGTTTGTTGGTGAAACAAGAAAATATAATATTACTATTACATGTATTGCAAAGTTTAAATATGTTTGAAAGTATTAAACAAGTTTGTATGATTTCGTTAATGTGGTCCATACCTGAAAAACATTACATTTTAGAAATACAGGAAGATATGTAATAAATTTGGCAATAAGACACAGTTCAAAATAGGATATATTACTTAAGACAATATTCCTGCAGATTTTCCATTCTTACAAACTGAAAAAAAAAACGTTTTGACTTGTACGAGTAAAATCAAATGCTTTATCAAAGCAGACAGTATTTTACAAAAATTCATGTGTTTTTCAATGTCAATAAAAATTGTGGTTCGCATATGATACAAACGTGTATAGAAATAAATATCACTGCCTGTAATTGAGAAATTCCTATTTGGAAAGCAACTGTATTTATGTCATGTTTCCTGCCATCTTGTCTTAGAACTTCATTATTTACCTGTTAACCAAAGAATCTCAAAACTAATTTTATTGTTTGTTGTCAATGCTTAGTTGTCACAAAAGTCTACCAGTCTTGGTGTTTATATTACTGTATACGTCTGATTTTGACACGCGATTATAACAGCTATCTACCTTTTAGATAAATGTGTGGGACTTCTTTGTTGAAATATTTCTGAACCTAGTTTCAACATAATGTAGTAATGATACCGAAGCGTCCTTGTGCCATTTAACATGTTCTACTCCTATACGAAATAAAAAAAGCCTAATAAGTAGTTTGTATCACCTACACATGACGTAGGAGTTTTAAACTCCTAATAAAACTTCTTTATTTCCTACGTAGGAGTTATCTCTTTTATAGAACATGTTAATTTGGCACCAGGATGCTTCCGTATAATGACGTTATAATGACGAAATAATTTTGTTTTCTCTCAGGAAAAGACAATTGCTATGACCACCTGGCTGAGATAGTGACTATTTTTAACACATTAGTAGAAAATCTAGCGTTCACTATACAATATGGTGGCGTTGACTACGACGTTGGTGTAAACAGTACGTACCTGGACGGTTTGGCTGAGTGCGAGCCTGGATATGCATCCGTCTGGCAGTATTGTGGTAAGAACATTTTTAAATAGAACGATTTGACGATAGGGCCATATTTAAAATTATCCGCGACGCATGCATTCCAGTTTTAGTAGGGTAGGTAGGTATGTGCATTGTCCGAACTATTTTTTTTGTATTGAACCAAATTGTACTTAGATCTATATCTGAATTAGATATATATCTTTTTTTTAAGAATATGAATGCTTAATAGCATTTACTTATTAAAAGTATAAAACCAAAGTTTCAAAGTTGTATTCAATATAAGTCTGCAATATTTAAAATGAAAAAAAACAACAACAACATGAGACAGATATAAAGATGTGAATAATATTGACAGGTTGGCTTTACTTGCATGATAATAAAATAAAAGAATTTGTTTTGTTTGGCAATAAAAAGGTAGCAGTGATTTTTATGGGTAGGTGTCGGGGGGGGGGGTTGGAGAGTGGAAACAAACTATTTTATTTTAGGCCTAGGTCTACTTCAAAATTATGTGATAACTTGGGTATTCACATTTAGAAATGAACACATTGTATAGATGATTAGAGCTAATCACAAATTTTCACAAATAGATCATTTCCATTTAGACTTAGGCATGGTGAATAAATCAGACATGAACAATTGACAAAAACATCGTGATAAATATATAGATATGTCGTAATTTTAACATATTTGATTAAAATAAATATACAACTTCTACTTACCAATTTCCCTTGATTGAAAGACACAGATTTTGCTTGTTTCTGAGAGGCTCCAGAAGATTTAATTCATTGATAATTTATAATATTTTTTCAAAACAGATTATTTCTCCTCAGAGGGTTGCTCTGCATGGGTTACCCAAGTAAGCCAAATGGTAAAGAACTTTTCATTTCTACAAAAAAAGAAAAGATTTTAACTGAGATTTTATTTTTACACTTGTTGACCTCTAGTATCGTGTGGTAAGGGAACATATGCCACTAACGACTACTGTGAGAGCTGCCCTCGAGGCTACTACCAGGACGAGGAAGCACAGCCCTCGTGCAAGAAATGTCCTGATGGCTGGACCACTGCCGGACTTATGTCTAGAGACAGCATACATTGCAATGGTAAGTTCAATGATGAAATTGCCAAAACTGACGGTCTTCCTTATAGCTTGTATATACAGTATATGTATGTTTTTATAAAGTAAACTAATGGTTGAAAAGGGACAAGGGGCTCAAAGATTTGTATTCTATTTTATGCTATGTAACAGACAAGATTGGATAATAATATAATAATTATATCGACAATGACAAAAATAAAGATGATAATACAGCTACAACTTGTCCTAGAAGAGAGAAGCCTAGTTTCCTAAAAAGCCGCGCAAGCCACGGTCAACACTTTTTTCTAATAAAGTAAAAATAAATTTATGTCTATATTAATTTCTAATAATCACCTGACCGTGTTTATTGCATTTAACATATCCAAAAATAAAAAAGTCATGGGTGTGTGTGTGCCATCACCCACCACCTAGACGTGTGTCTATCAGTCAAGACTAAGCTGCGCCCCCTGTCTGTGGTTGTTAGTCCGGCATTTTTAAAATAACTATTTTTATAGATTATTGCATAACACGATCATGTCAAAAAAATCCATGAAGACTATGAATTATCGGACAGCTGGTCAAGATGCATAAGCTGCTATTTCAATTTTCATATATTCTTACAAATCAAGCTCTTTCAAATGAAAATATTTTATGTTGTTACGTGTATAACGATGTTCACACTGAACATTTATGATTTACACCATGTATCTTTAATTATGTACACAATGAACCTTTTATGATACATACTATGAATCTTTTATGATGTACATCATGGATCTTTTATGATATACACCTCGAACCATTTATGATGTACACCATGAACATTTATGATGTACACAATTGGTCTTTTATGATACACATCTCGAACCATTTATAATGTACACAGTGAACCTATTATGATGTACATGAACCATAATGCTAACTATGGGAATGACGAATCGGTTAGTCATGAAACGTTTTATACATGTAGTACAATTTCACTATGAAAATAAGTTTGATTAGTTATAAGTTATTGTAAGTATATATACTGTCTTATAATTGTGTTTACAGTTGAGAAACCCGAGGAAGACACCACAATAAATTTGATTCTGTACATAATCATTATTGTGGTTGGAACTTTCTTTATAATTCTGGCAGTTGTAGGAATTGTTTACCGGTTAAAGAAAAGGTAGTGTATAATTTTAGAATTGTCTAGGCCTTAAAAGCCTGTGCCATCAAAGGCACATTTACACTCACGATTTTTTTATTTCATAAGGAAGGGCAGTATGGATTATGCATTTAGATCATATTTAACGAATATCGTTTAATGAAACTATTGATGAATGTGAAATAATGTCTCGTAAAAGAAGACAAACGTTAATAAAGTGTTGATTTTATACTTACATGTGAAATACTAAATCACTATTATTGTATTTATTTCCTAAATGCAAAAGAAACAGATAATGGTTCAGCGATATAGTTAATCAGTAACTGTTAGGAAACTGTAACAAGGTACCAAAATATAAAGCTTTTAAGAAATAAAAGCAATGTAATATAAAATATTTGGGGTAATGTTAGAAGCTAAGACAAAATGTTCCATTGTCTACCATGTAATTTCAATAAGACTTAATTATTCAAAGCATTTAAGCTAATGTAAAGTATGCAAATAACGAGATGACATGCCAAATAGCTATTGTGGAACTTAAACTTTTTAAATCATTTTATTTTATTTGTTGCCTTTTATTTATAGTTCTGTCTCCTCTAATATATGTATCCTTCAATTTAAACTGTTGTCCCTTTCACAATAGTATGCCTTTAAAATATAGTGTTGTGTCTAGTACAATATGATGCTTTTGATTTAATATTTACGCTTCAACTGATAGCGTTGTCTCTGTTTCAATATGGTGTCTTTGATTAAATGATGTTGTATTTGGTACAATGTGTTGCCTTTGATTTATAGTTTTGTCTCTTGTACAATATATTGCCTTTTATTTAAAGTGTTGTTTCTGATACAATATGTTGCCTTTTATTTAAAGGGCTGTTTCTGATACAATATGTTGCATTTTATTTAAAGTGTTGTTTCTGATACAATATGTTGCCTTTTATTTAAAGTGCTGTTTCTGATACAATATGCTGCCTCTGATTTATAGTGTTTGTCACTATATGTTGCTTTGATGAAAAATGTTTTCTCTCGTACAATATGTTGCCTTTGATTAAATATTTTGCCTTCGATTGATAGTGTTGTCTTTTCTACTGTATACTGTCTTCAATATTCATAGTGTTGCCTCTGGTTCAATGTGTTGCCTTTGCTTTATACATTATGGTGTTTTCTCTAGTACAATATGTTGCCTTTGATAAATAGTGTTGTCACATCCTCAATATGTTGCCTTTCATTTCTTGTGTTGTCTCTGGTACAGTATGTTACTTTTTATCCATAGTGATGTGTCTGGTACAATAATGTTCCCTTTGAGTTTAACTGTAGTCTCTGCTAAGATATGTTGCCTTTGTTTAATAGTGCTGTCTTATCTTCAATTTGTCGCCTTTCATTCATGGCGCTGTTTCTTGTGCAACGTGTTTTTCATTTATAGAAATGTCTCTGGTACAATATGTTTTATTTGTTTTGTAGTGTTGTTTCTGGTACATTATGTTATCTTTGATTTACAATATTGCTTTTCCTGCTTCAGATGTAACCTTCGATAATAACAGTGTTGTCCTAGGTACAATATGCTGCATTGGTTTTATAATTTTGCCTTTTTATAATATGATGCTAATACAATATATTTTCTTTGATTTATAGTAGTGTAGTTTTTGCTACAACATGTTGTTTTTTATTTATAGTGTTTCCTCTGGTACAATATCTTGTTGGTACAGTAATGTTGCTTTTTGATTAAACGTGTAGTTTCTGGTATAATAGCTTTGTCTTTCATTCATAATATTGCCTTTGCTACAAATATTGTCTTTGATTTATAGTGTTTTCTCAAGTTCAATATGATGTCTTAGATTTATTTTGCTGGGTCTGCTAAAAACATCTTGTCTTTGAGTGCTATTTCGACAAATAATAATCTAAATATTTTCCAGGGGGAGTGGAGTACAACCCGATGGTCATAACAACCAGTATAACACATCTAACAACATTGGTAACGTAAATTCAAATGAAAGGTTTCAAATGAGGTATGCTTTTATATGTACTGTCATGATCTTACAATATGTTTGTTGTTTTGTGTTTGATTTATTTATTTATTTACTTATTTATTACCCAGCCACCCATCCACTCATTTATTTATTTTTTTATTTATTTACATTATTAAACTTAATCTTATCAAAAAATAGTGTTTGCCAAACATTTGTATCTGTTATTTTAAACAACAACAAATATGTTTTCATCAGTCAAAGCATAGTTGTACATATTTCATCTTTATCAAACTTTGGTGGTAACAGAGAAATATAACGTAGAAGACATAGGAAGCAAAACCAAAAAAAGCGTACCTGAATGTTTTTAGTTAATAGGTAGATCTGTATTCAATAAAGAAAGGCATAAAAATGTGACAATATTTTATTTTCCTATATTCAACGCATTTATAATATTTCATAATAGTAAATTTAGGCTTACTTTCGTAAATTGTGAACGTTAATTTATATGAATATATGGGAATATTAAAAACAAGGCCAAATCACTTAATTATATTCTAGGATATATTGTTTTCCAAATGTGAATAACTTCCATAGTAGTATATTCGTGCCACATGGGCGAAATTGGGCGGGGGGGATAAACATACCAAAAGCACTGTTTGTTGTGTTTTCGCCCTTTCACTTCTTGAAATTTATTACTATAAGAGTTGAAAGTACGGAAACAGAAAAAGGTAAAAAAAACTTGTTGTGTTTTCGACCTTACAACTTTTCGACCAACTACCTCCCTGCTTAAAAAACAAACACAAAAATGAAAACCACGCTCATTTGACATGCCATAAGTATGCCATCATCAACTTTCGATGCAGTATTTTCCAAAGCTAATAATTGTTTCGTATTAAAGAAAATGAGAGTTAAAACAAAAAAAAGCCCTGTATATGCCTCGAAATAACACAGCAATAGAAAAAAATTGTAACACTTGTTTTCCGCAGTAACGTGGAGCCAGCCTATGCTTATAACACCATGTACAACACACATCACGACAATGCGGTTACTAATGCCAATAAAAAGTTTCGTCCGACGTAAGTATTCTTACATTAATGTATTAACTTAAAATATAAGCTCGTCGGGAATTATGTAATTCAAAACATATTTGAGCTGTATAAGAACACAAGTCTAGACACGTTTAATTGCGCTTAAATATTTTAACTTTACTGTATGTACAATTTAATGAAAAAAGTTTTATCATATAAGATGCACATTACGTCGTTTCTAAGTTTATCAAATACCCATACCGTTTTTGGTTAAACCGTGATTTTTCGTCATAATATTGTTTTCTCCCTTACTAATCATGCCATTTCAGAACTTTTGAAGAAGAACTAAATGCCTCGGTTGAGAGGAGGCGTCAACATTTGGATGACTATCATGGTGCTTACAATAAGTAAGTTTACATATAAATTGTTTTAAATACAAAATAGCTTCATTTTGTGATTTCATGTACTTTAGTAATAATAAATTGTAAGTAATTAACCCAGTTGTCATTTCCATAGTCGTAGCATATGACAGGGCTCACATAGGAGAAATACACTAAAAGTGTTTTGAATATTTTTATATTGTTTTCCACTGGCAATATTATCAAATATTCACAAACAGGAAAACCACAACAACAAAATTTGTAGTTAATTGCACAATATTTGCCAGTTTTACAAAATGATTTACAATGACGACTATTGCGACACGTCAACATCAACAGTATTTATATTTAAGTATATAATAAAATAACTGAAATGTAAAATGAAAAGAGCATATGAAATATATACACTAACGTACTGTTATATTTCCTTCCACCAACAAGATAATGAATATTTTACTCGTGAGTTCCATCATAAAATGTCCTCACCCGACTTGATTAAATCCCGGGGCTCGAATTGAAAGCTAGACGTGTATACTAATAGACCTATGATGAACGACCTTAACAAGTTTAATTCACTTTGAAATCACATATCTATATAATGTGACGTCAATGTTTTGATTTGTTTTCAGTGAAAATATGTTTGAAATATAGCCAAAGTAACTTGTAACTTATCATTTTAGGTTTCACCAAATTCTTATTCCCCTCCCGAAAAACTATGTAATCAGTGTTTGATAATCTATGCAATAAGCTTATAAACAAGGAATATAATTATCATACTTGCCAGTTTAATCACCCATTGACTTTGTTTATATGTTATACAGCTATATTCTTACATATACAACCTTTCAAGCCTGTTACTTCTAAAAATAATGTCTATAATTAAATTCCATACTCAAAAGTGTATTAATGTTTATTATATTCAATCAGAATTATTCAAACTGATAAATTTTTACTGTTGGTCGAACTTGATTGGGCTACTCCAGGTACTTTTTTCTGAATTTTTTTTATCTTCTAAATTCAATAAGTTGAAATTGTAAAGCTACTACAAGTAAGACATTTTAGCATGCCTTAGTAAACAAGTATGTCTGTGTCCATCAATAGGTGAGCACAGTTTCAACGCGCTTTATTAAAGTTTCAAAATCACCATCTGAACAAGTGCTGCTAGATTCATCGTAAAAAGGCAATGGATTACAACTATTTTCGTACGTGGAAACAGCTGGTTTACTCTAGATAGATAGATAGATTTATTTCAGTATTCAGTAATAACATGGTAAAAACATATCCAATACATGATAAAACAATAAAAACAAATATCAATGTAAAAGAAATGCACCATAACAAAAACATCATACCAAGGATAACACAAGAAAGAGAACTTAATCTCTTATTTCCATTGTGGTCCTTAGATACTGATGGTTTTGACAAAGAGATGCATGAAAATGACTTATCACAGTTTTAAATTGAAGAAAGACAATAGTATACATAAAAGTTTCAAATTAAAATAAATTAATAAAAATAATAAATATTAAGACTAGAGGATAGACACCTTTAAAAGAGAAAATTACCCATTTAGTAAATGTTTTTTAACAGATAATTTAAAATTGTACAATTTTGATTCCATCCTAATAGAAGAGGGTAGTTTATTCCACAATACACATCCATTGTAAACAAAAGACTTTGATCCGAAACCTTTGACCTTAGGTAGCATATAACACCAACTTTCACTTGACCTGGTCCTGTAAGTATGAACAGAATCTAATGGAATAAAGTTTTCTCCATATATTCCGGGGCAAGTCCATGTTTTATTTTAAAAACATGACATAGGATGATTTGATCAACTCTTTTCTGGACAGGTAGCCAATTTAAAATTTTAAAGTGTTCATTATCAATATGTGACTTATAACCAAGATTTAGAACAAATCTTATTAATCTATTTTGTGTGACTTGGAGTTTATCCTTCCAGTATTTAGTAACCCCGGGAAACCAGAAACAACATGCATAATCAAAATGACATTGGATGAGGGCGATAACCAGAAGTTTTTTAGTGTGAAATGTGAGATGATCACGTTTTCTATACAGAAACTTTAACCTTGCATTGGCCTTTTTAATAATAGAACTTGCCATTGCTTCACAGGAGAGAGACTGATCAAGTGTTGCACCTAGATATTTGACATTAGAAATTGACTGTATATCAGTCCCTTTACAACTGACATGAAGTGATGAACCTGTTTTTTACCTATGTTTAGAACCAAATAATGTTGTCTCTGTTTTGCCTAAGTGAAGGGAAAGTTTATTGTCAATTAACCATTGACTGACAGAATGTAGTTCATCTGTCAGTTCTTTTTCAATAGATGACCTATTTTTACCTGTAACAAGAATAGCAGAATCATCTGCATAAAGAAGAAGTTTATTTTTAACAACAGCCTGCATATCATTTACATAAATTAAAAATAATAATGGTCCCAAGATAGACCCTTTGGGAACACCACAAGTAACCCTTTCATGTGAGGAAAAAGTACCAGATACATCAACAAGTTGTTGCCTATCAGACAGATATGACCTAAACCATTGTAAATCATCAGTACTTAGTCCAATGGCTTCTAATTTCATTAAAAGGATTGAGTGGTACACTGTATCAAATGCTTTTTGAAGATCCATTAAAATCATGCCTACAAGATTACCTTTATCCATATGTAGCCTAATAAAATCAGATAGATGTGTAAGACAAGTGTCAGTGGAAAAACCACCTCTAAATCCTGATTGAAATTTATATAATATGTCCATTTCTTTAAGATAGGAATAAATCTGATCATAAACAACCCTTTCAAAAATTTTAGAAACAATGCTTACTATGGAAACAGGCCTGTAGTTGCCAACTTCAGTTTTATCATTCTTTTTGAAAAGAGGAACAATTCTTGCTGCCTTCAAATCATCTGGTACTGTGCCTTGTATCAATGACAAATTTATAATGTTTGTTAAAGGAAAGGCAATAATAGATGCACTATCTCTTACAAAACGTGAAGGAATACCATCCAGACCAGTGGATTTGTTATTCAAATACTTTATTACACTTTTTTCAGACATCAATGAAAAAGAAAAATTATTATAATTCTTTTTGATAAATAAAAAGAAGATACAAACTGTTTACCAAAAATGTTTAATGCTGGAGATAGTTTTGGAGTAAGATTTGATGCAACATTACAGTAAAAATTGTTGAATTCTTCAGCAACCTTTTGTTTATCAAAACAAATTTCATCACATATTTTTAATCCAATATTATTCTTAGAAGATGAATTATCCTTTTAAGATGGTAGACCAAGCTCCTTAAGGGATTTCCATAAGGTCTTTGAATCATTTTTATGATTGTCACATGAATTATTAAAATGGTTCTTTTTCGCCATAAAAATAAGTTCATTAGCTCTATTTCTATATGTTTTAAAATTCTCAAAATTTTCATCAGTTTTATTCTTTCTATACAAATGAAAAGCTTTATCTCTATCATTTAAACATTGAAAAATTTCTGGACTAATCCATGTTTCAGTACGTTGTTTAATACGCATTTCCCTAACAGGAGCAATGTAATCAACAACAGTTAGCTAGAAAAATAGATTTAAAAAGTTTCCAAGCTTCAGATACACAGTCACATAATAATACAGGAGACCAGTCAACTGCAAGTAAAGATTTCTGGAAATCATCCTTATTATTATAATTTTTCATTGAACGTGCTTTGATAGTGTTATGCTTGCCAACATAATTTTTAGTAACTTTTCCTGTACAATAGATAGTAAAATGATCATTAAAACATGTACTTAAGACTCCTGACTGAGAAATTTTGTCTATGTCAGACACAATAATAAGATCTATAGTAGAAGACGATGTATGACACACCCTGGTGTGTTTATTAAATAAATGTTTAAAATGAAACATATTAAGAAAAGTACTAAAAGCAGAAGATAAAACACACACTGGCCTATTTCTTTGTTTATAAACATCAATGTTAAAATCACCTAAAATAAGTGTTTCATGTTCAATAAAATGAGGAGAACTATTGCACAAGTCTTCAAGAATGCCAATAAAGTCCAACTGTTTTGGAGGTCGATAAATAATGCCCACAAGAATCGGTCTAGCTTTAGGAAGAAGGATTTCCGCCCACGTCGCTTCTAGCTTCTCGTGTTGTAGATCGCTTCTAGTGTTAAAAGTTAAGTCACTACGAATGTAAAGGCAAACTCCGTCACCATGCCTGTCTCGGTCACGACGAATGATACTATAATTCTGGATTTGAATTTTCGAATCAAAAACAGATACATCTAGCCATGATTCCGATATACCTATGCATGCTGCACTGGATTTATGTGCTAGAATACGAATATCCTCTAACTAAGGAAGTAAACTTCTTACATTCACATGTATAAAAAGGAGTCCACGATTATTAAAAACGTTGTACTGGTTGTCAAGAGTTTTGAATCACTTACAATTTTCATGACCTGGACAAGGGTGAACATCCCCACACAGTAGCAAACAAATGGACAGGAAACTGTTTCTATTATTAATTGAATATACTGATTGTGACTTCCTCTCGGCTGCACTGTTGTTAAGATTTATGAAATTGGAGTAAAGCGTTAGATTACCAAAAGAAACTGGAGAAATATCATAACTATCCACAACCCAATTACTATCCAAACACTGGTACACTTTACATCCGGCGCCACTATTTATGAATAAGTCATTAATTTATTTTATTCACTGACCGGCTTGAGCCAAGTTATCGGAATTATATAATTACTATGTAGTAGCCCATTTCAGTTTGCTCCTAAATCTTACTGAATTGTCTTCGAAATGAAGTTGCTTCTTACATAAACTTACTCCACTGGACAATGTCAACTGTAGAATAAAAGTGACTACTAACTACACAGCTTAATGCTATCATATAACATGCATTTATCGCATGGCTGTGAGCTTTTTCTTTGTTCTTTCTAACCCATTATACTCAGTACACTTCAATGAGCATTTCAAAACTGTATTGATATATAACAGTACAGTTTTTTCATTGATTCATATAGGAAAAAAACTCGACTGTTATATATCGGTCGAGTTTTTTTCGCACCTTGTATATATCAATACAGTTTTTTCATAGAGGCTCCAATGGGGCAGTGGTAACGACCATTCCCAGTAGCAAAAAAAAACAACATAAAATCGGGATGTTTCTGCAAAAAAATTGTCTCGGCCTGACGGCCTCGCCATTTTTTAGCAGAAACACCCCTTGATGTCGCCCCAGCCAGTGTTATACCCTGTAACTAACTCGTTTTATATACTATAACTATTACCTAATTAATCACGATTGAACTAAGATATGAAATGAGATCATGACATTGTTAATGAACATGAAAATATGTTTATAAAATATAAACTTAGAATTACTGTTAGGCACAGTCATTCAACGTTTTCATTCCAAATTTCAGCTTTTAAAACAGACACTTTCATTATGGAAGGTATTTCATATAATAATTATGTTGACAGTATTACGGATTTATATTACATCCGTGACAGTATTGAGTATCATACGTAATAACAAATTCATATAAATATCCATTCTTAACCACTTAAAATTCAATCAACATTTTTCTTTCAAGACATACTTGATGAAAATATCCTAATGTCGCCTTTATATTGTTTGTTTTAACATTTTTCCATGGAAAATGTTCCTTTTGTAGACCAATTTAGTCTATCATTTATTTATTTTTGTTTATCAACAGTCCAATTTACACAAATGCGCGTGCTGATCCGGTGGCGTATACAGATGCAAGTGGTGCTTATATTATTTTAGAGACCAATTTAGATAAACCACCGTTATCACCACAAACAGTATACAAGAAAAATGCATGGGAATAAAATCGGTATCCGATAAACGTCAGACAAAGTACTCACTTTTTATTCGAGCGCCAACATGATTGTACCGGAAGTGCTAGAAGTCAACTTCAGTATCAATTTTGAATGCATAGAAGACATTCAGTGATATTTTGATAAATCTGTGATATTCAAATTTGTGTTTTAATTGTTAAATTTTATTTTGTTGTTTTATATATTCTAGACAATGTGCTACTAATTGCTCACAAGTAAATACATGTACACATTTTATCATGAATAGCAGTATATACATTAAATGTCATCACTTCTTCATAAATTGTTCGTTTACTAATGCTAATTATCATATGTTTTAAAAATGTATTTATATATTGTTATATTTTTTGTTGGTATCTTAACAATATTACATGTACTAACATACTTGTTAAGTAAGTTAAACTTCAAGCAGAAAAATAGTGCCCCTGTTACTAAATGTATTCAATGTATATTTTACTTCTAATGATATGTTATAACATGAGGGATTTTTGTGAACCAAGCTTAATATTTGAATATTTAAAGACTGCGCATTAATTATTTGTTAATGACAGGCATGTTATCTATGAAATTATTTACAATTTGTATTTTTTTTATATATTGTTCACTTATAGTTAGCTATACGAAGTTTTTTGAGATCACATTCAATTCAGTGTCGTCGTTCGTTAAAGATTATTTTGCATAAAACGATCTTAAACTATAATGTCTTTCTTACGTGACGAATTTGTGCCTCTTACCATCACAAACATCAAATACTAGAATTATCCATTGAAAATTATTAGTATTTTGCACATTTTATATGTGTACTTTTATAATTTTAAGAGTTATCTCCCCTTGAAGATAGTATATCATACAAATTTGTTATTATTTTACACAAATATACATGTATACTTTTATGATTACATGGGTTATCTATCCCTTGAAGGTGGAATTTCACACAAAATTGTTATTATTTTACACAAACATGCATGTGTACTATTATAATTTCAAGAGTTATTTACTCCTTGCAAATAATACTTCATACAAAATGGTTATTATTTTACACGTTTTACATGTATACTTTTATAACTTAAAGAGTAATCTAGCCGTTGAAGATAGTATTTTATACAAAATGGTTATTATTTTACAAAAATATTAACGTGTACTTTTATTATTTAAAGAGTTATCTACCCCTTAAAAATAGTATTTATACAAATTGTCATTAATTCATATAAATATACATGGGTACTGTTATGATTTCAAGAGTTATTTTCTCCTTGAATATAGTATTTCATACAAACTGTTATTATCACATGTACTTTTATAATTTCAATATTTATCTACAACTTAAAAATAGTGTTTCATACAAGTTGTTACTAATTTACACAAATCTTCATGTTTACTTTTATAATTTCAAGAGTTATCTATCCCTTTGAAGAAAATATTACATACACATTTGTTATTAATTGCACAAATATACATTTGTATTTTAAAAAATTAAACACTAAATCATACTTATTGTCGTCAAAATTGCACCTAACAAGGATCATGAATTTAGCACCTGTATTTATGCCTTTAGAATCTATAATGTCATATTAAAAGGATTATATTTTAAAAAGAACTTTTTCATTATTTTTGTAATTGATGTTACTTCGAATCACTCATATCACATATGTCAAGGTCTGTAACACTGGCATCAATAGTTTAATGATTATTCTTCTCAAGTTCTTTTATCACTTAAAGGACTTTTCATTTTATCTAACATAGTAAGTCATCTCAGTCTGTTTCAAGAATCAATCCCTCAGAACGTTCATGTTAAGTATAAATTATAACAGAAACTTTTTTTTGTTTTCAATTAAGAAATTTCAGGCATATATTTATGCGATTAACAATAAGTGGACAACTCAATTTTAATTTCCTGATATTAATTACATATTTCTTATATTTTACCATATTTCTAATTTGGTTAAGTCTTTCTTTATCATCCAGAATTAAATATTTGAGTGTGTCTTCTCCGGCACTTTTAGTGAATTTTGATGCATGTTTGATGTCTTTATCGCATTTGAAGAAAGCATTTTTATTGAATTTTTACTATGAGACGCATTGAGAGAAATCGTATGTACATGGTTTTATTGTTTATTTTATTACAACAAAACTATCAAAGGTGTTCTTTTCGTTTTGTTTTATTTTTCTGCCTTTATAGTATTTTTAAAGGTGCTCCAATGAGGTACGATAAAATCAAATATGAAAAATAAAATAAAATGTTTACATAAATCAACTGGGGCTCTCTTAACAGAAAATAGGCAAAATTTATATAAAAAAGTTATAGCTCAGAATAAAGTTGACAAAACAGTCGGAAGGAAGACGAAGTAATTTTTTAACCTTTGGCCGATCCTTAGGTTTGACCTTGATTTTGTAAGAAACATCCTGTTTTTTTTGCGTTGTGTGCATCATCTTATAATGACGATCATTTGTTCAAAGTGCTTTTAGTGATTCTGCGAAAGAAGAGCTCGACGCCATTTTTATCCATCGCTTTTGCTCCACCGCCGACTGCTATGGCCAACGTGAAGTTTCCTTAATTAAACCGAATCAGAAATATGCACATTCCTTAGTATTATTTTACACGATGGTATACAATTAGGCATTGGGAGAGTGACAAAATAATCTTGAAAAGGTAAACTCAAAAAAAGTTATATTTAACACCATATCCGATTTCACATCCACCGGTGCACATAAGTTCTGCATCAGTTGTGAAATTGGCGTCTGTTGCTAAAAATAGACATGCCGAACCTATTTCATGTGGCTCTTCAAATTGTCCAAGTTGCTAAATATAAATAAAAAGAAAATAACCAAATGAATTAGAATTCATAATCATTATTCGATTACAATAATACTTTTAGCTAACTGAAAAGTTATGATATAAAAAACAACATACTTAACTTAAACCACTGAAATACACAATTTCACTTTTCTCGGCATACTTTAAAGTAAAAACTCTAAAGAATTGTAAAGCATTTGAACTAAGATCAGTTATTTTCTTATATGAAAACCTATTTAGATAGTATCGTCCTATCAATTTTGAGGACTAACAATTACCCTATTTTTCCTTATCTGACGTCATAGCACGGTGCCAAGGTGGCAAGCGTTCAATTTGATGAGTGCGTAGCAACTAAGGAGCTACTGAGAATGAAACTGCATTATTTTGATTATAGAAAAAAGGAAGCAAAAGATAACAAAATATCGAGTGGCTTTGTTTGTTGTTTTGTTTTTAAACGCAAGAACACAGTAATAGTCTCACGGTGACCTACTGTTGGAGGAAGATGTCAGGTGCACCTTTGTGAATGCATTATTTCAGACACTCAGCGAGCCCTTTGGTGAACCACCGACCTTCCTAAATTAACTGGATAGCTTTCTCACATGAAAGATTCCTAAAGTTTCTGACGGGGCCTTAATCACGGAGGCTATATTAATCAGTATGTTACGTACCGACCATTTTTTTATACTAATTCCCTCTTTTCTCCTCCTCGTTCTAACCAACTTTGAAGCAATTGCGTATTTATTGGTCCTGGGCATACCCTTTACAAATTGAAAAAAAAATTGTGTTCATCATCATCATCATCATTCTACTATTGATATTACCATCAACATGATCACCAGCAGCAGCAACAGCACCAGCATCATCACCACCACTACTACCACCATAACCATAATCATCATCACCACTACCACCATCACCATAATCATCATCATGATCACTATCAGTACCGTCATCACAACCATCGTCATCATTAAATTTTGTATTCTATAATTATTTATCTGACCTTAAATATACTTCAATGTTGCCTGCAACATTCACTTCATTCTTATTTCAATTAACATGCCGTACAAATCTGTCTCCCTTATCTATGACATATGTATCTGGATTAGGCAATTGCCTGACTTCACTTTGCAGGATGTCATGCCTACATTTTGTTAACATAGTCCTGTGATACTCAAAGATTTATAAAAAAATCATATTGATCAGTAACATACATGTATTAGCCGTCCGGTCAATAAGTAGAGCGTTGGATTATAAATCCGTCGACCCGGACGACGCAGGTTACTTTCGTTGTTGATCATGAAATCCTTTCTACAGTCATTCGCACCGTACCTCTGCTCTTGTGTGTACAGAAGTTTCAGTTCATTCCGGGAGTGAAGGCAACTAGTACTGGTAAACTGCTCGACAGCCTGCCAGGAACGATGCAGTGGCTGAACTGTGCTATGGTAAATTCATCGTGGCTTACTGCTATGATCCGAAGTTAAAACTGCCAACCCCACCACAAATAAAATATGTACTTACGTATTGACTCTGACACCATTCTTGGCTTCGTCTATAGCCAACGCTTTTGACAACGAGATAATAGCACCCTTAAAACAAGGAGAAAGCAACATGAAATTGTATTGTGTTTATAAGAATGCGTCTCTTGTTTAACTTGAGCTAAGTACTTTTAGATTAAATGTACATGTATATATTTTATAAGGTTCTTTCTATTTTATTAAACTTGCAAAAAAGGCAACAATATGATCATTTTGTCTATCATTACATTATTATATTTATCTGTCTAAGCAAGTATGAACTTTACCCAGGGTACTGTTTTAAAATATTTAGAATAACTGGTGTCTCTATAAGTAAATAGACGTATATTTATATTTATATTCATGTTAATTTTTTTATTTATATGACATGATATTTATATTCAAAGTAATGCATGTAAAGATGATAAACTAATTTAGTATGCTTAAATATAAAATCTAATAAACGATATGTTCTGTTCTGTTCTATTAATGAATCCCTGTCGTAAAAATACGAACAAAAAAGCACATGAGGTATTTGCCAACCAATAAAGCTGGGAAGTTTCTATATGATCTTTGCAGTGTGAGTTTATTTTAAAAGATCCAGCAATTTCTACTTTATTTTAGAATGGTCAACGCGACTCTCAGATTCCACTAAGTACTAAAATGACCAATGAAAAATTTTCTTACATTAAGTTTTTACCTGTAAATTTTAAAGGAAGTCAAACTGATTTAGATGGCTTCCGGCCCAAAAACAACACATATTGATGTTCAACCAATACAATAAATAGGTCCGATTGTTAACCGTATATCAACCTTATATCTATAAAATCTTTGAATGGCTTGTGGTTAATTAAGATAGCTTGATTGTGGATTTTTATAACTTTTAAGTGAACTTGATATATTACCAAATTGTTCAAGCACTTCATTTAATCAAAAGTGTGCATTAAAAAGTGTAAATAGTTGATAGCAAAGTTTTTGTTTCTATTACAATTAAAATCTCAATGCATAATTCATCGAAAGAAAGTCTTGGTGTACATGAACAATCCTATTTTTTGCATGCACAGTGCGTAAGAATATTTTTCTCTTTCGAAAGCTATTGGAAATTTAGCGGGCACAGCAAAAGAAAATTCGTCTTTAAAAAATACTTACTTGTCAAACTAATGCGACCAAAATGAGTTAATGTATCACAAAAACCGCCATTTTTACACTAGTAAAATTTTACCTCACTTAAAACACACCAGAATTAATTTAACCATCTCCTCTATCCTCTGGCCCTCTCCCCCTTCCGCACTTCTAAGTAGGGAAATATTTTTGCAAAATGTACATTCCATGTTTAGCACTGTTGAATTCGTGAAATATGTGCATTAGTACAGAATGATAAATCCGTTACTTCTTTTACAATATTCACATAAACATAATTAGAAAGCATTTTTGCAAAAACACATATTTGAAAACATGTAACGTCAAAGACTTTATTCAAGTTAATTTAGACATTAGATTTATAAATGAGTTCATAAATCTTGATCTATGGTACTAATAAGGTAATGTTGCATAATAACCAGATATGAGCTTAACTGGTGTCAGTATGTATGCATATGATATGTTAAAGTAGTGTGAGAGCCAAAGCTGTTGTACAATAACGCATAACACCAGCGCCTACAATGTTATAATTTTTTTGTACTGTAAGTAATGTTGATTTATTAAAGTAAAACCGGTGCTAGGGAGAGTCACGGTAGCTTACATTAAGCTTACTGACTGTGACAAGGCTAAATTAAACTAGACCTGCAGAATATTCACGCATATCATGATTGACGGTCTTCAATGTTTCCTTTTTGACTTTTATAAAGCAGTTTTTATTATACAATATGTAACACATATGGTATCATGTTTATGCATTTTAGCTGTTATTTTAAGTGTCTGACAATTAGCATTTACCGTATTAATCAACCTGTTCATGGTTCTCGCATTGTGCCGTAAGGTTTACCGAAATACAGATGTAAAACCTGTATGAAAAGTCTTATGTACAATTGTGAAAATCACGACGATGAAAAGTTGAAACTACGATGATGAAAAGTTGACACTACGAAATCCACGATAGTAGAACTAAACCACGATAGAGAAAGTAAGATGGAGAAAACACGAAATTATATCTAGATTTCTTCATCGTGGTTTTCTTTATTTCGACTTTAAACCATCGTACCTTCGACCTTTCACCATCCGAATTTCGTCTTTAAGTTGTTTTGAGTTCTGTTTGAAACGCATTGCCCTAACGGTACATGGTAAAAACACTCAAAATTTGGATTTGCAATGATCGAGCGAACTATTTCATTGACACAGACATATCATCTATACAAACTTGCAAGCAATCTTAACATGTATGATACTGCTAACTAGGCCAACATGTCGATATTTTGCTATTTTTAAACCCACTGTATTTACATAGATAGGACGTCGGCGCACATAAGCAGTTATTAACTGATATACTGATTAAAGTGTGAGGTAAACTACTTGAATACAGGTAAGCACTTTGTTATACACATAAAGGTTGTATAAGTTGCCAAATGGGTCAACGGAGTAATGAATTGTTTTGCATTATTTATACTCTTTAGATCATCAAATGAAAGATTATTATGAAAGCTAAAGTCAGTTTCTAATTCTATATTTATTCTTGTATGGTATTTGTTCCCGTTTAAATGTTTTGCTGTCCATGTAAGAGGCTATCTGTGAGAGGGTAAGAAAATGCCCACAAGGGCCATCAGGAATCTGCTCCGGAGATTGCCAGTTGAGTTACCTTGTGTGTTACACTTCTACATATCCTGCTCTATAAGTAAATAGTTTTCTACTAAGGAGTGGGGGAGAGGGCCAGAGGATAGAGGATAAATTATTTCTTGTCTGTTTTAAGTGAGGCATAATTTTACTCGTGTAAAAATGGCGGATTTTTGTGATACATATATTCATTTTGGTAGCTTCATTTTGACAATTAAGTATTATTTTTTTTAAAAGACGAATTTTCTCTCGCTGTGCCCGCTAAATTTACAATAGTTTTCGAAAGAGAAAAATATATTGACGTACTTACTGTGCATCAGAAAATAGGATTGTATATTTCATTAATCTTTAATCATTTTACGGGATGCAAAGGACGCTCATTATAGAGGGGAACCAATACAGTCGTTTGTCGTAGATTTAAAATCGCGCCATTTTTCAAATACACGGTTTCACTTTCCATTCATGCCGTAATTTTAAATGCTGACCCTTTTCCCAAAACATTTTACGTACATGTTTCTCAATAGAACGAGAGGGTTGTAGACTTTACCCAAATAAAGATAATGCAATATATCAAGAATTATGGGAATTTTTTTTGACCGTCTACTCTATTGAGTTATTTCTTTGCCCCACGAAGATAATGAATGTCAGTTGATATGTAGGCACAGTAATACTTAAACGGAAATTTATAATTTAAACAGTATCAATGGCTTTGAGTTAAGGTTTTGCATTGTATTCAAAATATTATGGTATATAGTTCATTGCAACATACATTTTTACATATCAGTTTTCAAGAGCATCGTGTGTTTTGATTAAAAATAACCTCTTAAAGCAGGCTTTAGTGCCTTGTTTAAGTTAAGTAGCTTTAAGCTTCTGATGATCAACGTAAACCTTAACATCTTACCCTGAGATTCTCTCAAGTTAATAGATATTCTCCCTTTGTAAAGATTGAAAGTTTACTAAGTTGCAAAGGTTTCTTTGAATGTTTAATTTAGATAATAATCAATAATGTCTTTACAAGCAAAACATTGTTTTGCTTACTGCTAGTGTATTGACACAATATCATAATATGTGTTGTTAATGTATATTTGTCATTCGTTTTTCTTATATAGTTTTAGGGAGCGTGGACGGTAACTTGCACTTTCCAATACCGTCCATGAACAGGCTAAATCAAACCGAGCCTGCAACATTTGACAGTTTTGCCGTGTTGGGCTTTCTTTTGGGATTTAATTTTTCACATTTCATTGTCACATCCGTGTTATTTGTGCCGTGTGGCGGCTGTAAAAAATCTCCCCGTACATTTAATCAATGATGTTATATTTTCGATCCTTGAAGATCGTTCAGCACGACATTATTGTTGTGTATACATTTTACATGGTATTTTTAGTTACTTGTATTTGGCGTTTTCAATTTTGGTGGTTCCAGTATTCCTACTTGAATACTGTATAATCACCCTTACGATATGTTGCCTGCTTCTTAAATTTGTCTGTTGACGTCTTATCTGTGACATAACTTCATAACCTCAGACCCCCTTTCAAAATTCCATTTTATTTAGTTCCGCCCATTGATTTCTCGTTTAGGGCACACGCATTCTTTTATTTGGGGACCAGACGCCGCTTTACATGGAATGACACTACTGTGTCACATTGAAGGTTCCATGATAACCCCCGTATGAACACATCTGCGGATGTTTTTAAATTCAAAATTTCACCATTTTAGTGTTAAAATGTTGAAATCTGCTAAAGCCGGTGCTAGGTGGTCTGGACGGTAACTTGCACTTTCCAATACCGTCCATGAACAGGCTCAATCAAACCGAGCCTGCAACATTTTACAGTTTTGGTCGTGTTGGGCTTTCTTTAAGGATTGTGTTTTTCACTATTTTTTTAGTAAATGTATGTTCGAGATTGTCTAAAAAGCAAGACAGCCCACCGGAGACTTGGTTGCCAGCCGCTTACCACATAGACCACACGAACAGTCCTTTTCAGATGACGTCATCTAAAAATGGAAAAAATTATCCGCCATTTTTTCACCATCGTATTTTTGCCTCACTTAAAGCACTACGGAAATATTATTACGATATACCCCTCCCATCTTTGTATATCGCAACATATATGTAAAAGGGCTTAATTTTTTTTTAAGCGGGGAAGTACAATAATAAATAAAAGCAAAAATCTATGTTAATTTAGATTCAGTATTTCTTTTTTTTTCTATAGTCTAAATCAAGAAACAGAGATCTGCCATGGCTAGTGGATTACGTTTTAAAGATAAAGTAGCTATTATAACTGGTGGATGTAGTGGTATTGGTAAAGGATGCGTCGAAGTTTTTGGTAAGAATAACCGTTCACTTAAGTTTTTATTCCATTGGCATCGGGTGTTTGACTATACATTTCGACTATAGGATATGCAAATTAATGTCAAAAAAATGTGTTTGATGTTTAATAAAGCACAAGCATATTCAATCAAATTATAACAACAGCAGAAAACCGTTTCCTTATATTTATGTGAATAATTAAACTATATATGTTGAAAGAGTGGCATTAACTGACCGGTTGATATGTAGAGCGTTTGACAGGGAAACAGACGGGCCGGGCTCGATTGCCGGATGGTGCCAAACACGTCCGTGGTGATTGATCATAAAATCCTCGCACAGTACTTATGCTCTGATATATACAGAACTTACGAAAGTGAAAGCACTTAGTACTTGAAAACAGCTTGACTGCAGAATGCCCAGGAACGTTGCGGTGATTGAACTGTACTCTGAATAATTCAAAATGATTTACTGCCGTGATCCGGACCACCATCGACAATTTCTTTCAATGATATTATTTATCAAATGACCGCCCGCTTAGCTCAATAGGGACAGCTTTGGATAATTGGTCCAAGGGTCGCCGGTTTAATCCTCGGGAAAATTGGAAATCATGCTGGTTTAATAGTCGGTCACTTGCGAAGAAATGAGTATTTTCTGGTTTGTTATCCATCTCACATGATTTCTGAACCAGCGTATAAACTTATTATAGTAATCATTTTAGCTGGTCCTCTACAATTGTAAAGTCATATCAATTCATAATAATGAGTTCAATACTGTTTCTAAATTAACCAAGGCGTTTAAAAAAAACTAAAAAAAAAACAACATTTGAATTGCTATGGGTTTAATTTGTAGGCAAGTGATCCTTTGCTATTATTATTATGGTATAAATTAGATTTGTTGGATATATTAATGCAATAGCCTTATGATTAGAAATAACAAGCTACCTATTATTTCCGACTTTTTTAAAAACAAAGAAGTGATTCATTTTTTCTTTCAGTCGAAAACGGAGGAACAGTGGTCGTGTTTGATATAAACGGTAATTTTTTAATGTGAATTCTCATACATAAATATTTGATCAACCAAGCTGTAAACGCATATATCTTCCTCGTCGTTATCAAAGGACACGAGGAAGATTCGATCTTATATATAAGATATGTCAATCCTTTTGCGATTCCGTTAAAACTATATGTCATTGGTTGGCATATATTTTGATGTGACGGTACAGGTTGTATAATATCAGAACACTGTATCTCGGACTGCATAGCATATATAGTGACCGAGCAGTCAGTCTACAAACATTTTACGGACAAAAGCCGAAGGCCGTGCTTTGTTTAATATTTAGGGCTGACTGGGAGGCCCTCAGATCTGTGAACTATTTACGGTACATACGGGTCAATCAAAATATGCATTTTGACTGAAACTGATGTTATTTCTGGTTTGTGAAAGATAGAATTTTCAACTTGTAAAGCTTTATTTCTAAATTTATTTTGCTTGCTGCATAAAAAGTTCGAAACTCGCAAGAAACGCATATTTGTTTTTGTAATTCGTTTCTGGTATGAATTAAGTTTTTGAACCTATCCTCACAGAATGTCCTCGTATTTTATTTTAATAAAAAAATGTAAATTTCTATACACAAATACAAAAATATCTTATTTCTATTTGGCTGTTTCTGGTAAAAAGAATTAAACTTACTGCATAAACTGTTTTTGTTGTACATTGAAATGTTTAAAGTTGTCAAGAGAAATATCATTTCAGATAAAGTTGGAAATACACTTAGTTTACCAGGACCTGGAAATGTTTCATATATACACTGTGATGTGACTAACGAAGAAGAAATAAAGGTAAGTTTATGAAAACTATATCATTAACAAGTCTTCTGAATATAGTCATACTATTAACAGAATTTACAGATTATTGTAAATTAAAAGGAACTCCATTGAGTTTTTTTTTGACATCAAGAGACTGGATTTATATTTCAAGATTAATGTTTCATTTGAGTAGGTCAAGACCAATAACTTGTAATCTTCACTCACTCCGTTTTTTCCAGAATGATTATTCTAATCCAAAAATGAAAAGCATTACAACGCTTTTCACTGAATTCGGGCTAAAATATAATTTTCAAATTATTCAGAGTATAATTTTTAAATGTTTTAAACATTTTACTGTTTTAAGTGCCGCAGTTGATCTATGTAAGAATTCAAATTTTCGTTTTAAGGCTTTTGGACCTCAGTGAAGTTTCTTTATAATTGACTGGTGCATGTCATGGTTTCTTAAGACGGTTTCAATTTATATGCCATTATATCTTTTAAAGGAAATGTCCTGTAAACAACATATTTTAAAATATGTCATGAATGTTGAAAAGGTTTTTGTAAAGTGGTAAATAAATTATTATGTATTTTTCAGAGATGCATTAAAATGACAAATGATGGACTAATTTGTACATGTGTTCATGTCAGAAATGGCTTAAAATAACTGTCCAATTATATATAGTATAGTGTACTTGTGTTTTTACAGAACAGTATTAAATTGACGGTTGAGAAGCACAGTAAAATTGATTGCCTTATTAACGACGTTGGAATGCGTATGTTAAATATTTTCTATAGTACTCTTTTAATAAGTTCATTTCCTTTAACTGCATGTATTAAGTTTCCAACGAAATTGGTAAAAAAGAAAAATACCAGGCATTCCATAGAAATAGCTTTTTGATTTTGTAAATCGGAAATTAAATAACTTGTTATACAGGACTCATAATAGACTGATATATTTCGGAGTACATGGACACATTTGATATAATTATGGATACTTGAGAAAAATGAATCAATGAATTTTGCATTTAAATTTTAACTGGTAAAGAAATTAAAAGAAATATTATATACATGTAACTATTTACAATATTGAATGCACACTCATGATGACATTTAGTGCTTGAACAATTTGGTAATACTGTATATCAAATTCCCTAAAAAATTATAAAAATCCACAAACAAACAAGTTATCTTAATTAACCACAAGAACAACAAAAAATCAAAACATCAAAAATATATATTATATATAGAAGATATTGAATGAGTGTTAGCCTTACTAAATTTATTGCACGAGTTGAATAAAATTATAGTATGCGAGCCTCTGGCGAGCATGATATTATTTAATTTAACGAGTGCAATAAATTCAGTTATGAACTTACACGAATTTAATATTCTATTTATCATATACCCAAAATAAAGACCGTTTAAAATGAAATGAGTCATTTTTCATTGACGCGCCTATTGTATAACGCTAAGATTTAGCGCTCTTTACACTATTTGTATAACGCTACTGACGTCACGTCAAAATATATGCACATCCGTGCAATACCATATTTACGGAGTCGTAAAATTGGCACGGGGTTGTGATAAAACTATTTCTTTCAGGTCATTCAAAGACTTTGTTGATATAAGGTTTTTATATGGGTAGCAATCTGACATATTTATTGTATTGGTTGAACAGCAATATTTGTTGTTATTTTGGCGGTAGAGATCTAAAATCAGTTTTACTTCCTGTAAAATTTACAGGGAAGAACTAACTTTAAGAAGAATTTTCATTGGCAATTTTAAGATTACTACCTGAAGTCTGACAGTCGCATTGACCATTCTAAAATAAAGTAGAAAGGAAAGTTCTTGCCATTCTAAAAATATGTAAAGGAAAGTTCTAAAATAAAAATGTAAGGATAGTTCTTGTTTTAGATCATGGCAGTCATCTGATTGACAACCTAACTGTTGACAGTTTCCGACAAATCCTTAATATTAACGTCGTAAGCATGTTTGCAATGAGTAAGGTAAGTAATGAAATGTTTACAAATACCTTACAATTATACTCATCGAGCTTACATTTTAAAATATATTTTGCTTTGTAAAAAAGTCGTGAAAATATTATATAGAAATGTCTCTGCTGCTTGTAGTTTAAAAATATTTTGTGAATTTTAAAAAAGGAATACCTCTGAAATATCTGTATAAAAGAAAAATGTTTGTATATTTTATGTTAAGGTAAAGGCGCACAATATTCATACATGTTAAATTACTGAACCATTCTATGTTGCAACTGTTTCCTGCTTCGACCATTACAATGAGTAAAGCTGTATATCTGCTGTCTCTAGTTATTTCTTTTTAAAAGAAACACTTCATAAAAACCTTTATGAAAGAAACGATAAAAATATCTTTAAAAAGTAACGTTATATTTTCTTCCGGAACATTTCATTATTCATATTTGTTAAGAAAAAAGAGACATTCTATCCTTTACAATTCTTCTTAGAACCGACCATGATTATTTCCTGACATAATCCCAATCGCTACATTATGCGTACTTTGTATTATTGCTCGATCTGAACATATTTTCGTGTTTAGCTTCACTATAACTTTTTTATTGTTCAATGTCTATGACATGTCATTGGATATCGTCTTTAAGTATGCTCTACCTCATCTTCGGAAGACTAAAGGCAGTATAGTTAACATGTCGAGTTTTAGTGGGACAAATGCACAGGCAGAAACACCAACTTATTGTTCATCAAAGGTATCCATCGACTTTATATCGATAATTAGTTTTGTATCAATTTTTATTTATTCCTGCAATTAAATGGAAACTTCAAAGCTTTAATGGACAGGGATTTTACCCCATGTGCTTTTTCGTTCGCATTTTCAAATGGCACGAAATGGATTTATTAATAGAGACACTAGTAATTCTAAATATCTTAAAACTGTGCCTTGCGTAAAGTTCATACTTGTTTAGACAGATAAATATAATAATGTAATTGAAGACATTTAATAATCCTATTGTTGCCTTTTTGCAAGTTTAATAAAATAAGGGTCTTTCAAATAGAAAGAACATAATAAATTTATATACATGAAATCTAAAAGTACTTTGTTCAAGGTGAATTAAAGACACATCCTCATAAACGCATTACCATTTCATGTTGCTTTCTTCTCTTTTAAGGGTGCTATTATCTCGTTGTCAAAAGCGTTGGCTATAGACGAAGCCAAGAATGGTGTCAGAGTCAATGCGTAAGTACACATTTTATTTGTGGTGGTGTTGGCAGTTTTCACTTCGGATCACAGCAGTAAGCCACGATGAATTAACCAGAGCACAGTTTTGCCACTTCATCATTTCTTGGTAGGCTGTCGAGCAATTTACCAGTACTAGTTGCCTACACTCTCGCAATGAACTGAAACTTTTGTACACGCAAAAGCGGAGCTGCAGTGCGAATGACTGTAGAAAGGATTTCATGATCAATCACAACGACCTGTGTCGTCCGCGAATCGAACCCGGGTCGCCCGATTCATAGTCTAACGCTCTAATTATCGAGCTTACCAGACGGCTAATATATGTATGTTATTGATCAATATATATTTTTTTATAAATCTTTGAGCATAACAGGACAATCCAAACAGAATTTTGGCATGCCATCATGTAAAGTGAAGTCAGACGATGCCTGATCTAGATACATACATGTATGTCATTGGACAGGCTCGTAAACTTATGTTAAAGGAAATAGAAATAAAGTGGATGTGTTGGCAGCTTTACAGAGAATATAAGGTCGGAGAAACAAAAAATAGAAAATTTAATGATAATGATGATGATAGTGGTTGTGATGATGATACTGATGGTGATGATGATGATGGTTGTGCTGCTGATGATGGTGTTGTTGATGTTGATAATGTTGGAGACGAAGGTGGTGTTGATGATGATGATGAGGAGGATGGTAGTGGTGATGATTGTGATTATGATGGTAATGTTGATGGTAATTATGATGATGCTGTAGATGCTGCTGTTGGTATTGTTGATGTTAATATTAATGGTGGAATGATGATGATGATAACGATGAACAAAATTATTTTCAATTTGTAAAGGGTATGTCCAGGACCAATAAATACACCACTTCTTCAAAGTTGGTTAGAACAAGAAGGAGAAAAGGGGAAATTAGTGAAAAATTGGTCGGTACGTAACAAATAAATTACAAAAGACTCAGTAGCGGAGTGATTAAGGTCTCGTCAGGACCTTTCATTTGTGAAAGCTATCCGGTTGATTTGCGGAAGGTCGGTGGTTCACCAAAGTACTCACTGAGTGTCTGAAATAATGCATTCAAAAAGTTGCTTATGAGGTCTTCCTGCACCAGTAGGTCACCGTGTGACTATAACTGTGTCAAACAAAGTTCTAAGCCACTTTATATTTTGTTACCTTTTGTTTTCTTTTTCTTTAATCAAAATAATGCAGTTTCATACTCAGCAGCTTATTGGTTGCTACGCACTATTTTAATTGAACAATTGCCACATTGGCAACGTGCTATCGCGTCAGATTAGAAAAATTAAGGTGGTCCACGACGATGCTATCAAAATAGGTTGTTTTCACTTAAAAAAACTGATCTTAGTTCAAATGCTTTATAAACTTTTACAAGTAAAGTTTGAACATTAGGGTAAGCCTAGAAAATTGAAACTGTCTGAATTTCAGTGGTTAAAGATAAGTATGTTGTTTTTTTATAACATAACTTTTTTAGTTTGCTAAAAGTTATATTGTAATCGAATTATGAATATGAATTCTAATAGGTTATTTTCATTTTATTTTTATTTAGCAACTTGGACGATTTGGAGAGCCACGTGAAATAGGTTTGGCATGTCTATTTTTAGCAGCAGACGCCACTTTCACAACTGGTGCAGAACTTATGTGCACTGGTGGTTGTGAAATCGGATATGGTGTAAAATAGAACTTTTTTCTTGAAATAATAAATGAGTTTACCTTTTCAAGAAATAATTTTGTCACTCTGCCAATGCCTAATTGTATACGATCGTGTAAAATAATACTAAGGAATGTGAACATTTCTGATTCGGTTTAATTAAGGACACTTCATATTCGCCATAACTGTCGGCGGTGGAGCAAAAGCGATGGATAAAAATGGCGTCGAGCTCTTCTTTCGCAGACGCACTAAAAGCACTTTGAACAAAAGGTTCGTCATAAAAAGATGATGCACACAGCGCAAAAAGAACAGGATGTTTCTTTCAAAGTCAAGCTCAAACCTAAAGGTCGGCCAAAGATTAAAAAAATTACTTCGCCTTCCCTCTGACTGTTTTGCCAAATCTATTCTGAGTACAAATTATGCCTATTTTCTGTTTAGAGTGCCCCATTTGATTTATGAAAACATTTTATTTCATTTTTCATAATTGATTTTAGTGTACCTCATTGGAGCACCTTTTAACATACTATTAAGAGAAAAAACAAACAAAACGAAAGGAACACGTTGGATAGTTTAGTTTTAATAAAAATAAACAACAAAAAACAAAAACATGTACATACGATTCCTCTCAATGCGTCACATGGTAAAATTTCAATAAAATGCTTTCTTTTAATGCGTTAAAGACATCAAACATGCATCAAAATTCACTGAAAGTGCCGGAGAAGACATACTCAAATATTCTAGTTCTGGATGATAAAAGAAATTAGAAATATGGAAAAATATAAGAAATATGTAATTAATATCAGGAAATAAAAATTGAGTTGGCCACATTATATTAATCGCATAAATATATGTTTATTAGACATTGACTGAAATTTCTTCATTGAGTAAAAAAATAATACACAACATGAAAGTTGATATGGATTGTTTCTTTAAACAGAAAATGAAATATGTGGTGTGTGAGAAGACTAATACCAACTATGTCAGGTTAAACGAAAATTCCTAAAAGTCATAAAATCTTTACAACAATAATCAAATATAATCATTTTAGACACAACAGATTCTAAAGGCATAATTCCTGAAATACAGGTGCTAGATTTATGACCCTTATTAGGTGACATTTTGACAACAATAAGTATGATTTAGTGTTTAAATTACTTAAATACACACGCATATTTATAACAAATTTGTATGTAACATTTTCTTCAAATGGATAGATAACTCTTGAAATTATAAATGTATATGTAAGATTTGTGTAAAAAGTAACAATTTACTAGTGAATACTATCTTCAAAGGGTAGATAACTCTTGAAATCATAAAAATACATGTAAGATTTGTGTAAAAAAGTAACAATTTTCTAGTGAATACTAACTTCAAAGGGTAAGGATAGATAACTCTTCAAATCATAAAAGTACATGTAAAATTGTAACACTTTTCTATGAAATACTACCTTCAAGGTGTAAATAACTCTTTAAATTATTAAAGTACCCAATGCATGTATATTTGTGTAAATGAATAACAATTTGTATAAAATACTATATTTAAGGGGTAGATAACTCTTGAAATTATATTTTTTTTAAGGAAATGCTTACTTCAAGGATTAGATAACTCTTAAAGGTATAATAGAATACATGTAAAACGTGTAAATTAATAACCATTTGTATGAAATATTATCTTCAAGGGTTAGATTACTTTTGAAATTATAACAGTACACTTGCATGTTTGTGTAAAATAATAACAATTTTGTGTGAAATACAACCGTCAAGGGGTAGATAACTCAAGAAAATCATAAAGTACTGTTATGTATGCAACATATTACATGTATATAGTTTATGTCTGACCAGTTGGTATTTCCAATATAATCATTGTTCTTTTTTTAGAACATAAACTACATGTTTGTACTAGAACTTTCTTAACTGTTGTAGAAAACTCATGCATTATAATTAGATAGAAATCTCCGGAATGATCTTTATTGTTGAAGTTGCTAGATTATGATTACTGTAGAAAATGGAAGACTATTCTAGAAACTTCTTAGCTTAATATATATAGGAGACATTTTTCTTTCGTATTACCTTTTAAGTCATCAGTGATCTTTTAAGTCATCAGTTACTTTTTAAGTCATCAATATATTTGGAGTATTATTCAACTTGGATATAAAGTGATATATTAGAGCTTGGATTATTTTAAAATAGTTAAAATTATTCTTGTGGATTATATTGTGGGAATTTATTCTAAAGTGTTCTTGGATTTAACTTGGATTTAACTGTGCTATTCAAAATGGATCATTCCAGGATCAGACTAGACATTTGTAATTTACATTTTTATTTGGACTTCAGGTATTTGTAAAGATAATTTGTTATTTAATTTTTCTTTAATAATTTTTCTGTAATAAATTTGTTATTGTTACAAGTTTGTTGCTGGCTTTTCTTTCTCGTTACGCCTGGCTCGTAACAGTACACATGTATATTTGTGTAAAATAATAACAATTTTGTATGATATACTATCATCAAGGGGAAGATAAGTCTTAAAATTATAAAAGTACACACATATAAAATGTGCAAAATAGTAATATTTTTCAATGGATAATTCTAGTATTTGATGTTTGTGATGGTAAGAGGCACACTTTTATGTTTGAAGTACATTCGTTACGTAAGAAAGACAATATAGTTAGATATCGTTTCATGCAAAATAATCTTTAACGAACGACGACACTGAATTGAATGTGATCTAAAAAAACTTCGTATAGTCAAGCTAACTATCAGTGAACAATATATAGACACATACAAATTGTAAAAAAATTTTGTAGATAACATGCATGTTTTTTACAAATAATAAATGCGCAGCCTTTAAATAGTCAAATATTAAGCTTGGTTCACAAAAATCCAATATGTTATAATATAGCATTAGAAGTAAAATATACATTGTACACATTTAGTAACAGGGGCACTATTTTTCTGCTTGTAGTATAACTTACTTTACTAGTATGTTAGTACATGTAATATTGTTAAGATACCAACAAAAATATAAAAATATATAAATACATATTTAAAACATATGATAATTAGCATTTGTAAACGAACAATTTATGAAAAAGTGATGACATTTAATTTATATACTGCTTTTATGATAAAATGTGTACATGTATGTACTAGTAAGAAATCAGTATCACGTTTGTCCAGAATATGTAAAATAACAAAATAAAATTTAACATTAACAACATAAATTTAAATATCACAGAGTTATCAAAATATCACTGAATGTCTTCTATGCATTCAAAATTGATATAGAAGTTGACTTCTAGTACTTCCGGTACGATCATGTAGGTGCTCGAATAAACAGTGAGTACTTTGCTAAACGTTTATCGGATACAGATGTTATTCCCATGCATTTTTCGGATTTTTCTTGTATACTGGTGGTGGTGATAACGGTGGTTTATCTAAATTGGTCTCTAAAATAATATAAGCACCACTCGCATCTGTATACGCCACCGGATTAGCACTCGCATCTTTGTAAATGGGACTGTTGATAAACAAAAATTAAATAAATGATAGAGTAAATTGGTCTACAAAAGGAACATTTTCCATAGAAAAATGTTAAAACAAACAATATAAAGGCGTCATTAGGATATTCTCATCAAGTATTTCTTGAAAACATATGTTGATTGAAATTTAGAGGTTAAGAATGGATATTTATATGAATTGTACTATTTGCTATATAAAGGCATGTCATATCATGGTATATATTTATCGCATACGTAACAAAATCATCCATTCAAATTTTTTGATGGTTTGTTATTACCTTCCATAATGAAAGTGTTTTTTTTTAATAAAAAAAGCTAAATAAAATAAGTTCATGGTCAAATATGCTGAAATTTGGAATGAAAATTTTGAATTACTGTACCTAACAGTAATTCTTAGAAATTTTTTTATAAACAAATGAACACATAATAATTATGTTCATTAACAATGTCATGATCTCATTTCATATCTTAGGTCAATCATGATTAATAACGTGTATGTTAAATGATAGCAAGTTAGTACTGTATTAAAGCAGAACAGAAACGCTAATTTGATACCCGTGAGAAAATCATATTACATGTTTATTTGAAATATATAATACTTTATATTTGAATAACAACACTTGATGAGGAAATTAATCATTGAAATGAGTATACTACCGAGGTATGTTAAAGCAATGTTCGACGTTATTATCAGATCTGTTTTATCTTTTTTTTTTAAAAAAGGGGTTATTTTGATAGTGACATATATCCATCCAAATATATGTAGTGAGTAAAGAGGTGAAAGTAAAATACTAATCTCTACAAATTTCCATGGAAATTTACATGCAGTAAAAAAGTAGTCTTTTTGTATTTTAGGCAGATGCATATTTAAATAATAATTTTATCCTAAATATTTTCAAATATCAACTGTTGGGTAATCACCATTATAACAGTCAATCTTTTGAAATATATATGTATATTGTTTATTAAGCTCAACTTGACAATGAAAAAATGAGCATGGTGTCACTTTAATTCTACAGTTAACGTTGTCCAGTGGAGTATTTATGTATGAAGCAACTTCATTTCGAAGACACTTCAGTATGATTTAGGGCTATTACATAGTAATTACATAATTCCGATTAATTGCATACAGCCGGTCAGTCAATAGAATAAATAAGAGTCAAACCAGCTGTTTCCACGGACAATAATAGTTGTAATACATTGGCTTTTTATGATGAATTAAGCAGCACTTGCTCAGGTGATGATTTTGAAACTTAAATAAAGCGCGTTGAAACTGTGCTCACCTATTGATGGACACAGACATACTGGTTTACTAAGGCATGCTAAAATGTCTTACTTTTAGAAGCTTTACAATTTCAACTTATTGAATTTAGAAGATAAAAAAAGGTTCAGAAAAAGTACCTGGAGTAGCCCAATCAAGTCGACCAACAGTAAAATAATATCAGTTTAAATAATTCTGATTGAATACAGTAAACATTAATACACTTTTGAGTTTGAAATTTAATTGTAGACATTATTTTTAGAAGAAACAGACTTGAAAGGTTGTATGTGCAAGAATTAAGCTGTATATCATATAAACAAAGTCGCTTTGTGATTAAACTGGCAAGTACGAGAATAATAATTATACATGTATATTTTTGTTTATAAACTTATGACATAGTTTATAAAACACTGATTACATAGTTTTTCGGGAGGTGAATAAGAATTTGTTGAAACCTAAAATAATACGATACAAGTTACCTTGGCTATATTTCACTAGACGGGTTTTCACTGAAAACAAATCAAAACATTGACGTCATGACAGCATATAGATACTGTAAATCACTTTATATTACGTTCGCATTTCAAAGTGAATTAAATTTTTAAAGGTCTAATGGTATACAAGTCTAGCTTTCATTTCGAGCCCCGGGATTAACTCAAGTCAGGAGTGGACAAGGTGGCGCGATAGCTCAGTTGGTTAGACCACATGCTGTGTACTGTTAAGAAATCAAGGTAACCCTCGCATGTATCAGTGCTATACACTGGGCATGTAAAAGAACCAAGGGGTCAATTCAATAAGAGTAAGGGACTGGTTCCGGGATTCCCTTGTACCTCATATCTTTCTCTGAAGTGACTAGTCTAAAGTCATGTCTACGTCCCCACGAGGGGTTTGACATTAATGGGAGATAAAGGATATTTTATGCATCGTCAGAGCTCACAAGTACTGATTTAGCTGAACTACATCCTTGGTAACCCATACATATTCGTTACCTATGCACTTGATAGTTCAGCGAAATCACTCAAATTAATACCTGTGAGTTCCGACGATGAAGTGTATAAGTAACGAGAACGCATGTTTACCGAAGATTATTTAATGGTGACGAGTTCGTAACACATATTAATTTAATAAAATATTTATTATCTTACAAGTAGAAAGAAATCTAATAGGTGATTAGAGTATATATTATATATGCCCGTATCATTTTACATTTAATTTATTTTATAATAAGAAAAAATAAATAATATTGATGTTGATGTTTGCCATTCTATCTGAATCATTAATACTTGTACATGTATAAATCAGGGCTCACACTTTCGATCGCCATGCTCGCCATTTGAAATTATTTTCAAATAAATCCATAAAAGTGACTTATATTGTGCAATAATCTACAAATTTTGTTGTTGGTCTCCTTTTACCTCTCTGTGAATAATTGATAACATTGCTAGCAGAAAACAATATTACAATAGTCAAAAAACTTTTAGTGTATTTCTCCTATATGTGAGCCTGTCATTTGCTACGACTATGGAAATGAATACTGGGTTAATTACTTACATGTTATTATAACTAAAGTCCATGAAACTATAAAATGAAGCTATTTTGAAAATAAACAATTTATATCGTAACTTACTTATTGCAAGCACCATGATAGTCATCCATAGGTTGACGACTCGTCTCAACCGGAGCACTCAGTCCTGCGTTTAAAGTTCTGAAATGACATGATTAGTAAGGGAGAAAACAAAATTATAACGATAAAATTACGGTTGAACCAAAATGTACTCGATAAATTAACGAACGAAGTAACACCACATTATTTGATAAAACCTTTTTCACTGTTTAAATATTTTGGCACAAGTAAACGTTCTTATACAGAATACACATGTTTTGCATCAAATGATTCCCGACGAGCTTATATTGAAAGTCCAAACATACATGTAAGAACACTTACGTCGAATCGAACCTCTTATTAAAATTTGTTATCAACTGATTTGAGGCATATACAGGTTTTTTTTTTTTTTTTTTTTTTTTTTTTTTTTTTTACTCTCATATTCTTTAAAACGAAACAATTATTTGCTATGGAAAAAAATGCATCAAAAGTTGACGATGACATATTTATGACATGCCAAACAAGCATGTTTTCATTTGTTTGTTTTTTTTTAGGCAGGGAGGAAGTTCTATTGGGTCGAAAAGTTGTAAAGTCGAAAACACAACGAATCTTCACATTTTCATGTTTTCCTACTTTACACTCTCCGCCCTGCAAGTACAAAAACGAAAACTAAGTAGTCACACTTTTCCTTCTTTCTGTCTATTTTCAAGATGAGGAATGGCGAAAACACAACAAACGGTGCCTTTTGTGTGTCTTACTTTTTCCCCCGAACTTTCTCTTCGGAAAAACGCCCATATGGCATGAAAATACAGAAGTGATTCACACCGGGAAAACAATATACCCAACAATATAATTGATTTTCAATTTTCCCATCTTATAAAAACATCATGTTACTAAGCCTAAAATAGTTATAATTATGAAAATTTCATAAATGCGTTGAAAATAGAGGATAAACATTGTCACATTTTTATGCCTTTCTTCATTGAAGACAAATCTATTTATCAACTTAATATGCTTTTCTTTGGTTTGGCTTGCTATGTTTTATAAATTATCTCTGTTACCACTTCAAAGGGTTGATAAAGTTGAATTATGTTCATCTATTGTTTGACTGATGAAACCATGTTTTATGTGTTACTGTTATTGATCCAAATAACTGATTCAAACGTATAACTTGTCAATATTTTTCAAACATTATTTTTTGTTATCATGTGAAACTGATAATAAAGTTTATTATAATGTAAATAAATCAATAAATGAGAGGTAAGTGGCTGGGTAGTTCAATGGATAGGTGTGTCGGTATATGAATAAATAGATAAATAAATAAATAAATAAACAATAACAAAAACAACAAACACATATCAAGATCATGACCATACATATAAATATAAATACATACCTCATTTCAACACTATCATTTGAAATTCCGTTACCATTGTTGCTAGATGTGCTGCACTGGGTGCTATCACCATCGGGTTCTTCTCCACTGAAAAAGTATGTAAAACATTATTTGCAGAGATAGAACTAAAAGGCATGATGTTTTTTCAGCAGACCCATCAATATAAATCACAGACATCTTATTGTACTTGAGAGAACACTATAAATCAAAGGCCAAATTTGTAGCTAAGGCAATTTTATGAATGATAGACAAAAATATTATACCAGATATGACGGGTTTAATAAAAAGTAACATTACTGTACCAGCAAGATATTGTATCAGAGGAAACACTATAAATCAAAGACAACGTGGTGTAGCAGACACAGAGACGACATAATAAATTAAAGGTAGCATTTTGTACCAGAGACGATATTTAATCAAAGACAACTTGTTAAGTCAGAGGCAACACTATAATTATTGTAGAATAAACAACAAGACTTACAAGATAAAAACGTCATATTGTACCAGAGACAAACCATAAATTAAAGGCAACAAATTATAACAGAGGCAACACTATAAATGAAAGAAATCATATTGTACCAGACACAACACTACATACTAAAGGCATACTATTGTGAAAGAGACAAGACTATAAATTGAAGGAAACATATAGAAGAGACAAGACTATTAATCAATGGCACTATGGACCTTTCCAGAATTTCGTAGCGGAACATTAAGCCACGACTTTTCCATTCATTGCTAGGTACAGTATCACAAACAAAACCATGTGTTCTTTTGTGCAAACCAGGTCAACCAGTGACTATGTATTATAGTGTAGCAATTGGAGAACAAGTTTAATTAAATCTGTAAACACTGGACAGGTCCATTGTGAAAGAGACAACACTATAAATTGAAAGAAACATATAGTAGAAGAGACAAGACTATAAATCAATGGAAACATATTTTAACAGATAAACAATATAAATGAAGGGTAAGATACTGTGGAAGAGAGAACACTATAAATACAAACATATAACAAAGACAACACTATTAAACAAAGGCAACATATTGTGGAAGAGACAGTATCATAAATGAAATGCAGCACAATGTAGCAGAGACAGCACTAAAAATAAAAGGCAACATATTATACCAGTGATTAAAAGCAACGCATTGTAAAAAAGAAAACATAAATCAAAAGCAACATATTGGATCAGAAAAACACTCTGAATAAAAAACAACATGTTGTACCAGAGACATCGCCATTATGTATAAAGAAAAGTCACCACATTGAATTATCAATATTGAAGGCAGTATATAGTGGAAGAGACAAAACTTTCAATAAAGAAGGCAAAACATTAAATTAAAGGCAACATATTAAAAAAACACTATATGTTAAAGGATTAATATTGTGAAAGAGACAACACTATAATTGAAGGACCATATAGAAGAGACATAACTATAAATCAAAGGCATCAAATAAAATAGAATGATTTACAAATTAACATATTAGATTTTGGTATGTGCCATGTCATTTGTTGAACATTGTCATTGAAACCAGGCAATCACGTGATTTGTCTATTTTACAATTGGTAAAACACTTTTAATAATTAATTGAAATTTACATGGAACATAATGGAACATTTTGTCTAAACATCTGACATGAAAGGGACTCCACTGGGGTTTAAAAGTCTAAAAACATAACATTTGAATTTGGGGCACTTTAAACAGTAATATATGCAAAGATATTTAAGAAATATACTTTGAAATCAATTGAAAATCGTATTTTTATGCTTTTCTTAGTTTTGGTCAATATTTTATAATTTAAATAATTATTCTGGAAAAACGGTGTGCGCGAATGATCTGAAATTTTGCACAAAGATTAGTTGTCTAAACCTATATCAAATGGTACAATTATCTGGAAAAAAATTTTCAGCCCCCAACATGTCAAAAAGACCTCCAAGTGGAAGTCCCCTTTAAAGGCAATTTTCAGCTCCAAAATATACATTGGTATAATTTTCTTAAACAATTTTTATATTTTGGGTATAACGTTACAATTCTCTAAAACATTTATGAATGATTATATATTGAACCATCTCTTTGTTCCTTTTCCCCATTTAGGAAAATTTAATACAAAAATAATAATTGAGTATTTTACAAACCAGAACACTTTGTTTAGACGTTTTTTTGTCTTCTTTTAACGAAAAGAACATTTATGTCACCATTTCCAACAAAAATCTTCATTAAATAATAAAGTCGTCAAAATAGATCCAAATGGAACATTTTCCAAATACAGGCCCTTCCTAATAAATGAAGAAAAAATTTTTTTATTTATGAGGATAATTTTGGTGCGATTAATGACATAGACTTTAAGGTCTAGAAAATTCTAAAAATATACACTACCTTTTCTTTAACCAGTAAACAGTTGCTACAACTGCCAGAATTATAAAGAACATTCCAACCACAATAATGATAATGTACAGAATCCAATTTATTGTGGTGTCTTCATCAGGTTTCTCAACTGTAAACACAATTATCCGACATTATATATTCTTACTAAAATACTTGACAATACTTAATCTACTTGTTTTCATAGTTGCAAAAATGAACTATAAAACATTGCATGTCTAACCGATCTGACATACCTACGTGGTTCATGAACATTATTATAGGTTTATGATGTACATCATAAAATATCCGCTATGTACATAAAAAATGTTCATGATATACATCATAAAGGATCCATGGTGTACATCATAAAAGATCCATGGTGTATATTATAAAATACCCATGAGGATCCGTGGTGTACATCAAAATGTTTATGATATACATCATAATTTTTTTTGGTGTACGTACAAAAAAAGGTTCATGATATACGTTATAAAGGATCCATGGTGTACATTATAAAATACCCATGGCGTACTGGCGTACATTATAAAGGATCCATGGTGTACATTATAAAATACCCATGGCGTACATTATAAAGGATCCGTGGTGTACATTATAAAATACCCATGGCGTACATTATAAAGGATCCGTGGTGTACATCAAAATGTTTATGCTATACCTCATAAATTTTTTTTGATGTACAACATAAAAGATCCATGGTGTAAACAAAAATGATCATGATGTTCATCATAATACACGTAACCACATCAAATATTTTCATTTGAAACGGCTGGATTTGTTAGAATATATGAAAATTGAAATAGCAGTTACTGCATCTTGAGCATCTGTCCGATAATGCATAGTCTTAATAGTTTTTACATGATCGTGTCATTCAATAATCTATAAAAATAATTATTATAGATATGCCGGACTTGAAACCACAGACGCGCAGCTTAGTCTTGACTGATAGGCCGACATCTAGGGGTGGATGATGGCACACACACCCATCACCTTTTTTATTTTTGGATATGTTAAATGCAATAAACATGTTTAGGTGATTATAAGAAATTAATATAGACATACATTTATTTTTACTTTATTAGAAAAAAGTGTTGACCGCGGCTTTCGCGGCTTTGTAGGAAACTAGGCTACTGTCTTCTAGGACAAGTGGCAGCTGTATTATCATCTTTATTTTTGTCATTGTCGATATAATGATTATATTATTATCCAATCTTGATTGTTACATAGCATTAAATCGGATAAAAATCATTGAGCCCCCCTGCCCCTTTTCAACCATTAGTTTACTTTATAAAACCATATACTGTACATACAAGCTATAAGAAAGACCGTCAGTTTTGGCAATTTCATCATTGAACTTACCATTGCAAAGAATGCTGTCTCTAGACATAAGTCCGGCAGTGGTCCAGCCATCAGGACATTTCTTGCACGAGGGCTGTGCTTCCTCGTCCTGGTAGTAGCCTCGAGGGCAGCTCTCACAGTAGTCGTTAGTGGCATATGTTCCCTTACCACACGATACTAGAGGTAAAACATTAATGTTTCAGTTAAAAAACACTTTTTTTTCTGTAGAAATGAAAAGTTCTTTACCATTTGGTTGTACTGGGTAACCTATACAGAGCAACTTTCTGAAGCAAGTACTCTGAGGAATAACCACAATGTTTGTGTCAAAAGCAAATGGCATTGCTTCATAGAGGTAGTTTCTCTACTGTAATTGAATCCCACAAAATTATTGTGTAAAAGATAATATTTATTATGTTGTTTTCGTCATTTGTTCATGTCTGATTTAATCACTATGCCTAAGTCTAAATGGAAAATATGTTCTATTCTCGTCTGGAATAGGACCCCAAGAATTAAATTTGTGTAAAAATGCATTTAACCCTGATCATTTATAAAATGAAATTATATTTTCAATGTATTCATTTCTTAATGTGAATACCTAAGTTAGCACTTAATTTTAAGGTAGACCAAGGCCTAAAATAAAATAGTTTGTTTCCAACCCCCCCCCCCTTGACACCTACCCATAAAAAATCACTGCTACCTTTTTATTGCCAAACAATACAATTCTTTTATTCAATTATTATGCAAGTAAAGTCAATCTGTCAATATTATCCACATCTTTATATTTGTCTCGTGTTTTTTTTCATTTTAAATATTGCAGACTTATATTGAATACAACTTTGAAACTTTGGTTCTAAACATTAAATAAATAAATGCTATAAAGCATTCATCTTCTTAAAAGAAAAAAAATATTTTATTCAGATATAGATCTAAATACAATTTGGTTCAATACAAAATAGTAGTTCGGACAATTCACATACCTACATACCCTACTAAAACTGGCAGACATGCGTCGCGGATAATTTTTAATTTGGCTTTATTGTCAGATCGTTCTATTTAAAAATGTTCTTACCACAATACTGCCAGACAGAGGCATATCCCGTCTCGCACTCCGCAAAACCGTCCAGGTACGTACTGTTTACACCAACGTCGTAGTCAACGCCACCATATTGTATAGTGAACGCTAGATTTTCTACTAATGTGTTGAAAATAGACACTATCTCAGCCAGTAAGTCATAGCAATTATCTTTGTCTGAGAGAAAACAAAATTATTCCGTAATTATCACGTCATTATATACAAAAGTGTCCTGGTGCCAATTAAACATGTTGTATAAAAGAGATAATCCCTACGTAGGAGATGTATAAAAGAGATAACTCCTACGTAGGAGATAAAGAAGCTTAATTTGGAGTTTAAAACTCCTACGTCCTGTATAGGTGATTAGGCCTTTTTATCTCGTATAGGAGTTATCATATTTTATTCAACATGTTAAATGGCACAAGGACGCTTCGGTATAATTACTACATAATGTTGCAACTAGGTTCAGAAAAAATTCAACAAAGAAGTCCCACACATTTATCTAAAATATAGATAGATGTCGTAATCACGTGTCAAAATCAGATGCATACGGTAATATAAACACCAAGACTGGTAGACCTTTGTGAAAACTAAGAATTGACAACAAACAATAAAATCAGTTTTGAGATTCTTTGGTAAACAGGAAAATAATGAAGTTCTAACACAAAATGGCAGGAAACATGGCATAAATACAGTTGCTTTCCAAATAGGAATTTCTCAATTACAGGCACTGATATTAATTTCTATACACGTTTGTATCATATGCGAACCACACTTTTTATTGAAATGGAAAAACACATGAACATTTGTAAAATACTGTCTGCTTTGATAAAGCATGTGTATTTACTCGTACAAGTCAAAACTAGTTTTTTTTGTTGTTTTATTTCAGTTTGTAAGAATGGAGACATCTGCAGGAATATTATCTTTAGTTATATATCCTATTTTGAACTGTGTCTTATTGCCAAATTTATTACATATCTTCATGTATTTCTGAAATGTATTGACCAAATTAACGAAATCATACAAACTTGTTTAATACTTTCAAACATATTTAAACTTTGCAATACATGTAATAGTAATATTATATTTTCTTGTTTCACCAACAAACGCCAATAACAAATTTAAAAAATAAATAAATTTAAAATTGAACTAATATCACCTATAGTATTGTCACATGTTAGCTCTATAGTAAATGATACAAAGCTTGTCTCTCTTCGTTTCCTCTCTTCTGATTGGTCAGTTGAAGACGAAATGTGAACGCCCTTTAATTCGCATGTTCCGTTGGCAACACAACCAGCTGTTTTCAGTTTGTCGCCTACAGTCGACTTTATGGTGTTTTCAACATCAGAAGTTTCAGTACTCAACGTATTGTACACACCTGTTTGATTTACCGACAGTTTTGGAGCCAGGTGCTTTGCTACAAGTATAAAATTATGGGGTGCAGGGGTGTAGATTGTTACATGTTGGTGGGGATCGACCCAATCACTGTGACCGTCGCACTGCTGGGAGTATTGTGTATGGTAGCACTGGGAGTAGCACATATAAGGTATATAAGGTAAGCTGTACAACGCCATTGAATATGTATTCTATATGTAGAAATAGGCGTTAAATCAAGTTTTCAAGTTTCAAGTTTATGTATATTGCACCGTTTTGTTTTGATAACGGATCTCCAAAAGCAAATATTACATAATTATAATATAACCCTAAATGCACTACACAAAACTTACCGGTGTCTGGAGGCATGTCATGGCTTGGACCTACCCTTACTGTATCTTTGCCACTTGATTCAATTCCGTTTTATCTACTTCATAGGAATTCCGATCAAAGGTTTGTGTTTATGTTTATTTTTCATCATATAAAATATTCATACATTCAGCATATGTTTTCAATTAATATTTATTAGGAATTTCTTAATGATACATTTCTAATGGGTTTTTTTATCAATATCTGAAAAAGTATTGGAAAATATGGCTATTGTAGACAAATCCTCTTAAAGTAATGTCTTTAAGAGATAAAGCAGACAGATGACTTAAAATGTTATAAAGTTAATGCATCAGAAATTATAAAAAGAAATATATTAGTAAACTCACGTTGACAAGAAGGAATCTGTGATTCGGGATTGTCCTCGTTATTTATATTCCAAACATATCCGGTATCTGGCCCGCAGACGATACCGGAAGAGTTAATATAGAGGTCGCTGTCAAATTCGTAACCATCGTTACACGTGGGCCTGCAAACACGTTTCTCGTCATTTTCTGATACACAATTCATGTTTCCATTATCTAGAGTCGTCGGGTCCTTTCCACATTCTTAAAATATAAATGTTTATGGGTGATTATTTCTTAAACGTTTTGTATATATTAAGATAAACAAAGCCTAAATTAATTGTTTTCCAATATCTTACCCACGGCAGAAAATACTAAAATTAATATATTCAATAATATATATTTATATTATTACATATCCAAACCACTTGAATGTATGTTTTTGTCAGCCTGATTATTTTTTTTAGAGAAAGTGTTAGATTTCAAAAGTTGAACCCTTAACCCTTAACATGACACGCGTTTTTCTGTGTCAATTTGTTTGACAGAATTTCTACTACCACTGATTGATGCGGAGATGTCTGTACTGGTAGTGAGGTGGAGATAACTTGTTATGTTACCATCTCTATATGACACTAGATATAAGTTAAACTAGTAATAACACATCGGTTTAAAAAATTCATTGTATCTTATTTTGATTGTCCGTTCCAGTATATTGAATTAACATGTACATAGAACCTTAAATTATGTTGTATTTGACGTTACCACGACTTAAAAACAAACAAACGAACGGACGATCGAACGGGCGGACGGACGGACGAACAAATGAACGAAAACAGGAAACAAACTCCGAATGAAAAATAAATTGGCTTATTATTACCATTTATGCAGACAACGTTGGTTTCGCATGGAACTGTTTTTGTACTATCGCCTTCACACTGTTTCCCGCCATTTATTGGGATTGGGTTTTCACAAACACGTGACATCTGCTGCGTTCCAGATCCACATGTGACGGAACATTCACCACTTATCTCATAATCTGTCCAACCACCGTCAACTGAAAACAGTTACATAAAGCAATTAAAGACTGACAAACACATGTCGTCTGCTATATTTCAGTCAACTGGACCATGTCTTTTGAATATTCGTTATGACACGTATGAGTATATCTAACTTCAGTGTATGTGGCTAGAATCAAGTTTAGTGGTTGAAATTATATTTTGTCCAATGAGATCGTTCCATTTTTAGCTCGACTTTTCTATGAAAAGGGGAGCTATCCTACTCGCCCCGGCGTCGGCGTCGGCGTCGGCGTCGGCGTTAGCGTCGGCGTTGGCGTCACACCTTGGTTAAGTTTTTCGTACCACCCCACTTTATTTCAGAAGTATTACAAGTATGGCTTTGAAACTTACCATACTTGTTCACCATCATAACCTCCATCTACAGACAAGAGTACATAACTCTGTCAAGGTTTTTGACAGAATTATGGCCCTTTTTTTGACTTAGAAAGTGTATTGAGCTTGGTTAAGTTTTTTGTACCACCTCACTTTATTTCAAAACCATTGGAGGTATTGCTTTGAAACTGACCATACTTGTTTACCATCACGACCTTCATCAACAGACAAGAGGACATAACTCTGTCAAGGTTTTTGACAGAATTATGCCCTTTTTGACTTAGAAAATACATTGAATATGGGTAAAAAATCCACTTATTGCCTTAACCCTTTGAGATATTGCTTTGAAACTTTTAATGCTATTTCACATCATTACCCCCATCTGTACGCAAGAGAAGGTAACTCTGTCAAGGATTTGTTTTAAAAATTAAGGCCTTTTATCGACTTAGAATCTTGGTTAAGTTTTTAGTACCAGTCCACTTTTTGACTGAACTGTTTGAGATATTAATTTGAAAGTTGGAATACTTGTTTACCATCATGGTCCCAAAACATGGGCAGGAGAAGGTAATTCTGTTAAGGATTTTATTTGAATTATGGCCCTTTTTGACTTAGAAACTCAGTTATGATTTTCATTCTTGTCCACTTGTTGACTTAACCATTTGAGATATTACTTTGGAAGTTGGAGTTCTTATGTGCCATCATGAGACCTATCTGTAAGCAAGAGAAGATAACTCTGTGAAAATGTTTCTTGATTTGTACTTAGAAATTCCTAGTTAAAGTCTTGTGTGCCCTTAACTGTCAAAGTTTTGTTTTATAGGCAAGCACTAAAAAAGTCGAGCGCGCTGTCCTTCTGACAGCTCTTGTTTAAATTCAGTGTAATATGCCATCTCTTCAATCGACACTAACTTGTCCAAATAAATCAGCATACCATACTCGCACTATGTAAAAAGTAAAAATAAATTTAAACCTCTAAATAGATTGGTGTTTGTTAAGTCAGCATTTATTTCATTGCTGAGCGAAACACCACACAACAGACAGTCAAACCTTGAAAAAAGACCATGGAAAAGAAAGGCCGAACAATATCTTTATGACAAGTGGTCTTATTTTTAGGGGGTCAATCTATTCTATATAATCAATGGTGGGTTGTCGAAGAATGACCTTTAATTACAGGGTGGTATTTATTTTGAAGCGGTCTTTAATACAGGTTTCTGGATTTATTTCATTAATGTTGACTAATAACCACTTTTCTATGCATAACAATTGAACAAATGCAAGCTTTTATAGATCAGTAAAAAACTATTCAAAAGAATGTTACTTTTTATACAAGTAACATACTCACATCTTTATATCTATCTAAGTAAAGCAAATAGATATACGAGGTCCTATTTTTTTTAAAACTCATTACAAATACAAGTGAAAGCTGAATACTAACCAAAGTGGGTTTCACATAAGTCACCCTTAAAGCCAGCCGGACAAACACATGTATATTTATCATGCCCATCGATGCATGTAGCGTTGTTATCACACGCGTTGTCAAGGCAGTCATCGATATTGATCTCACAGAAACTTCCAGTAAAACCTCTTTCGCATGCGCATGAAAAGCCTTCAATAGAATCTCTGCATGTGCCTCCGTTATGGCATGGTGTATTATCACAGTTGTTGTCGACTAAAAGAAGAACATAGAGCTAAATCATTGATGATATGTTCGAAGCTAGATATGTTTTCGGGGTTTTGTTTTATTATAATTTTTTAAAAGTAGGGAATAAAAATCGTTACGTACGTAATGTGACGTAAGATACAATTAATGTCAGTATTGTTTTGAAACTGAGAAAAAAATGATAAAATAAAAACTTCTAATATTTAAGAATTTGACTCAGTTCATAGACCGATTAATCTAACTCCAAGACATGTAGTACAGAAAAAATACAGTAGAAAATGTGAAAACCGGACCCTCTTCGGGTTCGTCCAAACATCCGGTTTTCAGGGGATATTTAATACATACTTAGCATCCGGTACTTACAGATTTTTTTTCTGGAAAATATGGGACTTTTAAAACATTGTCCGATTTTCAGAGAATTCCGGATTTCATATCGTCCGATTAAAATAGGTTTTACTGTACTTCTACTTCCGCTTGGATATGCTATAAAGACACACAAAAAAAATTTTTAAAAACCCTTTACCATCCCCTTTTCCCTTTTTTAAAGAAAAAAGGACCCTTTCCAGTACAGAAAATTGTTCCAACTTTAAAATAAACCCGGCCTGTTTTAAAAAACACTTCTTAACTGGGGGTAAATGATTACATTTTCCCAAAATTTTTAAACTGTGAAAAATAAACCAAAAACCCTTAAACCGGGGAAAAAAAAAAAAAATTTTTAATTGGGTTAAAAACTCCCATGACAAAAAACCAAACAACGTTTCCCCAATATTTTTTGGGTTGAAAAATTTTGATTTTTAACTTGAAATCAAGTTGAACTTTTTTTAGTTTTAGGGTAAAAAGTTTGGGAACAAAACCTCTTTTAAACCCCTTTTTACCGGGCAAACAGCTATTTTATTTTTTCCATATGATAAAGTGCAGACCAAGATAGCCGGGTTAACCCCGGCAGCTGTTAGGGTTCCACTTTTTCGAATATTAAAATACATTTTTTTCATTAAATTTTTTTAAAATTTTCCCAAAAGGGAAAAAATATATTTGCCCAAAAACGGAAGGGGGGAAAATTAAATTTTAAAGAACGACAAAACGGGGTTTTAAAATAAACCTAAAGTAAAAAAATAAAAGTTCCAGAAACTGAGAAACTCCGTTTTTAATTTAAAGGGAAAATTAAAGGCAAACCCTTTTTTTTCCGAAATTTTCCCACTGAATACACAAAAATTTTGGATACCCACAAAAAAAAACCATAACGGTATTGGCGGGGGAAAGGGAAAACATTTTTTTTTATACCTATAAAGAAATATTGAGAAATATTGATAAAATAAAATTTCTTTTTCATTTTTTTTCACTGAAAAAGTTTTTTTTTCACGAAAGTGAAACAATTTTCCTTTTTTTCACTTTGCCTTGTCGGACAAACTTTTTTCTAAATTCACCAAAAAAAATTAAAAGGGGTATCCTCCTTTTCTAAGGAAAAAAAAGGGAAAAAACCCTAAAAAAGAAAATATTCAATTTTTTTAAAATTAATACAGGATTTTTTTTCATCTTTGGCTACTGCCATGGGAAACTATTTTTTATAAATTACCAACCGATAAAAAAAAATTTCCGTTTTTATAGAAAAAAACCTCAGAAATCCTCTATTTTATTTAAAAACAAAAGGTGAAAATACTTGTTTGGCACTATCCTTACCCCTCCTATTGTCACAGTGATTATTCACAGGTGTTTCTGTGGACCTTTTTCTCTTTGAGGAGACACTTTGCTCTCTGAGAACTTCTGTACTGTCCAGGTATGTAATTATCTCAGTGCCAGAATACTGACTGTAATCTGCTTCCACAATCATTGACCCCGACTATACTCTCTCCAGTCGTGAACTGCTGTCTTTATTTCAAAATATGAAAGTATATTTTAAAGTCCGAGTAAAGGGTAATGAAATATCTAACGAAACGTTAAAAGACCCATTATGTGTTCATTTTAATTTCTCTAAATCCTTTATATTTGCTCGATTTGTAAAACCATCTGAACGGTGAGAACAATAACTTGCGTGCAAATTTTCAGAACTCGCCCAGGTTTGTCCAGAATATATCATTGGATGTGTAAAATTATCCCCAAAATGAAAAGCGTTGCAACGCTTATCACTCCAGTCAGACAAAAATGTACTATCAATATTAATTTAATTTGAGTATATTTCTTTATGATCCTTTGCAGTTTTTTCCATTCCAATTAAAAAAAAAACATGTTTTTGTTCTTGTTCTTCTAGCTTTTTGACCATAGTGGAGTTTCTTTAAGTCAGACTGTTGCTTAACATTAATTGGTGGCAAATGAGTGAAATAATTTACAAATCCTACTTAGATAGCAGATTGATTTTGCTAGGGAACACTTAATTCTGTTACTTTATATAAAATGATTTTTTTACAGCTTTTATCCGGTATTCAAGCACAATTGCCCTGTTGGCTTTGGTTTAAATTTTTTTTTGACGAAATTTTCCAATTTTTTCCCAAAATCAATTTAATTTTGCTTTCAAAAAAGGAAAAAATTCAAATGTAAAATACTTTTTTTAATTTTTTGCCTCTTTTTTTTCTAAAAATCATAAAAAATAAAAAAAAAATTTTACCCTTTATAATTTAAAAACCCAATTTTTCAAAAGGGGCGTTTAAAAAGGTCTTACAAATTCAGTGCTCGCTGGGGTTTTTATAAGCTTCACTTTAAATACACTTACAAAGAATTAAAGGGGAATTTACAAACTAAAAACGGTTTTTCCGAAAACCCGGCGCTAGTTCTTCAACTCTTTCATTTAGGTACTTAATATCGAACCTAAAATACAATATAAAAATTTTAAAGGGGGGAAAAAAATTTTAAAAATTCCCCCTTGTTTTTTTCTAATAAAGCCTTAATTTTTTTTTCTTTTAACTTTTCTTTGTTTTTGGCCCTAAGAAATAAAAGTTTTTTTTAAATTTAATTTGGGGGATAAAAAACAAAAATTTAGAAACAAAAAAAAGTTTCTCAGATTTTTTAAAGGCTATTTTGAATTTTTTAATCTTAAAAAACCCCTTAAACCCAGATTATTTTAAAAAACATCTTTTATAGAAAAAAAATTTCCATTACAGAACGACATCATTTAAAAAATTTTTATCCTTTTTTTAAATTTCCCCGGAATTCACTTATCCCTTTTGAAATTAAAACCCCGGAATTACCCAGTTTTAAAATTTAATTTTTGTAAACCCCTTTCACTCTTTAACCCCTACGCTTCCAAAATTTTCATTGTGGGACCCAAAGGGTTTCGAAAGCTGAACAGGGGCGGGGCCCCACAATAAAGCCGGGTTACAAGCGTCGAAAAGGGGTTTTTTTATCCTTTTCGATTTTAAATTTAAAAAAGATATTTTATAAAAAAAATGCAAAATTGAAAGATTCCTAATTAAAAATTTGGGATATTTGACAAATTTTTTACATTTCATCCCTTAAATTCTACCAGTTTAGTTTACTTTTAATTTTCCCATTAAAAATTTTTTTAAAAAATTTTAATACATTTCGCAAAATTAAAAAACAAAATAACATTCGGGAAAATAAAAACAAATAATGCCTTTCATTTTCCCCCGAGTTAAAGCTTAAATTTTTACGCAAAAATTTATAATTTTATTTTTAAAAACGTTATTATTTTTTTGTTTCTTTTACACTCAAGTATCCCGGCCGTTAAGCTGTTGGTGCTACTGCTACGTTTTGCTACTTTATATGAAATATTATGCATTTCGCTTCCTTCGTCACATTATAAGCATTACAAACATGCGCTAATATTATAATATGATCATGAATAATTAAAATTCCTTTTGTCAGAAACCTAATCAAGACTGAGTAAAATTCTGACATATCAGCAACATACACTACCTCACCACTGAGCATCAGAGTTACTCCCGTATTTGTGTTGCCGTAGGACATATCACGTGCTTCGTTTAAAAATGCAGCATGCCTGCAGATTACCATCTAGTCATGAAAATATCCGACGCTACACTTAACTGAAAAAATGCACAGCATCAATTACTGGTCATTAAATGTAAAATGTAAATACAATGTAAAATACACTTTTCGATCGAATTCACAAATGGCAAATTATAGAATAAGAATTCCTGCGAAGTCTTTTGGCGAAAATATGAATCTATTTCATTAAAGGCACATTAAGTAGTCCGAAAGATAGTTTTGTTTATGCTCGTATAAAGAGCATTTATGTGTTTTGAAATGCTTATTTGGGTACTTGTATTAAGAACATGTTCGGGAGCTGATAACATGCAAATTGTAGCACTTAGTATCATTATAAATGTAAACAAATTGAAATTTTGACTTCTATACAAAATATTAAGTCACCATTACTGTTCTGATTTCAGATACACATAATAATCTAAAAATGAAATCGGCTGTATACTGAATTGAAACATAACACGAAAGTTAAAAAAAACATTTGAGACAATATAACAAATTTATTTAAGTTTTATGGCTCTTCAAACACAATACAAATATCGTATTTTACCGCACTGCATTGTTGTCCTGTCATAAGCACTTCCGGTTGAACATTCGCCCTCGATATAAGAAACGCTGATTGTCGGGGACTCGGCCGAGAAGCCATCAATTTCCAAATTGAAGTCACCGTTCTCGGAAGCCTTGGTAACGGAATTTTTAATCGAATGTCTAGAAATTGCCTTTTCCATCGGTGACAAATCTTTTGAGAGTTCTACTGTCACTGTGAACATAATTGTCGGGTCAGTGCTTTTTCTTTTTCTGCTTGAATCCCCAGTTCTGTTTCCGCAAATGATCTGTCATTGATAATTTTGATAATAATGATTATGTTAACGTAATTTATCATTTCCACGTTAAATTTATGCATTTTACTTTACCTGTTTGAAAACTGGAAATGAATATTAACAATGATTAAGTTAAAGATATAACAAAAGCTGTCACAAGAGAAGTGAGCTTACTTTTCTCAGTGCTGAATGGTAGAATAAATAGATAGATAAATAAATGAATGAATGAATGAATGAATGAATGAATGAATGAATGAATGAATGAATGAATGAATGAACGAACGAACAAAGAAAGAAACAAAGAAAGAAAAAAACAAACGGACAAACAAATAAATCAGTAAAATAAAACTTACATTAACTTTTCTGACAGAGCATTTTTGTTTGCAGTCTTGTCCAGAGCTTTTATTGAACGCTTCAATGAACTTATTTTTGATATCTTCTCTAGCCTCGTCACAAGGTCCCTCATAATAATAGTACTCAAACTTGAGTTTAAAGGAATCAGATTCTCTTTCATCATCAACTTCTGTTTATAAAATACAAAAATTTGTTTATAATGATAATATTTTTGTTATGTTATACGGTTTAATCAAAGTACATCTTCTCAAGAAATGTACAATGTCTTGATATTTAAAACTCAGTCATGCTTTTTTAGCATATCAAATAATCTACAAGTCACTTCTAAATGATGTTAACATATACAACAATATTACAAGTATTGGGGTTGTTATACCTTTCCTTTCGTGTATTAAATATACAGAAGCATGAAGACGCATCTAAAGCTCAAACCAGTAGGGCTTTAAATGCGTCATGATACTTTTGCAGACATTTATGCAAGAAAAATGTGCATTAGAACTGTTCTTGCATTAAAATATCCGTCAAAATAAGGGGCGCTCATTGCATTTAAGCTGTTAAAAAATCAAGTCCTGAGTCACACATATGAATAAATGTGCAGCAACAGCGCGCGATCACGAGAACCATTCGGTTCATTCATGTTGTCTTTTTCGTAAAATAGTTGTCATGACAGCAGTGTTTTAAAAATAGGTTCTAACTGACTAGTTGTCATGACAGCAGTGTTTTAAAAATGGGTTCTAACTGACTAGACAACAGTTTATAATAATCATGCCATTAAACTCTAATTTAACGCTGTCTTGACGAAACCGTACTTTTTCTATGTGACAAAAAGAGCATCAAAACACGATGCTATCAGATTTGTACGAGGGGGCGTAGTCCCAAAATATATATCAGATTGCTGAGTGTTTTGATGTTCTTTCTCTTCTGTAACATAAGTAAAAATAAAAACTCGTTCCTTCTCGTCACAATGTTAAACTCCAGAAAAAAAGTTACCAATGTAATGGCATCTGAATATGACTTTCTATCGTTATCTCTTTCCCTCTCGTCGCAATAAATAAACCCCAGAAAAAATTTGAGCCAGTCTACGAACATTCTCTAGTCAAGTCAATACATGCACAGTGCGTTAACTTGAGTTTAGGTATTATTCACTGTCTGACTAAAGCATGTTCAATGATTGGCTCATTTTTTCTTGAGTTTAATTATTGCGATGACAAGGAAAAATGATAGCGATAATAATATCAATGTCAAAAACATACCTTTCCCCTCGTGCGTTTTCCTCATCATTTACAATAATAACATACCGTCCCTGCCGCATGTTATTTGTCACCATTAACATCTAAAACATACTTTATACCTTAAACGTTATGTGTCACCATATACCTCAAAAACATACCTAGACAATCTGGAATCTTTGCAGATAAGTACCAAGTACCAGAATCGCCGCAGACAAGTAGGCTCTCTTGCACAGCTATGTCATCTTTAACCACGTACCCATCCTCACATAAAATTTGACAGAACTTTCCTTGCAGCCACGTGTCACAAGCCAACGCGCCATTATCAGGTGGGCGGAGTGCTGGGCACGTTTCTATATCTACGAGAAATGTGGCATACTTGTAACATTAAAAAAAAGATCTGAGCATAAAAAATTACTCATGTTTGAATATTGAACACAGAGGATATTTTGTTTGCGGGGTTTTTAATGCTGTCTTATTGAAAGTAATAGAAGCGGTGGCCTAGTGGATAAGTTTTCTGCCTCTCGACCTATATATCGTAGGTTCGAGTCTGTAAACGGGTAACGACCATGTTTACTCCTATATATATATGGTACCGGTACTAGTAAGTTTCAAAGAAAGGATTCCGCAGTGATTAAAATAAGCTGTAGACCAAAATAAAATAAATACTGTTTCAACTAAACCATTGATTTTTATAGAAGACAAAACGTATATGATGTGAAATACAAAAAGGGCATAATAAACCATTTTTGGTACAAAAATACCCAAAACTTCTCCTAACGTTGATTTCACATTAGAAGAACAAAATTGCTCTTCAAAATTAGATTATTACTAGCACACTTTTCATTACTTCTTATGTCTAAAAATGCGTACTTTCACAGTATGGCTGGTTGTTCATGAATGTCCATCTACCGTACGGAACAATTTCGCCCGTTTTATCACACTGCGCATGCGGATGGCCATTCAACGCAGTACCATTGTCACAAGTGAACTCACAAGACGATCCAAATATTCTTCCTGTCGGGCAAACGACGGCAGTGTAAGGCAGAGGGTAAATCATATGGCACTTTATCTCTGAAAAACAAAAACAAAACAAACTATCAATTAGCCCGTGTACTTTTGTAGCTTTTCCTGCTTTTTTAGTAGTGCAAAATTTAGCTTTTCCGTTCGAACTCATTGTTATGACAAACGACGCAATTGAAACAGTCAGCCAATTTGCATAAAACTGTATAACACTGTAAAGGTTCATCAACTGATCAAAGTATAATTTGCGTTTTGCTTACATGTATGTTTGAATTTTCATATAATTATGTATTTATATATGTATACATTTGAATTTATACATACATGCATTAAGTTTGCTAATTTGCTAAGATCTCACTATATATAAATACATTTATTGTGCGCTACAGTTGCATATTACTACGTGTGTTAACTACCTTTGACCATTGTATTATACATCATCTTTTTACGACATATTTTACGGTATATTTAATGATAAATCTTACGTTTTACGACAACATTGAACTCGCAGATGGCAGTGTTGTTTGCAGCATCAGAAGCCATGTATGTGACGGTATGCTCTCCAACTTCAAGCTCAGTACCAGATCCAGGACCCGAAATACGAATCGTATTAACGATTCCAATGTTGTCCGTGGCTGTAATTATAATACATGAAGTTATGTTATTCGGAGAAGTAAAATCCAACGTTATGACGTCGTGTCAGGGGAGGATGATACAGCTCAATATCGAGTATCTAAATATACGACTTTGTTTATCCTTTTCTTAAATTTCATTTCAACATAATATTTTTTTGTGTGAGCATTAACTTGTTTTTATTAGTGTTACATCATTAATTTTAATGATTAATAAACCATTAACGTTATGATTGATAAACCAATAATATACGGTCTATAGAGCACGTGCTTCTCTTTGTAACAAAATGGTTCCCGTGATCTCACCATTGCATTCAAATATCCTCACGGGTTACCGTCCGACCTCCATAGATACATCACTTTAAACAAATTTACAGTTGTAATCATGAAGAGCCTGTTTTAATCATTAGTCTTAACGTTCATCGAACAACTTTACAATTGTTATTTTATTTTGAGATCGGTCCATATTTGTTTTTTTTTCAAATTTGAACAAAAGAAGATTTTGTTTATAAAATCTGCAGCAATAATCGGCAGTAAACTAAAATGACCACTGAAAATTCTTCTTATATGCATTCCTTCCTGTAAGAAGTCAAACTGATTTCAGATGGCCTCCGGTCAAAAGGAAACATATATCGCTAAATACTAGTCTTGTAATGTTTTGAAAAGATTTTTTTTTTCAACTTACCACGAGGTTCGTTCCACCAGACTTTTCCAGAAGTTTTCGATGGCTCGGCGTACCCAACCTTTACATAAGGGCAATCTTGAAACACTGGCGGCGAGGTATCTGGTGAAAACATAAGCTTATTGTTGATTTTTTTCTCATCAGCAAACAAATTAACACGGACCAGAAACGTTTTTTGTTGCTTGTAACTGAACTGAATTGTGTGGAAAAGAGAGGTTGCATTGAATACATATCTCCTTGTTATTTATGTACTAACTTTTAGAAACTGTTACTTGTTAGATCGTGGATTCTCTACCGAATAATTTAATTGTTGAAAAGCGTATTAAAGGCACATTATATTAAGCCTCCACATTGATTTTTTTTCCCTCTGACAGAAAGGAAAACAAGTGCTTTATAATGTTGTACACGCAGTAAAGGTTATGGAACATGTTTGATTTTTATCAATTGGTAAAACAACGTTAAAACGCGCAAAAAAGGCAAAAAACTGACTCAGGTATATGTCTAACGAGTATTTTAACAGGAGATTAAAAAACTTTAGGAAAAAAATGATAGCATTTATGGCCCTTGATATATGGATCTTTATTTTTTTCCACAAGGTGGTGTTTTCCGGAAGAATTTCTTTCAAAGTAGTGCATTTTCAGCGTGACACATTAAAGTGTTAGGATTTAACAACAAATTGTGATGTAACGTTTTTACTACGTGTGATATTAAAAGTTCTATTTATATATTTAATGTAGATAAATATATACAGCTTCATGTAGAAAAGAATTTTTCGTATTATTTTTGTTAATCAGATGAAACCCATTCGCTGACTTCCGGTCATTTTGAACACAACTACACAACCGGACAGCAGCACAGCTAACTGTTATTCTTTACACAAGTAAATGCAAAACCATCAACACATATACACACCTTCACATATAGGCATCCTGCCCCTCCAGTTGCCATACTCGTTGCAGACCCGAACCTTGCTGTGTCCGGGAAGTATGTTGTAACCATCTTTGCAGTTATATGAACACTTGCTTCGGTAAAAATTATTGTCGGTGCAGGAAATATCAACGACGCCATATTGGCCGGTAGAAGGGAAAAGCTCGTCGCATTGAAGTTCTTAATGAAATAAAACATAAAAGTAATGTTTAACTGCTTTCTCAATTATTCAGTAAATAAAACGTGATAAGTAAAACAGTCAATAGTACAAACCGACAAAAAAGATGATATTCTTTGGCCTGATTTCAACAGTGTAAGTGTAAACTACAATTGTGGCATATTTTGGCGGGCATTGCAATCACTTAGTCATCGGAATTTATTTTGTTTAGCTTGAGTAATGGATGGAATGTACATGTGCTAAACAATGCATTGGTGTAGACAGTGTAGATCTGAGCGGACATTGGCGATTCTAGATCGAACTGCCTATCTGTCGCTGTTTATCTGACAGACGAATGTTGAATTTTGTTTTAAAAACCGCTTGATTACAGCCAAAATGCATATTACTACCATAGAAACATAAATATATAAAGCAAGGTAATTGCATAAACATTATGGGAAAATCGGTACATTTTTAGAATAAAAATATCGAACAAATATCAACAAAATCGAAAAAATCCCTTCTTCGCTTACATGTTCAAGGGAAGTAATCTGGCGAAAAAAAAAAGACCGAATAAGTAGGATTTGTCATTCTTGTAATGCCAATATGGCCGACTAAAAATAAGTGTGAGACATACTGGAATAAGTTTGTGTGGGATAAACTGGAATAAAAGGGTCTTGGAGTCAGTTACTTAAACGTTTGTACTTACAGGTATAAAAAAAAATTTATACATACTTTGACAGAAAGGTTGAGTTGCCGTGTCCCATTGTTCCGAGTCCAAACATGTAGTTTTTGATGGGCCAACTAGCTCGTGACCGCCATAGCAACCAAATCGACACACACTTCCTCGTCGCATTTGATAACTCACGTGACAAATCTTCCAGCCATCGTGAATTTCGCCCCATGTAGAACATACCAAAACTATGGTAGAAAATACATATTTTCTGCATACATTTGTTTAATGTTTCTAGATTTTGTTGCATGCATGGTTTAATGTATATGTAGGCGTTGGTTTATGAACAGTTTTTACAATTAATTTACAGATTACAAGAAATTTGAGATGTGTATGCGTTTTTGTCTAAACTGCGAAAATAGTCTCCTTTCAAGATATACCGAATCATAAAATATACTAACATACATTTTTTATAGTAATTGATAAACTGTCGATATCCAACTTTTCAATACATTAGTTTGAATGTTTTTTTTTATTCTTACACATCATGGATGTCAGATATTGCCGAACCCGAATGTTTCGGAGTAATAATTAACTTAAGTGTAATGTTATTTGACTAACTTGACTAAATAGTCATAAAACTTTACAAAAAAACCCTAAACAAACAAAACATAAACATACTTTTTACAATTATATTGAATGAGCACGAAGCGTAGTTGCCTGCCTTGTCCTTTGCAGTATATGTTATGTTTGTAGTCCCTGAAAACAGTTTTCCAGGTGCTTTTCCAGATCTTACGGGCCTGAAACAGGAGAACACATGATTGTATGATATTTGATTTGAATATATATTGTTTATTATGAAATGAAAGAGTGAAAAAAGAAGAAATAAGCAAAAACAACAATAAATAACATTGTTATAGTAAACTCAACAGATAATTAACATGTACAGACTCATGAAACCTAGTCTGCAATTTTTATGTAATTTTGTGGATGTCCGTGCTTCTGGGGGATCAATCTTTTACTATTTTTTATACGTATTGCAACGGAGCTCTAGCTTACCATTTAATATATATTTGCAAAGATTGTATCTTACTTAATTGGGCCATCTCGATCGTCGTTGGCTGAGATAGTTCTTTCGTCCCACCATACTTTTGTGTTTATCTGGATAGGATCTGCAACTGCTTCTACATTTGGCGGACATTTTATAGTTGGTCTGGTCCTGTCTGGAGGCGGGCTACGACGACCACGTCTACGTCTACCGCAACCCAAAACCGCGGAATTACAAACCAACCATAATAAAAGTATAGCAACAAGGTTGTATTTCATCTCCTATCAGCTTAGAAAACAATATGAATTTATCATTTATTTTGTGTGTTTTATTTAGACATTCAACAAACAGAGACAAATTCTAATTTATGCCTCAATACAAATAGGAACATTACACGTCGATGACAATGAGCCTTTTATAAACACCTTAATATGACATTTTTTTAATGTTCAAGTAATTGCAAGACCAAGCTTTTTTTAAAAAAAATATTGTAATGTAAGCACACTTGGCTATTCAAATTGCCGTCTTATTATTGATCTTTTAATACTAATTTAATAACTCAAGTATCAAATATTTCTTAAATACCCATCATTCTTTAGATTGTAGTCCAATATCCTTTCATGACAAGCAAGATTTCTTTTTTTTATGAAAAATTGATCCTATTCAAACTTTTAAAAAGTACGTAAACTTGACTCTATGCCAGATTAAGATCAATACTAAAGACTCATATTTTTTTCTTTTAAGGCTAGATTGGGAAAACCATGACTTGTGCCGATGAACTCGCTGAACGGTAGACTTAATCGGAACACCTTGGCTATTATCAATAATCCTTATCGGATGTTTTGACAGAAAGGGTCAAGACGTGTGTGTGTGTATTTAAGTTTATCTTTACTCGCCTCCGGTTGTCCATATGGGCAAGTCCTCCAAAAGGGTATTAGTCATTGGAGGATAGTGCAAGACACATATGCAGAAAGATGCCCCAATTTCAGAAGCTTATTCTGGTTAAGCATCCACAGTCGTGGACCTCGATCCGAATGACTGATTATTAAATTTAGTTGGCTAGCCCAAGACTCGAACCCACAATGTCGAGAATACAAGTTGCGCGTTTTAACCGATTGTGCTATGTGAGCTAAGGCCAAAACGATGTGATATCGGTCTAGACTATATATCGCATTTAAGCGCCGACTTCTATTAAGACTCCGCCTACACTTAACGACCATTCCTACATTTTAATAAAAAGTTATATAATCATATCAGAAGCATGCACATCACTCTACATTATCCAAGTTCCAAACAAGATAAAATATCTTTTTCTTTTTTTCGTTTTGCAAAAAAATGTGTTATTTTTAAACAAATGGTTAACCATATCATATTTTCTTTTCAATATTTCGTTTCTAAAGAACAGGTAATACTTATGGTATTTTGCCAGACTGTATTGCATTATGCAATGAAACTTTTAAAATACTTTGCTGGAATCCCAGTTCATGTAATAGCGAAAATACCATAAGTTGTACAAGAAATGTATAGACATGTACCTTAATCGATATTTTATCAGGGGAGTTAACAACAAAAGGTTGGCCTTTATTTTACAAAGTTTTGTGGATAGAAATACTGCCTACCTTACTTGTCTAAATACAATATTTATCCATATCATTCATACCACTATAAAAGCATATTCAATCAAACACCAAACTTAAATACATTTTCTGTCAAACTCCTAGGTAATCCGAATGACACGAAAACATATCTGCCTACCTTGAAACGTCCAGTACAGGGGTGGGGATTTGTGCATTGCTGTATCCCTAAAATCAAGGGCTAAATCAGGTAAAATGTATCACATAAAATTGACTTTTATACATTTTCTCTCATAAAATGCTTTGTGTATGATTATTTAAGGCCAACTATACCCCCACAAATGCTTTGAGTTTTATTCCAAAAGATACTCATTGGCCTATTATGGAACTGGCGTTGATAATAAGTACTGTACAGTGATAGTGATTTTAATTAGTATTTTGTACAGAAGTCAATTTACTATTAATTGTGTACATTTTGTTACTTTTATGACAAAATAATTTCGCATTCAGTGCTGTTTTCTTCCGAAAATAAGCACCAAATATCCTCTTAAATTCAGATATTATAAGCCTAATGTTTTCCCTTTTTGAAGAAGAAAAATAATGACTTTCTGAGGCATTTTGTACCTATAAAATAATGAGAGAATAATGGCGTTCCTAGTGGTTTTGTTTAGAAATTAATGTTATTAAAAATTCTAACACGACCCGAATTTTTCCCTATTGAACATAGAAGAACCGAAAGTGTGTGTTATTATGCAATAAAATCACTGTTTGACGTTCTATATTTAGACATGTGACGTAATCATTATACACGTGACGTAACCACTAAAAATGTGACGCGCTGACAATAAGTACGGAAACAAATCAGACGCAATTTAGCTAATTATCATGTACGGCAGCATTTATTTGTTGATGTCGTGTTAGAATCGAAATAATATATCCAAATCGATGATTTTATTGCTTGATAACATCACTGTTTGTCGTTCGGATGCGGGGAATTATATCGGAACCATTTGGAACACTCTAAAAAAACTTAGATGGCGAGTTTTCTTGTGTGTCATTGGGAGTTTGGAAATCATTTTTATTCACAGTCATAACCTGGAAGCGTGTCATATGAACGCATTGCAAGTAATTTATTTAATTAATCATTGTGCATTTCTTATGAGTATATAAAATAAAGTCCAACCCAGAAACAATCCCATATTCTTGGCCCTTTCCGTCAAACTTCAGCTACAATGGTAAGAATTCATGGCACGGATACGGTATTTCGGTCTTACACCACTATTCTAAGAAACTAAACTTGTAAACAAATACATTAGGTTAAAATCCCACTAAATTAATTAAAGAAAAACAACAGTACATTATTAATTTACATATCATTATGGTTTCAGAAACCGGAAGTACAAAGTGTCTGCCTTAAAACATTAATTAAGATTGTACAGCAGTGGACATTTTTAAATTTATTATGATTGTCAGACATATTTTTAATCATATCATAACAGATATAGTCCTTTGGATGTGAAATGTATGAATTCGTTATAAGCATTTTGTTTGTAGCTATAAAATTAGTAAAGCAACAATTATTTGAAAGTGTATCACATATCATGAAACACCCTGTATATTATCAAATATTACATCCTTTGTCAAAGTGTACATTTTAAACCACGTGGCAAAACTTCTTTTAATCGTGTGGGAGTGGTAGTTTTTGGTAGTTTACCAGGGAGCCACTATAAATTTACCAGAGCAAAAGTTCAGCCACTGCATCGTTCCTTGGTAATCTGTCAAGCCAATTACCAGTACTAGTTGCCTTCACTTTCGCATGAAACAAATAACTTCTGTACATGCTAGAGCAGATGTTGCACAGTCCAACGTACTACCTTTTGAACTAACCGACGGCTTACTTTTAATCCAAGGTTTTTATGAATACTAGTCGAGGAGTTCCGGTTGCAAATACATTTATAAAGCACACCCAACTATAACAGGATCTAGTGGAGATTTTATCATTACAATGTATGCATTCGGCATATTTCATACATATCCATTTATACTCATATTTACTTGAAATGTGTATTTAATCATAGCCATATGGGTTTTTTTGGAAGTTTTTTTCATTTGATTAATTTGATTTTGATTAAATAAAGAACACTTGATTAGTTTTAAACGCAGGTAAAAACAGTTTAACTAAACCGATTGAAAAAAGGTAAATAAATGGAACACTTGAACAGAATGAAAATAAAAATAAAAAGAAATATGCTAAGTACTAAATTGAAAATCGATACTTGTCTTTATAAGCCCGATTTAAATTAAAAAGCATTTAAAAGCTGTTAATTTTTCATGTCATTTTACAAAATGAAATAAAATGTTTTGTAAAAATCTGGGTGAGTGAATAATCTGATATTATGCTCGAAAGTTATGTGGTATATAATGCATCAAATTGTATAAATAATTTTCAAAAAATTATTTGCAGTCTTGTCATTTAATAAAATGTCAGTGGAAATGTATAAGATAACAATAACCGCATCCGTAATGAAAACAGTAATTTATTTCATTCCATTAATATGATGTTGCATATCTTGTCATTTTTAACAGAATGCAAAACATAATATTGTACAGTATCTTATAACACAATTACAAGTTTTCTTGTGTTTATAATGTAAACATAAACCAAGTGTACATGATAGGGTTAACCTTCTTAGTTAAGTTACATATGCAAAAAAACTTTGACCAGCAGCAAACGTTCAAAGTTTAACCGTTTTTTTTTCTTTAGTAACAGTCTGAATACGATTTTTTCTGTTACATTACATGATATTTTCTTTTTACTGTACCGCACACAAAAGTGGCGGCATGGATTCGAACCCGTTGAAATGGGGTGTGAACAAACCAAACATAAGGTCAAGATAATCCAGATACTATAGATATGTAATTGTTGGAGTTTTAAAGCGGCCTTCATGCTTTATATTTTGTTTGCAAAACAGTTCTGTGTTGTTTCAAACTAAGTATCTTATTAATTTTTATCTAATTAAGCCCGATAATCCGTCGTCCCGCGAATATAACGCGGAAGTGACATTCGTTTCTTAAAATAGAAGATCGGAAAGAAAATTATTTGAATATAGATAGTCGACCGGTAGAAAGGAGGTATCGAGGGGTTTCCTTACTATTTATGTATTATGTCATCGGCAATCTACCGATTTCCTTTTTCTACCTTAATTCTTTTGATTTAATAATTATATGAAATGGTTTATCTAAAAATAACATATTCAACCTTTAAAAAAGTTGAAGTCCGCTTTAATTCACGCCGACAAAATTAAATTCTAACATTACTGCTTGCTCATAAGCGTTTTGTTCATCATTTCAAATTGCGTGTAAGAGTAAAATTACTGTACCGCACACAAAAGTGGCGGCATGGATTCGAACCCGTAGTAATGAGGTGTGAACAAACCAAACTTAAGGTCCCGATAATCCAGATACTATATTTGTTTCATGATAACCTATAAAATTGATATATGAACGTTTCAATGTGTCACTCAGATTTGCAGGCATGTTATAAAATATATATTATATATATAAATACACATATAGAGAAAATCTGTTGTCAATATTGTATGTTGTTTTTATTTCAATATTACCATAAAATATCATTCAGCAGTTTCTATGTGTAAAAATACTGATTGAAACACTTTGATCAAATCGTTATTATCGCCTCACGTTATATGTTGTAATCATATCTTTTTTTATAATTTATGTTATTATTGATTAATGTTATCATATTCATGGTTTTTATTGATAATTATCATTTTGATAATAACTGTTCACAAACTCATTGTTTTTTCTCTTATCATCACCTTAGTTAACATAAGTATCAATATTTACACATTTATGTAGGCATGATAATAATCACAATTTCTTTTAATTCTTTTAAATCTGTTTTTAATCATAGCAATGGTTATCATTATCATAGATGATAATAATTATCAGCAAATTGATTGTTGTTACTATTATAGTCATTGTTGTGATTATTCAATTACTAATATCATTATAATGATAATCATCTTTTATCCTGTTATCATTATCACCATAAATATTATTATAATGATTATATGGATTAATAATGACAATTTTATGTTATTTCTGTTTTCGTTTTTATAATATCTCTTAACTATATTTATGTCGATGATGATAATCTAGGTTATAATGCCCATTTCATGTTATTTCCATGATGATGATGATGATAATCATTATCAATATCATCATGATAATTATCATCATCATCATCACCACCATCATCAACAACAACATTAAATCCATCACCACCACCACAACAACAACTACAACAATAACTACAACAACATAAACAACATCATTATCACCATTATCATCTTTTTATCTTTTCTTGTTTAATCCAAATAATTATCAGTGTTATAATTACAGTTATCATCTAATTTTCCATGATCTTCATCTACACTATTATCAATGTCACAGTTTTTATTGTAATTCCAATTATCTATATCATTATCGTAACAAACATTATTATCTTTTTTCAAGCATCATATATTTTTTTCATTTAATATTACCATAATGAATTTTATCAAAGGTGTAATTATTTACTTAGTTATTTTACATAAGTGTGCGCTTCAATTCCACAAAACCTTAAACATTTTACTGCACATTGTTATTAACATTGCAAATACAATTAATGATCGATTTTTTTAGTTTTAATACCGTTTATTAACTTATTTTTCATTAAAAAACAGCAAGAAGAAGAAGAACAACAACAACAACATCACAAGAATTAACATAAAAAAGAATAAATTATGATAATATTAGAATTTAAGAAACAAATAAAAATAATGCTTACATTTAACGCGATCAGTCCATTACAAATAATACTTGCACAATGGCGTATATCTACTTCCGCCTTCCCGTGCGTATTCACCGATTTTTGCAATTATGAAGTTTGATTTACATTGACTAAATTTTGAAACCTAAATGCGGTAGTCTTTTTCATTCGGAAGGCTTGTAAATTTATAATCACCGTCTTATTTGGTAAGCCATGCTTTTTCTTTTTATATGATTTAAATGAAATTACCCTTCTTTATCTTAATTCTAAACTGTTTGTTTTTCATATAATTTAATGTTTTAAAATTGAAATTGCTGTTTTTCATTATTTCTTTTTTTTATTTCAAATTTAGTCATATCAATTATTGCTGTAATGTGTCAACCTAATAAAATAGAATACAAATATTCAGGAAAACATTTTGGTTTAACTCTAACAACACACATGTTACTTGTATCTGGCGTTAATTTGATTGTTACATAAAAACTAAGGCAAATATTGTTATACATGAAGAAATAGCTGTAATGTGAAGGCTGATAAGCAAGTATGTTACAATTTACAATATTACAAGAAAAGTGTGTGAATTTGGCACAGAAGTCGACACTAGACATTCTGCACTACTTTCGATTTTTCAATGTCGAGATGAAATGTTGTGTTAGCAAATTATTAAAACTTAAAGACGAAAGACATAAAGAATGTCGAGCTGAGATGTGTTGACGGAACGACATTCAGCACAACACCCAACATAACATTCGAAAATAAATAAATATGAAGCTGACACAACATCTGGCACAACATTTGACAGTTGGAAAAAAATGCTTAATGTAAAGAGTGTCGAACTGAATTGTGAAGCCTACACGAAAGTTAACACAACATGTAGAACGTTATTCATAATTTAATGAATGTCGACCTGAGATGTGAAGCCGGACACTGAAAGAAGCCTTTAAATAAATTCACGTTACAAAGTTAAAAATTGTATCAAAATAATGTCATTACTGCAGAATCGATGCCAAATTTATTGATAACAAAACAACTTGTAATTCTTAACTTGTCGTTGATTACGTGGAACACTACCTTATGTTATCAACCATTATCTTTCTACAAATGCAATTTTTATGTTTCCTGCATATCTGACTGGTTTTGTAATGCGGAATTCTGTTTTCGCCATCGGCTTTCTGACTTAAGATTTACCCAAAACTGGAAATTATGCACGTGTTTTAGATACAAAAAAAGAGCAAAAACTAATTTCGAGTTTTCGATCCAAAGTTTGTATCGAAAGAAAATAGAAATTGAAAATGCGGGAGATAATATATTTCCTTGAAATGTTTTAGTTTTCGTTTTGACAATTGTTATGCACACTCCGACTTAACGACACACAATGAAGTCGGTAGAAATTAATAATGCTATATGGAATATATTAGTAATTACATACGGTTGAGATGAGTAATAACATATGGTAGATATTTGTAATAACATATGGTAGAGATTAGTAATAACATACGGAATAGAGTTGTAGTAATATACGGTAAAGAGTAGTAATAACATACGGTAGAGATTAGTAGTAACATACGCGAGAGATAAATAATAACATACAGGAAAGATTAGTAATAACAGAGGTATAGATTAGTAATAACATACGGTATATATTAGTAACAAGATATGGTAGAGATAAGTAATAACATACGGTAGACTTTAGTAATTACATATGGTAGATATTAGTAATTACATATGGTAGAGATTAGTAATAACATAGGTAGAGACATTTATAACATACGGTATGGATAAATAATAACATAAGGTAGAGATTAGTAATAACATACGGTAGAGATTAGTACATGTAATTACATACACCAGAGATTAGTAATAACATACGGTAGAGAATAGTACATGTAATAACATACGGTAGAGATTAGTAAAAACATACGGTAGAGATTAGTATTAACATACGGTAGAGCTAAGTTATAACATACGATAATTCTTTATATAATACCCGTGATGTATTTCGAAAATATTGAGCCGGATCTTAAATATGTTGAATGTCGTCAAGGTTCGCATTCTGGCTCGAAATTCAATTTAACATGTTGTGCTGGATGTGGTGCCAGCTCGACACTCAGTTAACCATTTCCATGTTGTGTTAAATTTTGAGCAAAATATCGTGCAAAATTTACCTCTCAGCTCAACGTTCATTGAAGTTTGAATGTTGTCCGGATCTGGTTTGCAAACACAACATTTCATCTCGACATAGAGAAATCGAACGTCATGCCGAATGTCTTATATCGACTTCCGTACAAAATTAAGATAATTAAATTGCAAAAATAGGCTTTTATTGACCACTGATAAAAAACAGATGAAAGCATTGTGCCGTCTGTTTCCTTTCTCTGAGAATGCTAAACATTATCAGGCGGGTTTCTGTTTATATTTGCACTTTTCTTACTCGGGCAAATAACTCGGTAAAGCAATCTAATCCGGTCCATTTCATAAATGGATAAGTTAACACCCCTGACATGATTCGAACCCCAACGTGATTTAGCCAGCCATTCAATGAAAATAAAAGATAATTTTCGTTGCATGTAGAGATATACTTAGCTCTGATTTAAATTTAACAAATTAATGAGATGACCATTTTTTGCGGCTACATAATGAAGTTAACAATTGTATAGAAAATGTAAGATAAAAGAGAAGTTTATTTCACGTAGCTGTACAAAATAGCATTTGTACTGTCCCGGGGTATCATTAATTGTTTTAATGGGGAAAGTTACCTTAATGTAAGATGTCTGACTTAAACTAGGGATCGTGGGTTCGAGACCTATTCAGGTCACAAACATACTACCCATATATCACAAGTACTGGTTAGTTTTGAAACGATTTCATATAACATGCAAGAACGTATTGCATAATCAAGCTAACATAGATATGTTTAAACTAAGTGTCACTGCTTCATTCTTCATTTATATTACTACTACTCATATTTGACCGTCAATTCTATAGTTATATTTATCTTTAATAAATATGTATATATCGTTTGTTCAGGTTCAAACAAACGTTTCCAATGTTTGGCTATATAGCACTGACCTTGACCTCGCTGCCTCTTTTATTGTTTTATGGAAGGGGCACTGAGGCGGTTCTTGCAGACACATGGGATGACTGTGAATGTTATATTGGGCAGACTGAGAAGCCTGGAGTGAGTGCAACAGTGATTGTTTAGGACGGAGGTAACAATTTACTTAAGTATTATAAATTATGAAAGAATCGGGATAGGCAGACATAAATTGTTAGAGAACAGTAAATACGTGTATATACAACTTATAAAAGTTACACTTATACAAATAAAAATGTTATACTAACAAGGATAATAAGTTACAGTTATACAAATAAAAAGGTAAACTTATTCAAATAATCAGTTACACTGATAAATATTATACTTAAAGAATGTTACACAAACACGAACCAAAAGTTACAGTAATTCAATTAAATAGTTACACTAATATTAACAAAAAAATTACACTTATAAATAATTACATTTTTACAAATAAAAAGGTTACACTAACGCAAATAAAAAGTTACACTAATACAAATAAATAGTTTCACTAATACAATCAACATGTAACACTAATGCAAATTAAAAGTAACACTAACACAAAATATAAATGATTAGATACAATTAGCAAAATACAAATGAATTTAAGTCGTACGTAACAGCACATGCGAATTATCGTTATTGTATTAAATGAAATAGGGTTTTATTTGAAAAGATTGATTGTTTTTCATATTCCCGTTTTGTACAGTTCAATGTTGAATAACCTGTATTTGTCTCCCAAACATCTAATACGAATAATTACAAAATATGATGAGTTGAATAGAAGTGATAATAGATAAATTACATAACACCCACAAAACATTTTATTAACTTAGGGTTCGTACTCGCTCCGCCTGGCTGAAGGAACACCCCGGATGTGATGAGTTCACCGACTGTGCATCAAATGACGAAGGTTCTAACTGGCAGGACTGTAACAATGTTTGCTATATTGGAGGTGTGGCCTCCGGATATTCCTGGTCACCGTGCATGTGTCAGGCCGGATACACGAGCAAATGTTGTACTGATAGTAAGACATTTATTATTTGTTTCTATTATGCTTTTCACATAACATGTATAATATAATACTTTAAATTATTCTCTAACAACAAATAGATTATTTGATGTCATATATTTCGTTATAAACCAGTTAATTTATGAGTTAATTTAAAGCACATTTAACCTGGAGATGCTCTGATTATTTATTTCCCAAAATCTTTTTTAATTTTTGGTGTCCTGAAATAGTTTAAAGATCGTTTGCTTCTTTAAGGGCACATTATGCTTCACAGACGGATGAATTTTACTACATTAGAAAAGGCAAAGGATAGTTACATGCTTGTTACTTAGGAAGTAGCATTAAATGTGAAATAATTTGTCACAAATGTACAACATGTAAACAAAGTAGTATTTGGCTTCAATACAAAATACTTAAACACTATAATTGTACTTATTGCAAACAAAAAGCAACAGAAGAAAAAGATGGCTCAGCTACTTGGTCAATGGATATCTTTTTGAACACTATAGAACTTCATCCAAAATAAAAAATACTTTCTAGAAATAAAAATAAAACCATTCATGGGGCACGTGCCTGTAACGTTTTGACAGTTATGCGGCGTTCATACAGTGCCGATTACGGCTCCCGTTTGAGATCAGACAGCGCTACGACACGAAAAGCAAAAAAATCGGATTACTATCCTCAATGATCTGGAATGTCCTATCATAGTCTGAATGCAGTTGTATATGTTCATAACAGAGTCCTACGGATCAGGACTTGTCCGGAGAGGTCGGCCAAGCACTCCCGACAGTTAGGTGTGTCCCGTAACATTCGGGAAACTCAGCCGACTTTGTCTAGTCGGATTACAATCGTGACTATGTCGTGACAGATTCTGCTGTATCGGATCAAAATCGTAACAATGTCCTGTGTTGTCTGGTCAGTGTCCTGTGGAACGGGCATGATCTGGAGAAATTTTGCATTGTCGTTTCTTGCCGATTGAGTCCAGATTGCGTCAAGATCTTGCCGAATGCGAACCGTCTTTGCCGAATCCGTTCCGGAAGAGTTCAGTAATTAATACGAAATTCGGCAATAATACCCACGTCAGAGTCACGACAATTACAGAACACGATACGACTGAGTCTAGACAAAGGCGTGTGCAATGCGGTACAGCAGACTGTAATAGGATTGCGTTCCGGCAGTGTCCCGATCATCCCGAATATTCCGACAGTTGTAGGATTCCAGATGCGCGGATTTCAGATTCGGCTAAGCTGCTCAAATATAGAGTTATATATAGCGTGTGTTTGTGTGTGTGTGTCATTCATTGACAGTACTATGACCGGTCCACCATAAATGCTGCGTCTAAAGCAGGTTGCTCCCATGGAAATGGAAGAAGAAGAAGAAGACTTTCTGTTTTCCAATTATTATTTGAACAGAAGGGCACTGCGACCCAGTAGAAATAGAAGATACTTGGTCAAACCCTGGATATACAGAAGAGAGCAGCTCGACCAGTATGACACATTGATGAGGGAGCTGAGAGAAGAAGATCCAGAAGCTTCCATCAAATACATGAGGCTGTCCATGGAACTATAAGATGAAGTCATGGCTCGGATCACATCCCGCATCACCAAACAACATACCTGGTGGAGGCAAGCCCTTGATCCAGGTCTGAAGTTTGCCTGTAACATAAGGCATCTGGCATCCGGCGACAGTTACAGCAGCATAAAGAGGGATTTCAGGATTCCCAGTAACACCATGTTAATGATTGTCCCTGAAGTCTGCCAAGCTTTCATTGATGAGTACGCTGCAGAGAGGAAAGAAATCGCAAATGAATTTCTCCGCAGATGGAACTTCCCACATGTGTGCGGTGCATTGGACGGAAAGCACGTTGCGTGCAAGTGCCCACCAAATACCGGATCTACCTACCATAACTACGAGGGCTTCTTCTCCATAGTCCTGATGACCCTCGTAGATGCGGACTATAAATTTATTTGGCTGATGTTGGGCCAGATGGAGCAGCTTCAGACGCACAAATAAACAACGAATGTAAGCTGAAACATGACCATTGGCTTTCCTGATCCTGAGCCACTTCCTAGAGATGACAGAAATATGCCATACTTCTTTGTTGCTGACATTGCTTTTCAACTGAGAACTGACATGATGAAGCCTTTCCCTTTCCGTAACATGACAGTAGAAGAAAGGATCATTAACTACAGGCTGCCAAGAGCACGCAGAGTTGTGGAAAATGCGTTTGGCATCTTGGCTCAGAGATTTCAAATACTTTTGTCAATCATGCAACACACTCCTGAGAATGTGAGAAACATCGCACAGGCTTGTGACTGTCTCCACAATGAGAATACGCTACCCAAACATGAACATCAACTAGGTTGATCGTGAAGATGTCGAGTACGCAATTATCCGAAACATGCTTGACGTTGTCAATGTTCAGGGTGCTAACCGTGCAACAATACTGGGCAAGAAGCAGAGACAATATCTCAAACATTGTCTTAACTCTGCCGCTGTATCTGTACCTTGGCAGATGAGGATGGTCAACCCTCGCCGTGAATGAAGACCATATAATAAAATGACAGAACACCATGCTATTATGTGTCACATCTTATATGTATCATTGGCTTTTAAATATAACAGCGGAGTTTAACTTGTGACATTACTTATTGTGAAGCAAAATAAAATATTGTTTAATGTTTATTGGAATTTATTTTATTTATGAATGGGTTAACTCCTAGTTTGGACTACTTTATAATTAAAGGCCACTTGTTTGGCAAAAAGTTAAAATTTAATAGGTTTAATAAAGTTTAAAAATTAGAATTTCAGACATTAATAAACAAGAAAACACAATATATTTTTTTATCTTGAACAATGTTCATGTCTGATCAATATGTTATCACGTTCAATAATAAGAGGTTACATTTTTTCTGTAATCTTAATACAGATTATTTCAACTCTTACACATGTTCTGCAATAATTATGCAGATTATAGAGATAGCTCGGATCAGAATCGGATTGAGAACGGGATAATCGAGACGAATTCTGCTGGAAACGGCTGTATCGAGACGCCTCCTGAACAATATCTGATTGTTGTCGTGATTAAATAAATATTTTTACAAATTTTGATAAAAGTTTGAATTTCCGGTCACGAATCACAGGATCTTGATCAGACTTTTAACACATTTTAATCGGGAATGGTCCTTTCAAGTCCTGAATGTGTGACTTAGGCATTAGTTTAGTTACAGTTAATTTAGTACTTAAAATGACTCGCAATATACAACAAATTCAATGATATAAACATAATGTTCGTTTAAGCCAACACCAAACAGAACTGTTTAACAATAGACTGGGGTATACTTTCCCTGCCATAAATAGCTCATTTGCATTAAGTTTATCTTTTCTAAAATGTCGAAAATATGAGAAATAGATGGGGAAAATAACAGCCGGAATTTTTGACTTTATGAAACAAACAGTATGATGGGGTTTTTTGTTTTACAGTTGTGAACTGTGGTACCCCTAGTTCTATATCTGACGGGTCGTTATCTGTGATGTCAACAAACTATGACGGCAGAGCGACGTACACCTGTAATACCCACCATAACATGACCGGTGGCACCGGCGAAAGAATATGTCAACATGACACCACATGGAGCGGAACTTTACCAAGTTGTATATGTTAGATAACTTCTTATAATAATTTTTCATAGAAGTAATAGTGATAAATGTAAAAATTACCAGCCTAAATGATTAATTCAATGCTGCAGATAAAAAAAATTGATTAATCATATATAACAGTATTCGTTGGTTTTTGGCTTTTTTGCTATAAGATTTAGCTATTTTTCACAAAGAAATACAATTTCATTTATCTTTCAGATGCAAACCACTGTAGCAGTTCACCGTGTCAAAACGGCGCTACCTGCGTGAATCTCCTCGTGGACTTCCGGTGTGACTGTCTATCAGGAGGGTGGAGTGGGCAACTATGTGAAAATGGTGATAATTATCATCAAACATATAATAAAATATATTTTACTTTTTTGATCGGTATAATTGATTACTTTTAGCTTAAATATATGTGTAAATATTGATATATTTCCTTCAAACCTGCATTCCTACTTTGTCTGCATGTCATTCGAATTTCGCTTAATGTGTGTTGTGCAGAACTCGATCGGGCAGACGTTTACCAAGTTTAAGGAACTGTTTAAATATAATATGAAAAAATCGGCATAATTTGAAATTAAACAATTATCAAAACTTATATGATTATCTTTAAATCTCCGACATTTAAACATATTCTATATTATTAAATATAACCTCTTTCATAAGATGTTGAAAGAAAAATTCTATTTGTATTACAAAGATCTATCTGATAAATATATACAACAATGTGAAACCACCCTACATATAAAAAGTCATCAAACCATGGCCCGATTATCTTTCAGTCTTTTTTGAGGTTCTCTGAAATCTGCAGGATATTTTATTTGGTAAATAAAAACAGACCCATATCAAGTAATTTTTCTTTATAAACTCTTGTATAGATGTATTGATCATTTTTCAATAAACCATTCAATAGTTTCATTCAGAATATTTCATATTTCACTTCCTTTTACGATATTACAAATTGGCAGCCTACTACCTTATTTTAATAACAGAATAACGATTAAAAAACTTCTTTTGACAACCGGTTGCCAAATTTGCTGATTCAGGTTTAATAAATAGTAAACTTACAATAACATAAAAACTATCTTTGAATGAGATATTTTGTCCTCTTATACTGTAAAACGATCATGTTTGTTTAGTAAACAATTTCGTGCATTTTTCGCTTATTTAGCATAAATTGAATGCGAATACAAAACTCCAGCAATAATAAATCATGCGGATTCATCGACTTAAGTTGATGCATAAACTATTTGTTTACATTAGAAAACAAATTAGGGGCTGGGGATAACGTTATAGTTATAAAACTATCCGCTAACTCAGAAAACTTACTGATTCAATTATTAGGTTGACTAAATTCAAAGTGACAACATAATGTTTTCAGTGTCGGTCGGTCAGCCCGCCCGTCCGTCTGTTCGCCAGCCTTTCCGTCAGCAGTCCAGCTAGCTAGTCAGACAGGCGATGAATAATTAGGAAACCTTAAGGAAATGAAAAAAAGATAAAGAATATCGAGAAAAGAAAATAAAAACAGCAGGCCTGATGTTGACGAAGATAATTGAAAAATATAAAAGTAAATGCATGTACATAATTGACGTAAACATAAGGCTCTAAATGCATGTATCCATCCTTTAGAAAGATATTTATAGTCATTTGTTTTTGTGCGTTTATAGATAATGTAGTGTCTGACTAGTAACACATAACACATGTGGGCATTGTTAGAAAATAAAATAAAAAATAATGAATGAAGAACAAAAAAGTGAAAAAACGATACTTCAGATTGCGTGTTCTGTTGGTTTTTATTTGCAAACCGTAAACTTTAAGAAAAAAAATTCAACTTAAATGATTTCAATAATGATAGTCAAATAGCCCGCTGCTTGCTGTACCTAAATCTTATAAAACAACTAGTTGTTAACTGAAAGATCACCTGCATTCCAAAGGCTGGGAAACTGAATGCAAAGTATTTCTATTTTGAAAAAAGTCCATTAATCAATGCCTCAGTCAAAATAGTCCATCAATTAAAACCTATATCATTACCTATTTATGTATTACATTATTTCACCATGACCTGTAAGAAGTCTGTAAAGTTAATTGGAAAAATGAAAAAGTTATAGAAACAAATTATTCTAATTATTAACAAATTTGTAACTGTTAAAAGATTTATACATGAATTGTAGATAACAAAACAAGCTGGTCTTGAAACTAGAGGTGTTCTGCGTGAAAAAGATAAAAGCAATACGAAGACTGTTTGCTGTTGGTTGAGCGAATACTTAATTTACCTTTTTATTTTACATCGATGAGATTTTTTTCGTGAGTGAAAAAGATATCATGTTTGCTTAATAGTAATGAGTAAACAAAACAATATAAAATCGAATAGTAATGAGTAAACAAAACAATATAAAATCGAATAGTTATGAGTAAACGAAACAAGATAAAATCGAATAGTTTTGAGTAAACGAAACAAGATAAAATCGCTTTAGCTTTTTTAAAATTTTAATTGGGCTTGATTAGGATGAGGATATAGTTAACAACTGCTCGCTCCCTTGGCTGTATAGAGAGAAAATCTAATTAGGTATCTAGAGGTCGATAGTTCGATCCTTATGCGAGGCGTTATTTCTCTGTGAGAAAAAATTTCTTATTTTTGAAGAATGAGTTTAATTTTAATTTCTACTCTCACCAATTATTCAGAATTCATGTGTGGTTAGTAGTTTGTTATTCAGTAGATAAATCATGGTTAGTTATCCAGGAAAAATGTGGACGCGACTGCCGTGGTATGACATTCGGCCTGTAATGTGTATTAGTAATCTTAGACGTCTAAAATACTTATGGTCGCCGTCGGCGTCGTCGAAAATAACGCAATAACGACCTGCCATAATAGTTGTAGTCATGGTCGAAATCATGACCTATTTTGTCGGCACAGTCTTTAAATGTGTAGTCGTGGTATTTTGTTGTCCTTGCCGCAGTTGTTGACAGTTGTGGACAGTTGTGGACAAAGTCTTTAAAGTTGTATGCGTGACCGAGCTCCTCATAGTCTAAGATAACTATTTATGGTCATTGAAGACGTGTTAATCGTAGCTGTGATCCAAGACGTGGCCGTTGTTACAGCATAGTCTTTGAAGTCGTAGTCTTAGTTATTTTTGTAGCCTCAGTTCTGTTCTAGAAGTCGCAGTTAATTTAGAGGTCTTAACTGTGTAAGTAAAATTAACATTTGTGGTTAAACACCTTGTTATATTCATGGTTGTAGTCGTATTTGTATTATTCCATATCGTAGTAATGGCCGTAGTCGTCAGTGTAGTCGTACTCGTATTCAAAGAAGTTGTACTGGAGACAGCCGTCGTCGTAGTCGTTACTGTACTCATAGTCATTAAAGTCGTAGATCGTGATAGAAGACTTGTAGTCGTTCAAGTCGTAGTAATATTCGTAGACGCAGTCGTGGTTGTAACCTGAACAAAAACGCAATGACAATCCCCATCTTGGTAATCTTCAAAGAATGAGCTTCATACGGTAACATGCAGCATCTTGACGTATACAGCTAACGGTAAGAGCTTTATACGGTTCAAGCTGCATATGGTGTTGCAATCAATGTATTCAGCTCACTCGTAAGCTTTAAACAGTGTAACTGATCTTTATTATTAAAAGTCGTTTACAAAGATAAAGAAGGAAAAATCAAAACTATTAACTATTAAGGAAAAAGGTCTTCACAAATTCATAAAATAAAGAAGAGAGACACGATGGCTCTAATTTCGCTCACCTAAATATGAATACTCTTAATGAAAAGGAACATGATATATTGTAAACTGTAACGAAACTGGTTGCTATTGCTAAGGAAAAACAATAGTTAGTACAGCAGTCACTGATTGCTATAAAAACTCAATGGTTTCCTTGGAAGTCAGTGCCTGTTATGAACTTCAATGGTAGATTCATTCGTTGCTATGGAAAGTTAATGTTTGCTTTTATAGAAGTCACTGGTTGCTATGGAAATTTACTGTTTGCTATGGAAAGTCAATGGCTGCTATTAAGCCACGGGTTGCTATGGAAGTCAATATTTGGTATAGAAAGCATTTGTTTGCTTTGGTAGTCATCAGTTGCTATTGAAAGTCAAAAGTTGCTTTGAAAGTCACTCATTACTATTGGAAGTCACTGTTTGCTATAGAAGCCAATGGTTGTTGTAGAAAATCACTGGTTGCTATGGAAGTATATGGTTGCTATTGAAAGTCAATGCTTGCTGGAGAAAGTCACTAGTAGCTATGGACAGTAACTGATTGTTAAAGAAGACAAATATTGTTATAGAAAGTTAGTGATTGCTATGAAATTCAATGGTTGCTATGGGAAATCACTGGTTGCTTTGGATATTATGGATAGTCACTGGTTGCTATTGAAGTCAGTAGTTGCTATGTAAAGTTACTGGTTGCTATGGTATTTTATGGCTTCTATGGAAAGTTATTGGTTGCTATGGAGGACAATGGTTACTATGGAAAGTCACTGGCTGCTATGAGAAGTCACTGCAAGTCTTTTAGATGTTTCTTGCTAAAATCTAAGGCTTTAGACTTCATCGTTTTATTGTGGCATGTAGTGTAAGCAATGAATAATAGCCGCAAAAAGAAATACTCGCAAGTCACATTTCAGTCCAAAAGTAGGATTTTGTCCGCTGCATATAAGGACTGAACAAATTTATAAGTTTAATATTCTTTTATGTTGTGTTAGCTGCGCACGAGGATGACACGTGATTTCAGCACGGAACGCGGCCATTATATCAAATATTTTATAATTAATTAGAACGGACTGGATGAAAAAAGCAGAATCATTTCAATTTGACAAAATCCATTAAAATGTTCGACTTTCTACTTCGATCTTGTATTGACATAAAAGTACGTGATCAATTTTGATTGACTACTGTTAATAATCTGTACAAATTTCTTTTATTTACCCAGAATCGACTGAAAAGATTTGGCTGATTTAAATAATGATATGACTTATGACTTACTCGTCATTTATAAAAAAAAATAGTGGATTATTTTTTTAAATCTTTACAATTCAAGATAAGCATGACACACACTAGAAAGTGGACTGTTTTAATTCTATTATACACATGCAATTCTTAAACGTCTAAAAGAGCAAAAAGTCTAATTTTGCGACGTTTAAAAGTCTCCTGCCGTGAATATTAATTGTACAAATTTACATTCCATGTGTCAGAAAAAAATCCCTGAAAACAAATACATGAAAAAGGAGTTAAAAAGAAAGAAGAAGAAAAATTGAATATTTATTTCACACAGAATGATTCCTGGTATCAGAAAAAAATGCAAATGAAAAAAGATATGAAATAAAAAAAAAAGAAAAAAAAGTAAGCGCTATTAATAAATCAAGTATTATTCTCTTGGATGAGTTTTCTTTTGTCTTGCGACAAATCATCGACTCTTATTTGCATAATTGAACGGTTTTTAATCAGATATTATCAACGTTCAAGTCTTATATAGTATTTTGCTTCACATTATTTATAATACTAACTGACTCAACCTGGAAGTAAAATTAACCTAACTGCGCGACTGTTAAAGCAAAATAGTACTTTGTGAAGTAATGTCGCGTTGAAAAAATATGGAGAATATCTTCCAAATTTTTCTTCTCCTGGGATTTGGTGTTGGCCTTTCAACACAAAACACCGTAAGTATTTTCTTTTTATTACCAATTTATTAATTGGCATCTTTATATCACAAGCAAAAATAGTAATTTAATGGTAAGGATATATTTAAACTTACAACATTCAAAGATGCGCTTTTGTTTCTTTTAAAGGCACACGAATCCTCTCTGAAATGGGTAAATATTTTTTTACTTCTTCAGAGAGGAAAAATGTGTTTTATACGTACTTGTTTAATTTTGGTTTGGGAACAATGTCATCCGAAAAGAATTAAATGTGAAATAATTTGTTATAAAAGTATGCAAGTAAAAAAACTGCAGCATTTGACTTCTATACACAATACTAAATCATGCACTAAATTCGTGGACTAAATGGAACTCCAGTGAGATCCAAAAGTCTAAAAAAATATTACGATTATATAACGATTTGCAAAATATAATAAGAAATAAGACATATTATGCTGAAATAATAAAGTTAAACTTGTTTTTTTTTTGTGTGTGCTATTTTAGCCCGATCTGAGTGAAATGAGTTGCAATATGTTTTATTTTTTTCATTTTCGGGTCTTTATTCACGATCGATTAGATGGAACGTGATTTCGGAAAAACTATTTCCAGTCCCGTCATCCCTATATGATCAATTAGTAAGTTTTTGGGCTACATGGCCCGACCATTATTGGCCTAAATTAGCCTTATTTTACCATATATACCTATATATCTAGATGTAACAGCATCACTTGTCAGGCCGATGAATTATATATGTAAGTTAAGAAATTCTTTCTTTCTTTCAATTTTTTTGTAGCTTTAAACAAAAAGTTTAAAATTACAAAAAGGAGATTTGTTCGGTATTCCCTTTATTTTCCTGTTCGAAAGTCTAATTGTACTATTTCAATAACATATATATTCCGCATAAGTTTAAACATATTCGTTTTCATTCGATTGGGACGAAACCTTAAAGCTTGTGGCAAACTATCCGCTAGGTCGATTTCATGGGTTGTACAAGACTTGATGATGGTTTAATTACAGATACATTTTGTCGCTATATTAGTGCTCGAACCCTTCTTCACTGGGTTGAGAAAATAAACCATACACAGTAACTTGCCATTTTGTTTCTGTATTTGCTAAAATGTCAGTTTAACCACCTATGTTTTGTTATAGTGAGACGTTTTCGTGTTACATCAGTTATACAAATTATGAATTATCTGTAATTTAGATATAAAAGATTTAAAGTTCTAGGATTGAATTGATGTTTTTCTGGTTGATGATTCTCTCAGCTAATTCATAGTTAATACGCCTTTGAAAAAAAGATTGTGATTTGTAGATAACATTTTATGTTAACAAACGAAATTCCAATTCATTAAGTTATGAAGTTTTGAAAAAAAATCTCTTGCAAGAAAATAAGAACTAAGAACTTTGATAACTACTTTTTTAATTTTTATACATCCAATTTAAACAAAGAAGTTCATCTAAATAAGTTGTAAAAAGTTGTTGGGTGTCCGTATGGACCTTAGATTCTTAAATAAAATAAAGGTGTAAAAAATAGATTTAAACAGAGTATGTTTATTATATGTCTTTGATTTAAACAAAAACGACGATATTTTATTATTCTGCATGGCGTTGATTCAAAATTAAGTACAGAGAAATGTTTCATCGACGGAATTGATAATTTAGATAGATAGATAGATATTTATTCAGGTTAAAACACACATACATGTATACATAAAACAAACACTTTAGCATTTTATATAAAACTGATGACACAATTGTAATATAATATTTCGGAAGTTTGTCAGACATAAATATCACAGACGGCTCATTAAATAATAAAATATTAAAACTAAAAACAAAATCTAAAACCCTTTCTTTCCTATGACTTTGGTAAGCATAGATTACTGTTCGGAAGAAGGTGAAGCTGATAACACTGTTAATCATCAGGGAGTGTGCACAGCGGAAAAGTGTATACTTGCGAACACGGTCATTGGTCGGGAACCGATAACTCTGTCGCTATGAAATAACTTTAAAATCTTACACCATTTTCTTATACTAAAGATATAGCAGCTTACAAGCATAACAATAATGTTCCTTTCATCACCTTATTAAACGTGTGCGTAACACCAAGAGAGCCAAGGTATGAAATGTTTTTTTGAATGATTAAAAAGATACCGAGAATTTAGTGACAACAATATCTTTTTCTGCACAGTCTTATGGATAATGCCAACCCTTTGCTAAACACTAAAGTTTATTTTTTTATAAGAAATATATATTACATATATATTTACGTAATGGAATAGCTTTTGACAATTTAATGACTGTAATAGTATTTTTTTCTTCAAATATGATTCTTCTTCAGGTTTAAATGTGTTTGAATCTTGAAAAAGTGTAATTCTATTTTTTCCCCATATATTTCCATAGCAATATTAAACAGAAGAAAGCGGTTCTTTTGGGTTCGCCCGATATTTGCTTGCTGGTTTTTCTGTAAGTAATTATTCGTAAGAGTTTTTTATAGCTATTTATTTTATTTAATTATGACCTTTATAATTTACCACATTGTTATACCATTTTTATGAACTTTTTTTTAAAAGTAATTAAACTATTCGTATTAACAACGTCTGGTAAATTGCTTATAGGTTTGTAAGCCCTAAAGAACGGGGTCTTTTAATTTGAAATTCCCTTATGAGGATATAAATGATGCAAAAATATTCACTTTTTTAAAAACACAATAATTGGCATTGTTGGCAATTCTATGCTCAAACGACGTGCAAGTGTTTCTGTGTCATAATGTATGAAATAAAAGTTTGTGTTACTTGTCAAATTACCCAGTCTTTGGTGATTGTCACTCAGCTGGCGCCTTCAAAACTACAGGGTTATTATATTAAAAATGCTTAATATTTTAGTGTGTTATTAATTAAACAATTAATAAAAGAATTAAAGTATTATCAGAGACATAGATAACAGAGATAGGCTACTTCCTAGCCAGTTAAAATATCACGCGTGCCTACTAAACTTAAAACTTGTAGCAAGTAAAAATTATTAACCAGATATCAAAATCAGTAAAATAATACATTTTCTGAAAGCTTATGCATTTGTCTATGGCTGCAGGTAAAAATATTTACAGTTCCCATTTAAATCAATGTTGTATATCATTTTTTAAAGACAACTACATAATATTTTTTGTTACAAAACTATTCATTTGACAAAAAACTGGCTCAGTGGGTATGTTCTGCCATGTTTTTCTAAGTGAAAGGCATGGAAAGTTACCATTATTTTAACATGCAGCCATAGATGAAAGATTTACCTTTCAAATGGTATATAATATTAAAGGATCATATGTATATCCGTTAAGTTTTATTTGCTACAAATGCCTTATTTTCCACTTTTTTTTATAGGCATGAGTGATATTTCAATGGAGTATATAGGAGCTGCTTATCTCTGTTATCTATGTCTCTGGTATTATGTACTGGCTCGTGTCGTGACGTGGACACTTCTATCATTTTTTGTCGTTTGTTTTGTTAAACAATAGGTAGAAGGAGACGAAATAGGGTGAGGACAATAACCAAGTATCCGCCTACATTCCCAGTACCATGTACATCAAACGATATCCAAAGTAATTACAACATTGGTTCCGCAGAGGACAGCGTTGTTGTCAGCTGGACCGTGCCAAGAGCCTCGGATAGAAACGGAGGCACACCAAGGTAATATCCTTTGCTTAGGATCTCATTATCTAATTCCCTTTAAATGTTGAAGCTTAATGTCAAACCAAAATAATTGTAATTGACCAATTATTACAAAGAAATAAGATTCAGTAGAACGATAGTTGCGCGGTAAAGAATAAGTAATAGAACGAGCATCGGGACGCGATTATATATGATTTGTACGAGGGCACAGCTGAGCGCCCTAATAATTAGATTGCCGAGTGTTTTTATGTAATTTCTCTTTTGTATCATAGGCAAAAATATAACACTTTCCCTAGCGTCACACTATGCACCCCAAGAAAAAATGTAAGCAATAAACAAGCAGCTGCTTATAACTATGTCATTATCCCTTTCCCTGCCATCACAATAGATAAACTCTAGCAAAAATGTAGCCAATCAACGAGCATACTTTACGTTTATCCTTGACAAACAGTGCGGTGCACTCCAGTTACCGCACTTTGCAATTATTCGTATACGATGTAACACATTTAACAAATTTTCAATAGAAATGTCTCCAAACTTTAATACAACGTATTAAATATGAAGTTTAACATCCGCAATAACTTGTTCGTAAAATATATCAATTCTAGTGTTACACAAGTTGGTGGTGGTAGAAATGGAGGTCGGTTTGATGGAGCTACTTATGGAAAGACGCACTATATTACTTATAAAGCTACCGATTCGGACGGCCTTACTGGACATTGTTATTTTTCCTTTACTGTCACTGGTAGGTACTGTATACTGTGAAAGACCATTGTTGTTCTTTTTTAAATTCTCTATTGGATTTTTTTGTATGCTTAGTCGACAGTCGCGAATACTCATGGCAAAATGACATTATTGTATTTATGCATCTTAAAGTATTTATATTTAATTTCAAATATGTTACTTAATGGTTGCTTTAAGTTCACTTTCTATAATCTGAACCCTTATTCCAGGACGTTTCAGAATAATACAATTTATTATTTAGATTGCTTCCTTTAATGTAAATTTTATTACCACATTTTGATAATTTTATGTAATGGATTGTTATAGCTTTTAATTTATTGTTTCAGACAATTATTAAGTCTGACATTGAATGTGTGATGTGTCTGTCTAATGTTTTATAGCTAAATTATGGAAATTTAAAGTAAATTGGTCTACCATGGACATATTTTGTTTTCCAGAAGTATTTCAAAAATCGATAAAAACAATAGAAATGTATCATTTGGATATATTATAAAATATAACTTGAAAGAGATAATGTTGACAAAGTTCTAAGTAACATTTAATTATCTGCTATAAAATATATATATAATATCTGATCATCTCACACTTGTCAACAACATCAAAATATAACCCTTTACATGGTTTGTAGTTGTGTCTAATACTAAATACTGACAACTTAATCATTTTATTGTATAACATAACTTCCATTATAGATCAATTCACTTTAAAAAGATATGGAGCAGAATTTGGATATTTATTCGCTGTTTATCTTTCAATTTCTAGTTATCTAATTTATATTCGTATTCATTAAATTCTTATCTATAATCACATAAATTTAAATTGATTTAAACAAGTTTAATTCCTACTGTTTAATTGACCGTTAAACATTTGTATTTTGATACTGCAGAATGTAAGGATCAATTGTTTTGACTTTCCACGTGTTTACGTGGAATATGACTTTCAAGCTCCTGCCGTCAATGTCCTACAAGCAATACAATACGTCTAATAATTATGATATTAAACTACACAACCTGGAGAAAGAAAACACATTTTGTTGAGAACATATATGACATAAGATTGCAAATCTACAAAGAAATCATCCCATCTGAAATAGGCAGGCGGTCAAAAAAGTTGAAATTCATTCCGTTGAAGCCAAAAATCTACCATGGCCCAAGACCCAAAACAACACATTTTGTCCCTCTGGCAAAAGATACCTGCAAATATACAGGCTAAACGAACACCGTCTCTGCTTTAGGAACTCCTAATGCATGCAAAATATCACAAAGAAACTGGTGCTCAACCTTGTAGATTTTTCACCACTGCTAAAAGTCTGTACCACCCCCTTTCACATGACTTGTTTTTACCGTGCATGCTGTTTAATAGCAATATTTACAAAAAAGGCGGCCTTGATATTTATAATCAACAGCATGGGATTTCTGGCCATGTTTTCGAATTCGCCAGTGATCATATTATTTGATGTCACAAAAACAAATTTCATGCTGAAAATGCACTTTAAACACAATCAGTCATTTAACCTTTTCCATTATATAGACGTGTTTTGAGGGCTTTTTTGTGACGTTTTTGACGGGTAGTCACCCTCATCGTCAAGAAAATTTTGGACATGTGACGGGCTAAAAATGGCCTCAGGTCGATCTCAGGGTAACTAGTAACCGACGCTGAAAAGCCTTTTACTCTATCTTAATTTATTGAGAAGCACTTTGAAATCAGTTTTGATGAAAAAGAAAAACAAACAATGCAAAAAAGTGATTTTTTGCAATATTTAGACGTCCCCCGTTGCCATGATAACGATTGAGCATGCTGTTACAGAGGCTATGGTCCAGTCAACATTTTTGCCAAGTTTCTTCAGTATTGAAGCATTTTTCATAGTTTCATAGCAGTTTGAACTTGCAACAGGAGGCTTTTCAATGAAAACGGCCTTTTTTCACAATATGCTCATGGGGTAAAAGGTTAAATCCAGAATATTCACTATATCCAAGAAATCCTCCCTGGCCATTCGAAGCTGTGGCTTACATTACTGTGGTGTGCTATAAATATTAATCACATGGTTTCTAGTTTTTTTATTTGTTTCGCTGTTCTTCTTATTGAAATGAGTCCGTTTTCTTTCGCTTAAGGTTGTTTAATGTTAATAATTTCATAAAGTTAGAATATGGATACATCTTTATGATAACAATTCTTATAGCCTCTACATACAAATTTATTTTCAGTGTGAATTGAATGGGAATAAGAGTTGCACAAATACATCTGTAAGAAACAAGTTCGAGAAAACACACTTTCTTTTAAATAAGTAGAAATAGCACATGTTTAAAACAAAAACAAAATATTGGTATCTAAAATTAAATTAAACGTATTAAGATGAAGTACTGGCATTGGCTTTAGAATATTACAATAAACATAGTAAAAAAGAATAAATAAATATTTAAGTGAAGAACTTTGATTTACTCACAGATGAATTAAATTTGTAGGAATATGATTTAAACTTAAGCAAATTAAAACAATAAGTAGTCAAATGAATAAATACCCAAAGTCTGCTCCAGAAAAAGACACATGGTTACCAGTAAAATTCTAAATGAGTATTTTGTGGAAAGATGACGCACGATTATATATGACCATAATGCAGTTTTATCATGCGTGCAGTTCGGTTATGTACCCTGTACATTCTTGAATGATAAATGTTATAATTATGACAGAACGAATAGAACACAGCTGAAGAGTTAAATGAACAACAAATAACTATGCATATTTCTTTTCTGCAAGAATTGACTTGTAACTCCCTGTCGTGGCCTCCAAATGGCGCCCAAATTTGCGACAACAAGAATATTCTCGGAAGTTTATGTCACTATACCTGCAATACTGGGTACCAACTGACCGGAAGTAGTACAGTCACGTGTCAAAATGCAGCATCGCCATCATGGTCAGCTGTTCCAACTTGTGAAAGTAAGTTTAATTCTTGCTTAATATTTTAAAGCATAAGTTGCTATTTCAAAATAGAAAACAACAAAATAAAAGTAAAGAAAAAAAAACTTTGAGGAATCGGTAGAGTCATGACGGACTGTAAATATAGATATCATAAACATGATATACCTCAATAGCGAACCGGAAATAGTTGATTGAATTTTAGTAAAAGGACTCATTTTTTCAGATGAATTATCATGTAGAATCAAACGCATTGACTGTCTAAAGTATTTAAAAGGCACATTATGCCTCAGAAACGAATATATTTTTCCTTCTCATTCAAAAATGGTCTCAGAGCATGTTAGATACTAATCACCTAAAGAAAGTTGATAAAAATGTGAAGAATTTGTCGTAAATGTAGCAAACTGGAAAAAATAGTATTCCGACTTCCATACAAAATACTTATTCTTTATAACTGTACCCATCGCCAAAAAGCAACGGAAGCGATGGTTCAGGTAATTGGCCATTTTATCCTCACACCTTCTGCTCACGGAAGCGTGAGTCATTTGTTTTTGAAAATATAATGGGACACCAATGTTAAGAAGCGTTTGAGAAAAGAAAAAATGAAAACATTCTTGGCGAATAATGGGCCTTTAATATTGTGATCTACTTAGAAATCTCCTGCAGTGAGCCGAATTACCCTGTTCATACAACGGCACAGTGTTCGGATCCAGCCTACGGCTACTTGTCGGTATGTTCAATGAAATGTGACGTAGGGTACACCTTGAAAGGAGCTTACTTTATGCAATGCCGGGCAGACCGTACATGGTCAAACGTTGGAGCTACATCATGCGTTGGTAAGGTTTAGTCAGTAAAGTAGGATAAAATCTCACTGAAATTTGCTTTCTTTACGTTTATATGAGTGTACTTTACTTACTATACATTGGAAATAAACTTTTATAATACAGATACTGTGATTGACATTAGTCATTGAATTCATTTTTACATTTTTCTTAATTCATAAATATGTTGTTTACCATTTAACTTAGATGATTCGCCGCCGACTATTTCGTGCGTAACTCCTCAGATTTTATACGCCGACCGAGGTGTGACAACAACATCAGTTACCTGGCATCTTCCTACAGCGTCTGACGCCACAGACGACAATCCTTCCATTGTACACACTTTTGGCCAAATAATTGGGACAGTTCTTGAAGTGGGAACAGAAATAGTAAAATATAAGGCAGTTGATGAAGATGGTAGCGAATCTCAAGAATGTTTTATCCAGCTTCAGGTTTTCTGCCCAATAAGAATGTCTAATGACAGTTAAAGCTGTCGTCATTTTTTCTACATGTTAAATATGATATTTTGAGATAATTCGTTTCATATAATTGTCAAATCAAAGTAATTATGGTGGCAAATGAAATTTGCCGTCAATAATGTACATAAACAAACTGAAAACCCGAAGGTAACTCTGATCTGCCGGTCAGCTCTCTACATGTAAAGCGAAAACACATTTCCAGATTTTCTATTTTTAGAAACGAACGTTTCTGGCGCGTTATAAATAGCTCTCCAGGCGTTGATTTGAAGTAGGCTTAAGTCGTAATATTGTGATGAACGCTTTGAAAAATGGTCAACGTATAAAAGTAGATGCAAAGAAGAAAAGCGTCCCTTGTCCCTCTTTTTGGGCTTGTTTTTAAATTGTTATTCTTTTTATGAAACTGAAAATTATAGAATGACTTTTCAAAGAGCTTAATGACTCGGATTTTAAAAATCAACGTATAGAGTGTCTTAATTACCTGGTCAGAAGAAATAAAAAAAGGTAAACAATGAGAAAGCTATGATAATTTAAAGCGGCATCATCAATTACATGTCGGTTGTAAAAAGTACATTTGGTTTTAATTTGTTACTTTTATGCATTGTACAGAGTTGTAGATTTTAGCATTAACTCCATTTTTTATTGTAGAATTTTCTTTGGTTTCTTTTTTATAAAATCGAAATTTCGAACATAAGCAAATTATTTTTCAGAGCCATGTCCGGTTGGGTACTTTCTTAACCAAACAAGCAACCTATGTGATCAGTGCCCTGCCGGCGTGTATAAGGACGTCAAAAGTGGAAGCACGTGTTCATCATGTCCTAACGGGTACACAACACAGGTATCTGGGTCCAAGTCCGAGTCTGATTGTGTCAGTGAATATTTACCGTATAATACATTAAAGTTTAAAATATGCTTTACATTTAGTGTTTTGACAATAAATAACGCATTTATTGGTAGTACCACGGCAAGCTCAACTTTTCGACCCTTTCCGTCTGTCTTTGGATGTACTCGATATCATACCGGAAGTGGTCGTGACCATTGTTGCCAGTAATAAAGAGCATCTCTTATATTTAATTCATTTTTGTATAACTGCCGCTTTTCTCGTCATAACAGTTTTCAATGATTGATATTTACACAAAATGCAATATAATAATTAAATGTTACATAAACTTTTACGAAGTTAATGTCCTTTTTTTGTTTCTTAGTTATCAATAACAACTTGATTCTATTTTCTGTCAGAACTATGTAGTCCAGAAACATATTCTGCAAGTACGGTTGAGATATGTAACACGTGTCCCCTTGGTTACTATCAAGATGAGTATGGACAGACGACATGTAAACAATGTCCTTCCGGTAAAACAACTGCGTCAACAAACAGTAGCTCTGCTGATGATTGCAAAAGTAAGAATTTCAGCCATTGATATTTTTTTATATTTATCATACCAGTTTAGTCTGTTTTTATGTCTACATTTTACACGATCTCCTGTCTTCGGCACATTGTTAGACAGATTCTATATAGTTAATATAATAAATTCTATATAATCAATATACTAGATACTATATACAATGTAATCACTATGGAGGTTACTAGACATCAACAGACAATGTACTACAAAGTCGATATACCAGATATTTCATAGTCTATATACTAATACTATATAATACTACATTATATACCACATGCGATGTATTTAAGATAAACTTGTTTAGAATTACCCAAATGTACCAGCAAATTATGGAAAGCCGCAGTTATGGAAAGGCACAGTACTGGGGTTTTCAATAGAATATAAATGTTCGTTGCATTTCTTTTATTTCTAACCTTCATTATGGCAAAGATCGTTTCCTTTTCCCCCTCTAGTATTTGAGGATTGCGTGTCTTCACCATGTAACGGACATAACTGTACCAGTGTCCAAGACAGCTTTATCTGCACTTGTGATGGCGGTTGGTCTGGACTAATTGTACGACACCACCGGATAAATGTAATGGCAATGCATGTGAAAATGGTGCAACGTGTAATAGTGGAACTACCAATTACACGTGCAGTTGTGCTACTGGATACAGTGGTTCGTTTTGTGAAATTTCACCATGTAAGTTTTTATGAAATAAAAGTGATTTATGTGTTAATTGATGATAATAATAATTGTAAAGATAAAATCTCAATCTGGTACAGTAGTTCAACATTTCTTGCTTTGTTTAAAGCCCGATTAATCCGCACAAAAAATATCAATTTTACTCAAAAATTTATTAATTATCTCTTGGATAAATTGCTACACTTTCCAAAAAAAAAAATTAACTTATTTGCCGAATAACTAGGTCATTTGTTGCTTGTTTTTCATTTTTGTACACTAAGCTCTTTAGACGGTAACTGATAATTTTGTTTTGAAATCAAAATGCCACTTTGTTTACATTTTACTACTTTTGTGACAATCTGTGTCATATTCACTGCTATTTTGGTCATTGGTCAAATAAGCATCTCGCGTGTTCTATAGCATAGTATTGTTTTAATTCATTATAAAACACATTTTGACAGGAATAAAGATAATAATTTCTGATACTTACTGTATCTTTAAAGAGTATGCATATTTAGAGAGATAAAAGTTGCTTTGATATAGATTTTTACCACATTTACTGCAGTGGATTGCGGCTGGTCTGACTGGACGGATTCAGCATGTTCAAAGAGTTGTGGAACTGGGAGTATGACTAGAACCCGACAATGTAATAGTCCAGTCCCAGATACACACGGTGCTGATTGCATTGGTGACGCTACAGAAACAATTGCTTGTAATACAGATGCTTGCCCTGGTGAGATTTCTACCTGAATGTTTACATGTCTAAATATAAAGATTTTGTTTTTGTGAACAGAAAAATTTACGTCTTTTTTCTAATTATTTTTTAAGTTTAGGTATGATTGCTAGCCTACTTGATGGCCTGTGATAAGTTATTCGTATACAAATGGTTTATATAAAAGCTTACAATCTATAGTAATGCCACATAAAATCGCTGACTTTATTCATTACTGTATTACATAAAGTTATATTACAGACATACCTTATAACACTGTAAAATATTTGAAAATAAGAAACGATCCTGAATGTACGATTTCATATTTTCCTCTTTTAATTGTGTTGATGGAAACATTGTAAAAGCCATTCTTAACTGGTGGCGGTTTCAGTTTGGTTTGACTTCAGAAGCCTTTTTATGCTTCAATTGCTGTTTCTCAATCACAGTTTGTGAACAACTCACGAGCGCATCCGGGACCTTGTTCAACTGTTCTACAAACGGAACATTCGGTGATGAAACATGTCATGTACAATATATTGCGAGGATGGTAAAGTACTTCCACCCGGTTTAGATGAAGGACAGTCGTACACCTGTGGTCCAAGCACCAACTACGAATGGGATTATTTGGAAAATACTCCCAGCTGTGTCGGTTAGCTGCGACTATTTAAAAAAGTAACATACCATGAAACATTATTATTATAAGATAATATTGTGATACAAATTGCCTATGATCGATTTCAAAATACTTCATGTAGTAAAGTAAAGGCACATTTTTATAGGATTTAGTACTTCAACATAATAACCTACATGTGTACATGTAGATCGTTTACAAAAAATATATTATAACAACATTACATTGTATAAAGAGCAAAAGCAAATTAATTTTAGAAACAAATGACAAGCGTTGTTTAAAAATATTTGCGTTGACTCTTTCACTTCTTTGGCAATACATGTATTACAAATTTGTCTTTTCGTTGACTTTATACATTTTTGCATCGTAAACAATAACAAAATTACAATGGAATGTCTGCTTATTGGTGGTGGTGTTGGTAGTTTTCACTCCGGATCACGGCAGTAAGCTACATTGAATTTACCAGAGCACAGTTCAGCCACCGCACTGCATGTCTGCTTATTACCATTTATATTTTCTTTTATATTTAGACCCTGTTGGTCCAGGGAATGTTAGACTAACCATATCTGTAGAGTATGCCACAGAGATTCCCGCCAGTATTGCGTCAGACTTTATTGACTTGATAAAAAACCAAACATCAGGCCTGCAGTGCTTTGATTCTGCTGTCAGACGAATATAGAAATTGATCAGTCTACCTTGACGATTGTGTTTAATATTCCTACATTCCAGGGACCAGACCTTGATTACAGCGACTACATATCTAGTGGAATACGTAAGTCTGTTTTATGTCTATTCCCGAACCAGGGCTTTTTTTTTGGACAGGAATTTGAATTGGTGTGACAAATAATGTGTCTACGTTGTTATTGTTTTTCACGGCGTTACATATTTCGAAAGGGAACTCGGCGGTGACTGAGTTAAATAGTATTCAAATATAATTAATGAACTGAGTTGAATAGTATTCAAATATAATTGATGAAATTTTACGGAAGTGACGGAATAACTTGAAATAAAACGAAAGTTGCCAGATGACGTGAAATATTACGGAAGTTTCCTGATGACTTGAAATATTTCGAAATTTATCAAATAACATGTTGCATTCTCTAAACCAATTTTGTCATTCCCAAATATAGGAAAAACATAACTTAAATCATTACGATATTTAGAGTATGAAATATTCTTATTACATAATGGGGCAAGGCATTTAAAATACTTAGGTAGTCTTTCATATTTATGAAAATCTTTTCAAGATTTGTTCACATTATATAGAAATATTAAACATGAATTCACATTGAAAAGAGATAATCTTAAATGAACACTGTATTTACATAACATGCTTTTGTATGGACTTTTTATTTAACACTTTCACTTAATTTTATATTTTTAACAGCAAATGGTGCTCTACAAGAGGTTATAGACGCAATCAATCTTTTGGAACAAACTGCCGAATACATTCAAAATAATACGAATGAGTTGTTTGACGTCATATCTGACGGTGTGACGTACACAGTTGTAGACGACAGTGTAACAATCGATCCTGGAGTCACGTGCGATTGCGGATTTGTTGATTATGACAGCATTTGTGGTTAATATTGTCACTCTATGTGTTTGGATATAAATTGTTAATAGAATAACCTTTGGTAAAAATGAAAGGTAGAATATTAAAGCTATACATATAGGTGCTCATTTTAAACACTTGATATATATGCAGTTAGTAAAGTCTACAGTAATGTAAGGTTAAAAGAGGGACAGTATTTGTTACTGTAAGAGATATGCATTTAATGTTTAGACACTCACTCAACTCAATCTTTAATATATGATATAGACTATTTGAGAGTTTTTTTTACTTTTATACTATACATGTACATTATAGTTTTCTTTCTACAATATTATGAATTCCATCCAAACCCCAATGTTAATAGGATGTTATATTTATTTTTAATGGAACCTGAGAATTATTAATGTAATGTGCATACATGTGTTTTGTAGTTAATGGATATAATGTGTATTTCTGTATTTAAAGACTTACAGTTATGATGGATGAGACTTGCATTTAAATTTATAAATGATAATACATGTATTGATCGATCTACAGGTTATAAAGATGTTTTTACCCAGTGTTTGCTGGTTAATAATAGTATCTTTAATATATTTTATACATTATAGATCTTTCTACTAGATTTTGAATTCTATCCATTAGTACCAATGTTAATGTTAATGTTAGGATTTCATATTTATTTAATAGAAACTACGAATAATTAATGTTATGTGCATTTATATATTATTAGTATATTGATATGATTAGACTTACAATATTTCTGAATTTAAAGAGTTACAGTTATGTCATTATTATTAAAGGGTGCATAGTTTGAAAAGGACAGCTTCTGTCTTGTCTATTTGTAATGGAGGGACGCCAGTCTCAACCTCCAGCTCTCCTGAGTCAACTTGACAACAGACTTTTCAAAGAGTAGATTGTTACTTGCCCTTGAATAAATTTTTGCACTAAATTTTATAGTGCGTGATTTGTGCCACATGAAAACTAACAAAGTACAAAGAGTAATCGGGGGCAAGATGAAAACATGAAAATACAATCTACCATAAAGTGGTCCGTTTGATGCATTTTCCTGTTTTCGCCCAGTGCCCTTGATGCGAAATACAAATCAGTCTTCATAAAATTTCTTATCATAGAAAAAAGGTTAGTTTTTTATCTGTAAAAAAACATATATTGTACATGTATTAGCACAGTTATGTTCACTTTCAAATTGACCTGTTATAAAGAATGGCACAACCAATAACCGTCTAAGCCCTTTTTAGTAAAAATAAGTATACAGTAATATATAAATTGTTATTTTTATTAAGACAATCAGTATGTAAGATTTCGTTTTCTTATTTATTAATTAAAAATTAATTATCTGTTAATTTAAAAATCTAAAAGTATCTGTCACGGTTTAGAACTGCTCACTATTTAGAGGCGAAAATGTGTAAGCAGCCAGATAGCTCAATCGCTACAGCCGCGGTACATTATTCTGTGGGTCACAGGTTTGAGTTCTGGTCAAAATGAAAGTTTTTCTCATCCAGTGACTGCATAAAACCATGAATTTAATTCACTATGCTCGGTAAACATCAGAAATTCAAGGACACCAATCAATATAGTGGGGAAACATGTTGTGGTTTAGAACTATTTCATTATTAAAGAGAAAATGTGTAGCCGGCTGTTTAGCTCAGTTGCTCTTCAGAAAGTCATGGGTTCGAGTCATGGAGTCATGGTCAGGCAGTTTCAGTCAGGGTTTAGAAGTGGTTTTTTAACTGACATATGTTTGATTTATTTAACTGATTGTATTAAATTTGAAATGGACAAAGGCATTATTGCATGATACTTTTAGATCTACAAAGGGCATTTGATACAGTTGATCACACTATACTGCACATGAAGAAGTTCTTTTTCTTCTTCTTCATGAAACTTCAAGCATCTGCCATATGTAATGACATTCTTACATGGTTTAAGTCTTATCATAGTGATGCGCTTTCACGGGTCCGTCACTGGAATATTAATGAATGTAAAAACGTTGTGATTCATGTAGGCGGAAATGACGTCTCTTCCAAAGCTTCACTTTCCACAACATGTGATGATATTATAGAAACTGTTACAAGTCTTCAGAAACAAGAAATCCGTGTATACTTGTGTACAATTTGTCCAAGATCTGACGTAGACGTCGCGCATCTAAATGATGAAATCCGTGCAATATGTACGTCAACCAACGCGACTCTTATTGATGTGTACAAATCGTTCGTGTACGGAGATGGAGGGGTCGTTAAGCTGTTATTCCACCGTGATGGGATTCATCTTAATGAAAATGGATCTAGAACACTGGTGATGGCAATAAATAAAGTGCTTAACATCATTTCACAAAAACGCTCGGTTTATGAGACGCATCTTTCTACACGTGCAATCGGAACGCCGCGCTCGGCACGTGTTACCGGAATGCCGCGATTTACACGTGCAAACGGAGGTAGTGACTATTAACAAATAAGGGAGTCGGACAGGCACATGGGACGGCGCCATCAGCTCTACGACAGGATTCATTGCGACAACTGTGGACGTAATAATCACGTTACGGCTCAGTGCAGACTAACAAATGATGTTATAAATAGCAGACGACTCGATTATGGATGGAATCAACCCCCTGGCCGACAAGATGGAAAAACTAACCTATATAGACATATGCATTATTCACATTAGGATATTTTTGACAGGCACTCACATGACACTATGTATAGCTCAGAAATTAGGTATGGGTTTTTAATTAGTTTATTTTATGATTGTAATTCATACAAATGTATATGTTTTTTATGAAAATAACTTTAACAATTTATTTAACAAATTTTATGAGGTTTGTAATATAAGTTACAGTGTTAGTCTTAAAAATGCATGTGAGTCTTTTAAAGTACATTATCTATGTACATCGGAAACAGAAGAACAATATGATAAAGTAATATCAATTATCTGCTATTCATTTTACCAATATCTATGGATACTGGCATTTATAAGCATTGTTAAATTATGCTGTAGCGTTCATACATACACATTAATTTTTAAACTGCTATCAAATTTGTATCGTTATTATCGATATAAATCGTGTTTTGTTGATAATTTATTTTTCAATACTTTTAATAGCTATTATAAAAGGCGACTACTTAGTTTAGAATATAATGTAAACAAGAAAAAGCTTACTACTTTATATAAACCTGGAAATGGAAATGATGTTACAAATCAAAACAATATCAACACTTTTGACTATTGTTCTAAGGGTTTGCGGTTTGCGTTCGTCAATATACAACATTTGATGCCAAAAATGGATGAAATCAGATATCATCTAGGAAAAATGAACAAAC